AAGCTACTTAAGATTTTATATATATCTTACTTAGCTATACGCTATTTAAAGAGGCTAAAGTAAAGATATAAGAAGTTAGTAGAGAGCCCTTATTATTAGTCTTCTTACTATATATAAATATAGGTATATAAGCTATAATTAGCTTTATTAAGAAAACTAAGGCTACAATATAGGCTTAGTATAAAGGAAATCTTAAGAACTAAGGTAGTATCTATAGTAGGTGCCTTCGCTATATACCTATATTACCTATCTCTTCTAACTATAAGACTCTCTACTACCCCCCTTAATACTAGGTTATGAGCCTTATCTTAATTTAGATAGCCCCCTTCTCTAACTATACTAAATTAATAGTACTATATAGATACTTATAAGTCTTATTAGCTTGCACGTCTTATATAGCCTTCGGGCTTACACAGGACGTTAATTAATAATAATAATAATAATAATAATAATAATAATAATAGGACATTCAAAATAAGTTTACCGGCCTGCTCTGCCTCGAAGCAATCATCTGACTTCAAATGTATCGTCTAACTTCGGATGTGTACTCTGCGCTGGTTATTTATCAGTGGTATTTCAATAATTATTCAGTTGGTCGAACTTACTGGTTGGTGGAATGCATCGCGACTTTAATGACGAGATTCTGGCATCCATAATCCTCAGGTAGGGAGGAGTCGTCATGACATCGATCTTACGGGTGCGTCGCACTTCAAGGGCATTTTTGCCAAGGTATCGCTGTGAGCGGAAGCTACAATATAGGCGAGACAAGATGTTAGCGGACGTTTGACTTCCAGAGTATTCCCATGTTACATAGTAGAACACAATAAGTTACGCACCTCCAACTAATGTTGGCCTGGACAACATTCTGAATGCCTTCAATGTACCGGCGGACCTCAATGTCGATATCTGCACCCCAACTTGGCAGGTTATGGATGGCTTGGTCCCACTGAATGTAACGCTGCTCAAGCAGAGAGCCCAATATATTAAAAGCTTCTTGCGCTGAGTACCCGGCTAGTCGACAGGCAGCGGTCATATTGAAAGGACATCCCTCGCCCTATGCATTTGAAAGGTCAGGGTAGTGTCTTGATGGCTTATACATATATCTTCAGGCCAGGGCTTACCTCTTCTTTGCGGTACGAGAGTATGTCATTAGATCTGTTGCGCGTACGGTTAGTATCATAGAATGACATTGAAGAATAATCGAGGCAGCGTACAGAATAACGAAGTCGGCACCGAGGCGCTCTAGCGTTTCAATCACGGGGTGCTCGAAGACCTCATCTGGAAGCACAATCTCATGCGCGTATTCAACGAGATGGTAGAGTGGCGCGACACCCACTGATAGCTGTCGTGTTGATAGCATCTCTTCGAGGGATGGGATGTGATTGGTGGTGAAGTGCCCGACGTGGTGCGCTACACCTAGCGTGTAGTGCTGCATAGCACGGACAAATCGTCTCTGGGTACCGTAGGAAGAGCCCTTTTCGAGCCGTTTGTAGATATCATCATGTGCCTTGATGATAGGGAGCTTGTGTTCAGTGAAAGGATTGCCCATCATGTTGGCCATGAGGCTATCGAGCACACGTTCAGTTGTTGAAAGGTCGGTCCTCAGCTCGCCTGAGTCGAATACTGTGGCATTTTCCACCGTCAGTGAGAAAATAGGTCATTCCTGAAACACAACAAATTGTTATCGGTGTTGGAATGAAAGCTCACAGTCGTCGAACGGAAAGACCCAATTCCCCCAGTCGCATAAAGTTTTCAGCCGGTCTGGAGGCGCGTCTGGTGCCGCAATGGAGATGAAAAAGGAGAAGTCGCAGGCGTTAACCTTTTTGCTCATACTGGGAGCGAAGTCGCATGTTCTGATCGGTGCGGTTAGGATGCAATGTTGGATTCGGGTACCTGACAACGGATGTTACTAACTTTGCAAGCCATCGCTCCGACTCAAGTTTAGCAGCTTGGTACCCCTTGTTGAATCTAGGTTCTTGGGTCAAGAAGCACTTATATAAGTCAGGGATGGTAACAGTGATTCTCTCATCCATAGCTGTGGTTATGACATTGACTGATGTAGCGCGATAGCAATGATGAAGGTTTGTTATAAAACTAGGATAAGGAATCAATCGAGAGTCGAGCGAGAGGCATAAGTCAAAATAAATTGGCATGAGAAGGAACAAGTGTATAAGGCAGCTAGCTTGAGTCAAAAGCTAGATTGATCTGCCGGAGGAATAACTACCACGTGGAATTTTGGAAACATGATAGGATCAATAGCGTATCCCGCAAGAGAGTTAACGAGTCTAAGTTTCCATTAGTGTAAGCACTTATGCACGGTGACCTCGAACTGTACAGCAAAGTGGAAAGCCCACGTAATAACCAAGCTTACAGGTGTCAACTAGTATAATTGGTGTGTGGATCCATATAAACGTAGTCTCGGATAGGGATGACTTTTGGCCAAGAAGGGGTACCGAGTCGAATCAAGACATGAACACGATATTTTAGGCCCTCCACCGGAAAAATGGCACACTTTCGCCGCACTATCCCCCTTCGAGAGGGGGCCATTTTTCGTGTGGAGGGGGTGGGAGCCTTATATCTTGGCGAGATTATCACAAAACTTCGATGCATGCTACTAGTGACTCGTATCTAGATAATTGAGGACGCCTTGTTATCTTCAATTGAAGCCAGCGCAGAGTGTGAATCTCGCTGCCTATTTTCCCGCACAATTTTTTCAAATTCGCTTCCGACTCTTACTCCTTCCCCTTGAATGCTAGTGTGCATTCTTATGTAGCGCATTCGAGCGAGTCATAGTTGTATAGTATACTAGAAACACACGAATATCAGTCTCGAATCTTCGGGTACAATTCTCCAGGCGCAATTAGGAGAGACATGGCCGGCCGTAAATACTCCAAGGCTACGGAAGAGGACATCCGAGCTGTTGGAAATTATTCTTTTCACTGGACAAAAGAACACGTTCCCAAGGAAAAGACGGATCCTCTTCGCTTCAAGCACGATGAGCTGGGTGCCGCTACTGTCAACATCATCCAGAAGATCCACCAGCGCGAGCAGGAAGCCCACAAGCAACGGGGAGAACAGATACCAAAACTCGACATGTTCGCGACACTCGAAGCCAACCGGCATCATGATGAGACACTCGCAGAATTCTTGAAACAAGTCAACACAGTGCCCGATTGGGTCAACTGGGAACAGCTTGAACGTGGACAGCACTTTTTCTATCGCTATGCCTTGGGAAACATCATTGGCTTCGCGCTCCAGGGATTTGTTGGCGAGAATTCGGCTTCAACAAGCGTGGTTGAGGTGTTGCTGCGAACAGGCGGCTTCAGTACGCGATCGTTACGTCGGCGGTTATTGGAGACGTTCCAGCTCGTGCTCGAGGTGACACATTCACTGGATTTCATCAAACCCGGGGGCAAAGGGCACGAGACTACAATACGTGTGCGTTTGTTGCACTCGATGGTGCAACAGCGTATGCTACGTGTGGCCGAGGTCAAAGGCCCCTCTTATTACGACAGCAGCATCCACGGCCCACCCATGAACACGCTCGACTCGATCCATGCTCTCGCCACGTTCAGTTGTAACCACGCGTGGCAGCAGCTACCACATATGGGCCTCCGCCCACTTCAGCAAGAGGTCGACGACTACATTGCGCTTTGGAGATATGTCGGCCATGTCATCGGCACCCCAACCGACTTCTTTACAACAACATCTCAGGCCAAGGCCATCATGGAGTCGCTGAGCTACAACGAGCTACATATTACGCCATCATCCCTCATCGTCGGACACAACTTTGTCGAGGCCCTCAAAGACCTTCCGCCTGTCAACATATCAGCTGGCTTTATCGAAGCTGGCAGCCGCCGCCTCAACGGAGATGACATTTGTGACCAGCTGGGCATGGGTCGCCCAGGTTGGTATCCTTACGCTTGCTTCAAAGGTCACTGCTGGCTTGTAGTTGCCCTTGCGACTGCCCAACGCTGGATTCCATCGTTTGAGGCTTGGTCTATTCAGTTTTGCCGCGAGGTCTTGCATAACGCTATTATTCACTCCAAGTATGGTCTCAAGGGTGGCTCTTTGCTCGATTTCAAGTACGTTCCGAATGGTCAGATTACGGGGTGTGAGAAGAATGATCGCCTCGACGGTGATCGTATGTGGTTTTACGAACGCCCGCTTGAGCTACTCTACTTTATCGTTTTCTGTGCTGGATGTCTCTCCATGATTGGCAGCGCAATCATCGCGGCCTGGCTTTTGCGGGGGGTTGTACCCTATAATGTGGCTCTTCTAGGCGTGAAGTGAGATAGGCGAGGGAAGGTGAAGTACCGATGAAGCCTGTAATATATCTTTTATTTTTATTTTTGCTCAATCTGTCAGTCACGTGGTGAAGTCTTGGCACCTTTCGAAATCACCATCACTCTGCTTTGAGATTAGCAGCTAAAGACCTAACAAGAGGCTGCAGAGCCAAAATCGACAGGCTTCATTTACATAAGCAGATGTCGGTCTATCACTTCTTTCATGAGCCGTAAGAACAGCCAGTGAGTCACCCGATACAAACATGCGCGCACTCAGACTCATTTGCTATGTCGCCAGGCGTGAGCGCGGGCCATAACGCCAAGACGCGATGCGGGGGGGGCAGTTCTGGTTCTCTGGACTCTTTTTTCCGCAGTCGCAGGACCCCACCAAAGCGCAGCCAGAAAATCTACCGATTCGACCACAACCTGCGCGCGTTCGAAACTTGCTCCGGACAACGCCAACCTGCTGTAACTTCACCAAGGCGACCTGGACCTTTTTGCCTCCCTTCTCGAATACGCCAACTTTTCTGCGCGCCAGAGTGCGGCCCCGCCGTCAGCAAGAGCCAGCCAGTCACATCTCCCGAGCCAACCTTGCAGCCTGTTTGTTGCAGCGCGTGTTCGAAACCCTATCCCGCCACCTTTTGACATGCGTTAGCAGCGCTCGACCGTCTTTTCCTTGACGTGCGGTCGCAGGAAAAGAACGGGCGGAATACCATGGCGACCGGCCTGGATGAGCTTTTGGAATTTTTGCTCTCAGAAATTGCTCTCCTCGGGGTTCAAGGTATGCATGACTCGCTGCACGCGTTCTCGCTTTGAGATTACATCAGCCACCATTTGCCCGCGTCACCACCATTAGCACTTTGATATAGTACTTCACCCTTTGTTTGCTTGTTGCTATTTGGAAAACATCATTTTTGATGATTTTCTGTTTTCTCAATATTCCATCATATGTTCTAGCGGCTTCGCACCTTCATCATGCTTGACTTTACTAAAGTCAAACGCTAATCCTTGTGTAGGTGCAAGCAGCGCAGACTTTCGTCGTTTCATTCAAAACTTCTATAGCCAACGTCAGGATGATGCGCACTCCAAATCCGATGACCAGAGCGGGACATCTCCGACGACAATCAGTCTTGGCCGCAAGTTCTATGAACGCACCTGGCAATGGCTCACTAATCATCCGGACATCCGCATCGTCTACAAGGCAGAGGTTCAGAACTACACCCTCTCTGAGTTCGAAGCGGCTGAACTACATGAGACGGGCACCACTGGAGACGCACATGCAGCAGAGTCTGACCATGGCTCGAGCGCCTCTGTGATCAAGAAAGTACATCCCTCAAAGACTGTGAGCGGTCTGAGAGAGGCCCTGCGGCAGAGAATTCATGGCGAGGAAGGCGGGCCCAGAATACCTTCTAGCCTACCAAATCAAGCTATAGTATCTTTATCTGCTGGTCGGCCGTCTCGGAGTGTGGTAGAAGCTCCACAGATCACGACAGCAATTTTTGATGAGCCTAACTCGAGCATGACTGCGCCCCGTCTGTACACAAGTCAAAATAGAGTTTGGCAGGCATTGACCGGTCATGGAATTGATCTGAAGAAGGTCCCAAGCATGGAGTTTGTACTACTTTCACTTATCGCTGCTCGTGGTGCTGCTGGTATTACACAACCGGAGCTCATTGCTATCAGCGGTCAGGACAAGCGATCTGTGCCGCACAGAACAGATGAGCTGGCCCGTAAAAATTACATATCCAAGTATCCTGTTCAGTCGAACAAGATGCGGACCAGTCTTTGCATTCATACAAAGTTCGTATCTCAGAACGCTTTCATCGAGTCCAGTGCTGTGGAGGATGTATATCAAGACGATGGAACATTCGTGGTCAGAAGCTTTGCTCAGTTACTATACAATAAAGTGGGTGAAGGGGGTATTGTTCCCACGCGGACCATCAGGCAGAAGCTGGTTAGTGTATTGCGAACAATCACATATGCCTTGCTAACACCCCTAGGGCGTACCAATGTCGGCATGGAACAAGCGGGCTACGCAAGGTGCCCTGATTCGATTAGATCAGAGCGGAATGATCAAGCGACGCAGGATCCGTAAACAAAAGTCTGAGGATGCTTGGATTACCTGCATCCAAGTACTGCGTGCGCCAAGAGAAGAAGATCTCAAGAATCTTGGTTTTCGACGTACAATCAATCCTGCTGATGGATCGGGTGCAGAGCCGCTCGACGAAAGCGCTGATGGTGATGACATAATGAAAGATCTTGAAGACGACATGTTAGATGACTGCGAACCTAGTGTCAATTCTCCAGATAACACGTCTGCTACCGAAAAACCTGAAACTATACCTCCGCAATGGACACCGGATCACTTTCTCCCCAACACAGTCTTCAATGCCGTCGCATTGGGTGGTCCACGTGGATGGGATGCCGAGACTTTGCGCGACCGAATCGTCGGGCCATTCTGGAGACGTCCAATGGAATCATATTTCTCCCGCATAACAAATGACTGGGAAAAAACGCAACCACTCCATCTTCGACACCTAGCCGTCATTCGAGATCAGGGTGTGACCGATGAGAAGAAATTTCTCCATTACGTCTATCGCACATACGCCAATTTTGAAAAGGCTGTAGAGCTTCAGTATGCTCATTGGGAAGGTGTAGCCAATTTCGGGCCTGACGAGGTGTTTAATCCTAGCAATAACGGTGCAGTGTTGGATGCTTGGGGTTTCCCTACTATCAAGCCAAGCAACCTGGTACGAGGATCTGGTTCAGCAACACTGTCTGAGGCTGGCGCAGTCATTGTAAAGCAGCGCAAATATGGATCCCGCTGGGACAATGCGTTGGGACAAGAGATCAGCTATCAAAAGCCTTCAAAAATTGTACCAAAAGAGAAAACGCCGCGTAAACTAGGTCGACCGAAAAAGATTGCAAAAGCTGTCAAAGAAAAGCCTGTCAAAGTAGCCAAAGACCCTGAACCGCCGAAGAAAACGTCAGGCCTTTCACTCACACCTGAAGAGATGAGGTCGCTAGGCCTAGATCCCAATGTTCGTTTGAGCAAGAATATTCAGAGGCAAATCCTTGCCCACCGCCATATGACAGGAGATCCAACGTCGCTACCAGACACAGTTGTGCAAGACCATGCTAAGCGCCAACTCAGTGTACCTCTTATGACAAAGGAAGAGCGCGTAGCGGCTGGTTTGTCTGCAAGAGGACGTTTGGGTATCGAACAAGAAAACAAGATCCGAGAGGAGCGCGGGCTGCCCAAGTTAGTCAAGAAGGAGAAGAAGCGAGTAACAAAAACAAACAAGGAGCCCACACTACTCAGCAAACAGCAAAGAATAGCACTAGGCTGGAAGGACCATGGCCGATTACCACAAGACCTTATCGAAGGTCTTCGTAGGGAGCGAGAAGAAGGCATTGCTCTCGAAGATTCGAAGGTCATTGCCAAGTATATGGATGAGATGAGGGCAAAGGCGTCGTCGTCAAACACACCCAAAAAGGCCAATGGTTCCACTCGAAAACTCGTTGAAACAACAGAAGAGCTTGACGAACCCGAGGAAGATCAACCCACGGACGAAGTATCAAGGCCTGGTTCCACAGAGCAAGAGTCTCTGGAAATTTCCTCGCTTCGCAGCGTCTCGGGGAAGCGAAAGGCTAAGGACCCAGTGACCACCCCAGTATCAACGAAAAAGCGGCGCAAGGAAGCAAATAGTCCGCAGAAATCGACCCCAGTGCCCGTCCCATCATTTACGACATTTCCGGAAACCGTTATCAACCGATCTGAGAGCTGTGCTCCATCAGCAATTCTTGACAAGCAAAGCGTAGACGACACAAACTCGCTGATCGTGAAAGATGCCGGTCGACCAGCTGAGCCAACGACACTGCCAACGGATGAGCTCATTCTACCAAGCGTGGAATCTGAGCCTTGTTTGCGACCTCCGACAAAGGTCTACATGACTCCCGACACCACTAAACTCGACGATGAAGCCCTGACAGCCATTGACCAGTACGAGAAGCGATGTTCACCTGGGCTTTATCTCAATCCCTATGTGAAGCAAAAGGTTGCAAGAGGTCGGCCACGGAAGGCACTCATGGCGACATTCAGGTTGCCACGTCTAGTGGAGATGGACTGGTATATGGCAGAAGACGCTCGAAGAAAATCAACTAACCATGACCGTGTCACGCATACTTCCGATACCACACAAGAGCCCACATTTCAGCGTGTGGAAGAGATGGTTGTCTCAAGACATGCCTCACATGCTGCGCAATCGGAGCAATCACAAGCGAAAATGCCATTGCGAAGCGACATGGAGACGCGGCACGATATTCAGAATCACACCCCGCCACCTTCCACACCTGGCAAAGCCTCAGTGGAAGCTGAGGGAATGCCAGTGAGCCGCGAAAACAGCGTTAATCAAAGGACCGAGACCAATATGCCTGAGGTCCCAGACCCAGACCCAGACAAAGGCAAAATCCAACCACAGGCTGTCTTTGATGTATCAAGAACACAATCACCGCGACCGATCCCATCATTGACACGCAAGGTAGGCGGCTGGGCACCCATCAATGCGCCTGACCCCTCACATATTTCTCCGTATCAAAGCCCTTATGCCAACAGTCCAACATTGGAACCTCAACCACCATCACAGACTCCAAATGTTGGTCATGGCAGTGACCAAGCCCCCATAGCTGACGGCTCACATCTTCTTACCTCTGAGACGAGGGATGACCAAAAGCTTCCCGATGGTATGTACACGACTATTGTGGAAGCTCCTGTGCCACCCGTATCAGGCACCAAACCAAGGGTTAAAGAGCATGTAAGAGGTGGCAGTCAGCGCCGTTTCAGAGAAAAGGTGATCCTGGACATCATCAAACGCTGCAATGGCGTATTTCCCGGAGGAGGTGAGATCCTGCGGCCATTTCTTACCCTTTGGCGCGAGCGACACTCCAATATTAAAGAACCATCTCTTAGCACTATCAGCGAAACCCTCAGGAGTATGGCTGCCCGTCCAGAATTTGGATTGAAGCACTGGAACTTTGCTTCACAGAACAAGAATACTCCAGGCACAACCACCCGAAGGATGTTTACATGGGCGCACCTGAACGAAAGGAGTCCAGAAGTCTTGAAGCTAGCGCACAATATGGCACAGTACTCTCACCAAAAGGAATACACCACTCGTGTATCGGAGAAATCTCTTTTGTACTACCCTGAAGAAATACGTGACCTCATTGGCGACGTCGTCTCGTACCAGCCCGTTCAGGCCGCTCCCAAGGACGAGAGCATCGTCCTCGACCCATCAAATCCTGATATTGAGAAACAAATCAAGGACGCTAAACAGCGCCGACAGTCTGAATTGAAGAAACAAAGGATGCTAGAAATCAAGGCTCGCAAAGTTCAAGATGCTAGGGTCGAACAAGCGCTCTCAAAGCTACCTCATGATTCTGATGGTGTGCCGCGCGCGAAACGAGCGAGACTGGCAAGTCTGAACGACAAAAGTAAGCGCATTCGGCGGGCTCCGCTGTACTCTGCAGATGTGCAGACGCTCAATGAGGAGTATGATGATGCAGAGACTGTTGGACCTGACGTTAGCACGGCGGATAAACCTGGACAAGTTTCACTGGTATGGATGCGTCCTATCATCGCGCCTGCACCTGAGCGTGAACCAGTACCGGCTGAGGAGCAGTCTGAGGATGAAGAAAGTGAAGATGAGATAGCTCATTGGGAAGAGCGAGCAGCGCATGAGAATGATGATGTTAAGGCTCAAGATCCCTTGCCAGTTATGGAGTCCGTCGAGGACCATCTCCAGGAAGACATTGCGGCGACCCAGCCTGATCAAACGGAGCAGAAGGAAGACTCACCCGAATCTCTGGATGCTGCGACCGCTAGCTCGCCTGCCGTTGTCAAGAATAGCAAGAAGCGTGTAAGAATTGTCGCCCCTCAGGACCGATCCCCCAATAAGAGGGCCCGTCTAACACCTGTGGCTGCGGCTGAGCCACAGGATGGGGTATATACACCACAATCCAGCTCGGATGATGACCGTGAAGGAAACCGTCGTATGGCACAGCTCGGGTCGAAGAAGCAGGGTAGCGGTACAGCTCACGGTCGCCAGCGAAGCAAGCGAGTCCCTCCTCCCACATTGCTTGAACGTCTTACTGGTCTTACAGGTGACCAAAATGATCCAATATACCAGCAGCCGCAGAGTGTTCCAAGGTCCAATTTGATATCACGTCCATGGAGTGAAAGGAAGCAAATCGAAAGACACAGAAAAGAACGACAATACAGCAAAACTTTTGATCAAGTGGATGGGTTTAACAGGCTCTTCTGCGCCTTTGTGGTGGTCTCTTCTTTGTCTGGAGAAGACGGGTCAATGGACTGGGGTCTTGTCAAGCGCGTATATGTGAATGACAAACGTTTCGATCTGAACATGGCTCGGAAGCTATGGTCCTGGATGCAGAATCGCATGGCTAAGCAGGTGAATGCTTTGACAGTATCATTCCAATCACTATACCTGGAAGCTTATGAGACTGGCAAAGTTGCTGCCATCGAGGATCCTGAGACACATGACTGGGCAGGTCTCGTACGATGGGCGACATGCAAATGTACTTTTCCCGAACTTCCTCTTCCAATTCTTCGGGAAGCACTACAACATTTTGCCATTGAAGAATCGAGCTACGAAAACTTGGATCGTGTTAGTTGGTTCAAGGCCACGACAGCGGATCGAACAAGAACCATGCTCCAACTTCAGTATTCCTTTACCGCTCCCCTTCATCGATCGCGGAAGCCGGCTTGGTCACCTAAAGATAAGCTTCTCAAAGCACGGTCATGGGTTCGGGCAAATACAGCGACACCACAAGCTCACTATGACGCGAATTTGGCACACGAGAAGCTCAAGGACTTGGGCGAATCAACTTTGGTCAAGGTTGTTGGCAACTTCGTAGAGAAGCAGCACCTCAGGATGCGAAAACTTAAGCGCCTTCTACCAGGGCGTAACTACAACTTCACTCAGACACTGGCAAAGAAATACGCACGATTGTTTCAGCTCGATGATTTCATGACCGCAGTCCAAGTCAAGAAGAAGATGGATGCCGCTTTCGTAAGCGAAGATCCAGACATGTGTTCCTACAACATTTCACGGTGTGAAGAGGACAGTGCTTTTGCAGCCATCATGACAATGGTCAATGAGGGAACAGTCAGACTTGTTCCTCAGCTACCTCCCATAAACAACGAGCTCAACAGTCCGCTTCCTAAGCTATCAGTATGGGGGTTCTGTGAGGGTGGCTACAACCACCGAGCAATTGATCGGAGCCGTTTATTCTGGGACATTCATGTTGTCCCCACGGAAAAGTACAGGTTTGGCAACCCATTGCAGACACTGTCGTCTCCAACCTCACCCAAGGACGACCAGTCGACCACATCGTGGCACCCTCTACCTGAGCCGCCTCTCCCTGGCAAGTACGACGCGCACGCCTTGCTTCCCATCTGGAGCAGTATTGATGGTCAGCATGTGACATGGGCCTGGTGGTACCGCGTCCTAAATCTTGTGTTGCAGCCGCTGGTTTTCATGGCTGGCGCTACTGCAATGGATATTCAGGCTCATTGCCCTGAAAATACCACTGAGCTCTTCGAAATCCAGCTTGTTTTGGATTGGCTCGAGTCGGTCTGCGCAGTCAAGAAAACTGTCGGTGGTGGTTACACCACCCTTCCAGGCTTCTGGGGTGCTTTCGGCGACCAGTTGCACGATACGGAAAATGACTGGTTCGGCCAGCATGTCAAGCGGAAGCCGAAGAACCATGATAAGCAGCGTTGGCGCATGGAATACAATACGAGACACTCTGCATTGCAAGCCCGTGATACACAACGTGCTGATACGACCCCCGCTACGGACGAGGATGGCGATACAAATACAACAGAAGCAGGCGCATTGGAGACTGTCACCAGTCGTCAGATTTTGAAGAATCCTAAGCAACAGTATCGTATCATGCAGAAAGCTCTCGATGCTCAGCCCTCTCGGGAAGCGCAAGACAAGTCCGGCTCTGCAACAGCCGACAGTCCCGCAGTCACTGGAGAACATACTAGGCAAAGCTCTGCTACAGAGCCCCGTTCAAGCACTACACAAACACCAGAGACATCAAATAACTCGGATGATGATGTCAAGATGGCAGATGCAAGCGGGGGTGCAGGAGGTGTGGAGGATGTCGATGCCGAAGGCGAATTTGACGAAGACACACGTTGAGCTTCGGCATCTCTGGTCCCCAACTAAACGGAGATCACATGCTCCCCAAAGGTCTCCTTTTTCTTTTGTCAATTTTCTCGTTCTCTCCAGAAACTTTTCTTATTTGACCATATATGCATAGCGACGGTGCACAACGTGTGGGCTTTATACCACGGACATGAGGACGTTCAAAAAAACGGCAATATGCCAAGATTACTGTATAATAGAGTTCATATGAGAGGTAGTTCTAATGCTTGCCATGTGCGATGCAATAATACGAAAAGTTCCTGCTAGTTTAAATTAAGGGGACTAGGGTGTTGTAAGCTTCTAACGATAAATAAAGTTCCTTCACTCTCGCTCAATCACATCCAGCTAGACTCTGTGGTGTGCCCAAACCATTGTTCACAAATACTTATGTACATAAAAGTGTTAGTGTTGTAAAGCGCCTAATCCAGGTGGTCGCGAGAAACTTCAGCGCATGTAGCACAAAGAAAGAGAAAGAGTAGTACGATCAAAGACGTGGAGACATCAAATTAGCGCAAGATATATTCAAATATCATATCCATGGTATAAATCCCCTACCCACCAGCCACCCACATATCCAGCCACCCTCTCACACCCTCTCTATACTGTTTCCAGAACAATTACACCCCCCACCTCCCCTCTTTACCCCCAATCACCCCCCAACTAACACTTCTGCCCCCTCGCCGCCTCAAGATTCTTCTTATTCTGCGCCGTTCCATCCATGACCTCCTTGACCAGCGTATCCAACGTATCCTTATCCGTCGCCTTCTGGCCCTTCAAGCCCGTAACCTGATCCTTTTCCTTAACCTGCGCGCCCTCGACAATGTTGAGCCCGTCGAGCGCCGGGCTGGAGATTTTCTTTGCGAGTTTCTGGTTCTTGGCGCGGATGTCGATGCCGCGTTGTTGGATGGCCAGGACGGCGGTTTGCGTGGTGTTGAAGGCTGGGGTGTCGAGTTGGGATTGGAGGGTTTGGATGCTGTGTAGTTTGTTAGAATTGAGTGGGTGGGAAATTTGGGGGGGGGGGGTTGGAAGGGGGAAAATATACCCTTGGAGCTCTTGGGCTTGGATTTTGAGGTTGTGTTGGATGCCTTTTTCCAAGTGGGCTTTTGTCATTGTGCAGGTGGAGTTGGCGGCAGCGCCGCCGGTGACTGCGGAGGCTTTGCCAATGTTGCAGCCTTGGTTTGCAGGCATGGCGAGGACGGGGGCCAGGAGGGCGAGGAAGAAGAAGGCCTTCATTTTGGGTGGATTACGATTGAGAGATTGGGAAAGGGAGTGTGGGTTTTAGAGGGAAGCGAAGGGGCTCACACCGGGTGAGAAGTGGAAAGGAATGTTGGAGAAGATTAGACTGATGGTTGTACTGGGGATATTTGAGTAGATGGTATCAGTCACTTTTATATATTTCCCAAATCCCTTTCACTCCTCCAAACCTTCTTTTGCTAAATCACTCGGACCGAACGAACAACCACACTTGATCGCCGTACACACAGCCACTCAAAATACGGAAATGTCAGCATTCCAACACAGTCTGTACCTCAGTACCGAACCATCCCGCATGCCGTTCCTTGTGACGCGCCACTTTCCTACCGGCGAAAAGACTACGCGTTTCGGTGCACGAGCTCTAGAATAAACGTCTCCACCCAACCATAATACCGCCACAATACAAATTCCAAGCGTGTGGAGCTGTGGTTCGTCGACTTTGGTGTACACTAGCTGGCGGTCAAATATCACTAGAGACAGCTGTGATACTCAAAGGGGGCGTTTCGCGTCGCATGTCTGCGGATGAAACTAATCGGTCCGCGTTAGAGCTTGTTAAAGCTTATTTCTGTGAAGCGAGCATGGCGCAGCGGGAACTTCGTCATGTCCGAGTATTCCTGGGTCTTTTGCAGGATGTTGATTGGTTTGGGGAGTGGCTGTGGTCTAGAGATGTCATCATGTTACAATGTAAGACGGGTAAGTGACGGGAAGGGGGAGCGAGTCGCAATTTCCAGTCAGGGAAGGTTATGCAATGCAATGATGCTTTCGAACTGTTTGTGATAATGATTTGGATAAGAATGCCTTGAGACACAGTGCTTCAGCACCAAAGATTTATTTCGAGGTGGTACTTTATGCAGAGCAAGTGGAGCAGCAAAGAGTGAACTACAGATCTGTGTATACAGCATCCCACTGTTCCAATCGCAAGGTATCCGCAGGTGTCCATCACGTTTTCTTTAATATTCGTGAGTTGTGAGAGATATGCTGTACTTGTTAATGCATTGTCAAGTACTGGGTAGGATGCTCTCGGAGCAAGCGACTCTCCGGTTACATCTGCCAGCCACATCAACCAGCCATAGGGCAAGAACAGTACTGGCCAGCAAAGCAATAAAGCACCTTTGACTACTGAATTTGCTTCAAAAAGAACAGCACGGCCGATCAAACTGTAAATCTGTTTTTTGAGCCCGTCCCCCGAAACTTTTCGATTGGGGTCCTCAGTCCAAGAACATTGGCGTTTACAGCCAAGACCTGGAGGCTGATAAGACTGTTCACAGCATGAGCCTGGCCCTTGCAGCGCATTCCTTGGCATGCGATGACGATGCAGGACTTACACAAGGATCACACGGGTTGGGAGAGGGATACTGCATCGCCAAGAATCGGGGGGACTGGTGCGTACATTTGTTGCTTCTATCTTTACTTGAATGCTTTGATTTCCATCATCTTTTCTGCTCATGGAGGCTGTATTGGCCTTGCCTCTTAGAGAATGTAAGCAACATTACAGCGTCAATGAAAACACCCTTTTAGTTGCCCAGGAACTGCTTAAATAGTGTCTCTTGATTACGCGTTGCACATTGAACTTTCTGAAGCAACTTCAAGTTTGTAATAGCGCTTATGGTTGTACTAAACTCAAATTTGTGTACGCGAATAAGCAATGGCTGAGATAATTTGATAGTTACTTTTCATAAGTCGCGCAGCAGGAGATCACGCAGTTCGACACTGAGGTAATGAACAGCGTCACCACCAGTGTCAGCTGGGCAATCATAGAAAAAATGGAGAAACTGGAGAGATGACAATATACTGGCTGGTCTGGATATAAAGAACGATTCCAGGAGAAGAAAACTACTTTACTTGGTGACAACAATTGCGATTTCGTCAAGAAGAAGTGCAGAAATGAGCCAAAATCAAGACCGAGAAGCTCAAAACTCTAGATAACAGTCTTTGAGATGCCGAAGTCTTCTTGGTTTAGTAGCAGCTCCAGGATATGCTTTACGATAAAGTAGCTAGCACACTCAACACTGAGGCATAGTCAAGAGTCAACAGTAGCTAAACAATACGACCCTAGTATACGAACGGCACATAAAATTCTCTCTTTATACCATCATAAAAAAGCAAAAATGGAGAAGCATCTAGAGATATCGCGTCAGATGATCACCCAAAGGTGAATTCAATTCAAGGACAAAGGTTTAAACTAATCAACCACCAATGAGGAAGTCTACGGAAACGAGAGAGCAAACGATACGCTTCGTTCGGGTTTATCCTGGATCGAAATAACTGAGATGTCTTCTTCTAAATAATTCGGCACTGTTCTTAACCTCGTCACAAGATGGATATGATGTACACATGCTTATTTATAAAAGAGCGTACCTACCCTTTTCCCCGAGCATAGCTCACATCTTTGCAACCTATAAATCTCTCTACATTATCGCAGCTCACGCAATGCACATCGTCGTGTTTCTCGCTATTGTCAGCGGTTCGCTCGCTCTAGCGCATCCATCACCCCGTGTGTTTGCCTGTGCATCGGATTGAATTTCTAAACTTGCAACCGCCCCAGCCTTTTGTATGGAAACAACTATAAATGCATGTATAGCAAAAGACACCAATATAGTTTGTTAACAAGTACCCTTAAGGAAATGTATGTCGCAATCTCAGATACTCTTTCGTTTATATTTAACTACTCTGCTAGTCAACCTGGATATACGAGCCACACATTACCCCTGGATGGGAATATGCCTGGGAACAAAATATGTGCATTTCCGAAGGAAAAAAATTCAAATTTTCCATGTCTGCCTCGGACTGCTATCATCCTAGTGGCGCTAATCAAGATATCCATGACAAAGACTCTGCTGTAAGTTGCTCTAGTCTATTCATACGAGAATTAGATCTATAGTATGCAAATAGATTTATTGCTGCTGAGAGAGAGAGGCGCAATACCGCTCGAGGAGATTCTTAGGGTACTAACTTTTACGATCAAGTCTTTTGAGTATCAGAATTGGCGTATTAGGTAGGCAGTAAATCTTGTAATCAACTAAACAAGAAATGCATCCAGGTAAATTGGGGACTATTCGCTAAAATAGGACGATCGGATGATGGCCAAAACGAGTTGGTAGTAGCATCGGAGATGGTCATCAAAATTGAGAGTCGGAGTAAATATATGCATCACTTAGCAGTAATGTGAAAACTTGGGTCATTACTATCAAGACGATAGAAGTCGTGAAAGCAATACTGAGTCCCTATAATTAGTACTGCACCGCCGAGTCGTATGCGAAAAAATAGTCAACGTGGATACGAACATTACTGTGAGTGCCTTTACTAGTGAATGTTCCCATATATTAAACAAATTAGGAAGACGATGGCTTTGCTAAAATATTCATAATACTACTCTGTGTTGTGTAGCGACGGTAGCAAGTTTTCCCAACGCAATCACCCATTAGCTCAGATTCTCAAAAGATACCTGCCTGTAAGGAGACTGCTGGCGTACGCATAATGCCAACTGCAAAGGCGGAATAGTATTTGATGGCGCCCGAAGAATGGGACAGTACTGACATCAAGGTATAATCTATATCGTGTAGTTCTCCATCATATTTCAAAGATGATTCAGACTCAAAGCAATGGCTCCCGGTTTGCAATGTACAAAGGCAACGAGGGACTTTGGCATACCGACTTCCAACTCTTTAGTGGCGTTGAGGAGATACAACATGCAGAGAGAGTATCGCTGATCTGAAAGCTACTGCCGAGATTAATGGTAAAAGTCGAGATACCGAATTGATACTGAAACCTGGAAACGACACGACAATTCAATCGTTCAAAAACACACGAACATCATCCCAACAGCCGAAAACGACACTACCATCACTCACCTCCAAGAAACTACTCGGGTAGGACTTCCCAAATAACCTACCCCCCCATTCTCGTTATCAATCCGAAAAGCCCCGCACCTCCACGTGACCCCACTCCCACAGCTGCAGCCTCAAACAAGCTCCATCACGCAAAAGAAAACGGGGGGTGGGCACACGCACACACACACACACACCAAGCATGGCACGACCAAACCCCCCAATCCTCTACATCACGAATCCTACCTGTGCATCTACTCGACCCCCTTGAAAGCAAGATCCACCACCATCACCCAAACAATTCACGAAACAAACTCAATCGAAAAAAATGCCCATCCAAGTCTCCCGCATGACCCCCTCCGACATCCCCGGTGCAATAACCACCATCCAACTCGCCTTCGCCTCGGACCCTTACAACCTCTGGCTCTACCCGGACCGCTCCAAAATCTCCTTGGAGCGAAACCGCGTCTCCCTCACCCTCCGCTGCATATGGGGCATATCCCACGGCCTCTTCTACGTCGCCCGCGACACGGCCAACCCAGGCCAGATCCTCGGCTGCGCAATGTGGCTCCCGCCGCACCCGACTTGCGCACGGCAGTCGTGGGGTGAGTGGTGGTCGGGCTGGTGGCTGTGGATGAACCAGGTGCGCATGAATGCGTGGTATGGACGCGGCGGGCTGTCGACGACGCGGTATTGGATTTGGAAGGCGAGGCAGGCTGAGGCGCAGAGCGAGCTGTGGACGGATGCTCAAGGGTATTATTTTTGTAATATTGTTACCGTGTTGCCGGAGTGGCAGGGGAAAGGGGTGGGCAGGGCGCTCATGGACGAGGTGTTGAGCATGGCGGATAGGGAGGGGAGGAGGGCGTATTTGGAGAGTAGTCGGTGGGTGCCCAATGGAGCAATTTATGAGAGGTTTGGGTTTAGGTTGGTCAAGGAGATGGAGTGTAGGGATGGGGATGGGGAGAGGGATGCTGTGACGCTTTATTGTATGATGAGGGAGCCCAAGGGGGGGAAGTAGGGATGGGTGGTGAGATAGGTGGGGGAGGAGAGAGGGAAGGAAAGGGGGGAATATTGTGCGAGTTCACGATGAAGATGCTATGTTGTGATGTTTGAGTGTTAGACTTTGCTGCGATACCTTGATGAAGGTACAGAGCAAAGCGACAATCGAAAGGATTGTAGCCTCCCCTTGGAAAACAGCCAAGCCAGATGGCCTTGTGAGTAATTACGTCAAGAGCACACTCGACGTTACTGCGAATGATGAGCAGTAATGTGCTGAAATGCAGTAAGAACAAAGCCATACGACACACACCGTCTGATGACCACCTTCTCTTTACCCATCTGATCATCATTCCCCCATCGTCGATTCAGCATCAGAAACAAGAAACAAGACATGGCATTTGAAAAATCGCGCCACTCCCACTCCCCCAGCCCATCAGACGTGCAGTCTGACTACTTTTTTTTCCAAAAGGTCCTTCGGATATACGACACGACAAATCAAAACAACAATTCGCATGTGAAAAGAAAAACAATTAAGCGGACAAAAAATACCGCTTATCTATTCCCACGCTCTCAATCACTGCCTGCCCCCCCAGCCACATGCATCAACTACGTCACCATCTTACACAACACATATTCCCATGCGAGCTGCGAGACCGTAGCGAAAGCGCTTCGCTCCCCGCCGCGTCGCCATGCGTATTCCCGTTACCGAAAAAGAAATGAGGAAGAGAAGGGGGGGGGGGGCTATCAAAGACTCATCATCACATAATCTGCATGCCGTTCGCTACGGCATACCCGTATTCGCGTATGTAGGTTGCATACAAAAATACAATACCGCTCTAAGCCTTAGCTCTATTGCCAGTTCGCAAGACAGAATACGTTGAGTAATCCGATCCGAAAGCGGAGCGAAAGAAGATGGAAGTAAGAAAAAAACGACCAACACTTCCGCTTATTGGGAAAGTGACAGAGAGAGAAGGAAGAAGAAGAGAGTTGTGTGTGTCATCGTCATGATCGGCAAGTCCTGCATCTGGAACTCTACCGAACCCAATCATGCTGCACACACGCTCACTCCCCCTCCCCTGTCGAATGTATGACAATGACCCCTCCCACCCACACACCCACACATCCCTCCCCTCGTTGCACACACGCTTGGCGTTAGGCTTTTTGGGCTAGGGCAAATCGAATCGAGACATGCATAACGCCGTTGCTTTTTTGTCTCCGGGCCGTTGAAAAACATGGCCCTGGTAAAAAAAGAAAAATATGTGGGTGTGCAGTAATGTGTGTGGGTGTGGCAGGACAGGACGCGTTCCTTTTCCTCTTTTGGGCTATGGTGGCCTAAATGTGAGTGACTTACTATCGGCCCGTATAGGTTCGTTTGTTATGTACGCATGTTACATACATATGTACGCTATGCTGCATGTATGTCTCCTCTTTCTCATGTACGTATGCGCTATGTGCCTGGCTGCGAGTGATCAGGTAGTTCCGGAAGATCATGGGCCTATACTAACTGGTCTAGGGAGTTGGGACAAAAAGAGGGTTTGGTTCGCTGGTGGTTGATAGTTCGCCCAGCAAATATTTGCCTTGGTGGTTAAGCCAGGACGATTAAGAGAATCAGCCGATCGAACTCTACTCCTAGCAAAGAAGCAATTTGTCGGCACCCAGCGCGCTGGTCGATCTGACACGATTTTTTTTTCATTGTTTCGCCTATGGGTACTACTGCCAACCGGAATGCTTGGGTATAAGCGTGTACGGTGTATATTCGGCAATTGCCCAGCGTTGCGTTGCAGCGGTTGAATATGGTTGTAAGGGAAGCAACATGGGTGTGGGCGCAACGTCTTGGTTTCTACTATGTACGTACTAGTTGTCGTCTCGAGGTAAGATTGTCGGCGTGTTCGCATCCACGATCCGGAGCGTTTTTTTGTTCCGGACGGTTGCTCAACGTGACGCACGCCATACCCCTGGTCTGCCCATGATATATTCCTAGGCAGTAACATACTCTATTGACGGCAGGCTCCAAGACATGGTCAAAAGCAAAACCTACCCAGGGCCTAGCGTCCAAGTAAGTAAGTACGGGTGTTAGGCGAGAAGGATATTCACAGATGGGGAAGTCACAGGGGAGCGGGCGTCTGGAACGGGTGGCCATTGGTGATCCGGTATCTGACAACGGGATCTCAGCGTGCGATTTTTGCGGACGGCGCGCGCTTGCATGTAACCACCAGATCGAGCGTACACATATAGGGTGAGCAACTATAATAGCGGATAGTACCACTCAGTGTGCAAGCCATGTCATGGGATGACGGTCGATTGTTGGGCAGCGAGTGGCGGCGGAAAAAGCGGAAGGGGAAAAAATTAAAGAAATAAAAGGTCGATGAAACGCACACCGGAGGTGAGCCGCGCCTGTTGTGCCTTGTCGAGGTCATGCTGGAGCGGTCTGTTTGGAGGGGAAGGGGGGCAGTTCCAAGTCGTGCCAGGCCGTGGATCGCTGTGGAGGCTGCTCAAAGGAGGGGTAGGGTAGCGGGCGCTGGTGGAGCGCGTACTAGCCGCAGCAGCGTGGAAACATCGGTGCATGTGTCGACAAAGGCAGAGGCCGGTGCTGCCGTGGTCATCAGACCGGGTAGGAAAAGGCAGATGGAAGGCGGCCAGCCGTGCAATAAGCGACTTGGGTACACTCGACACAGCGATCAGTCCTTTTTGTGTAGGGGCCCCAAAAATAGGCGTTCAATATACGAAAGCGCCGCTAATCAGGATCATGCAGGCGTGACTGCTTTTGCGCACATTGGCAGGCAAATAGAGAGTTTCTTCGGGGGGGGGGGGGGGGGGAAGGGAGACGGGCTCTGAGTGGTTGCAGCAGGCTATGGCAAGACCACGTAAGCGCATGGTTTAGCCCAGAGGCGATCTAGAGGACCAAGACCAGGCAGTTTGTCAATCTGGTGAGGTGAAGAAAAAAAAGCGGACGATGCATGCATAGATTCATAGTCGCACCCGCGGGCCTGTCTGGCACCGTCATTGCAGCTGACGAGGCATGTACGCAAACGATTTTTTGGGGCCAAGTGCTAGGTGCCAGGCTTGTTGGTAGCGAGGAAGGGTAAATTGTCGAAGACCCCTTGGCGGAGGGAATTGCACGCAGTAACACCGAGGCTGGCGTCGCCTTTTGACACATGGGCTGATTTGTAACGACGGTGGGATGCATGACTGGCAGGCAGTCTTACAGGCGGATGGTGAGTATGGTATACGATGGCAGACTAGGGGGGTGGGCGCTGGAAGATTAAAGCGGAGTGGCATTGCCGGATTGGTGCGTAGTATTACAAAGAGTCAGATCGGTGGTGTAACCATAGCTAGTAAGCGTGGTGCTCGAGGTGGCCCGACCTCGGATACCGTCCATGTGTGTTGCTGATTGAGAAACTTTGCTTCTATATTAGCTGCCATGTCGACGCCTGTTGCATCAGCAGGCGCCTTGATGCTGCCCTGATTCATGGCGTAATCCTATGCTCGTACGTGTTGCATGCAAGGGATGCAGGAGATCGGGTCACCGTCAAGCGGCAGAAGCAAAACAAACGCCAGTGTGCGTCAAAACGAGTCACTGCCCAACCTGGCAGCAGTTGCGTGGGCAGCATAAAGGTCACCGACAAGCAAGTTTCATAAGCTGCGACGCGTCTGCGTCTGCGTCGGCGTCGTGTGAAGCCAAGTACAGTGCTCACATTACTTTTGCACAAGCCTCGCCAGTGTGAAGTGTGACGGCCTGTCGCAGTTGTGTCGGCCGAATGGGGGGTGGGCAGTGGGGGGGTCCAAGGGGTGGTGAACGGCATGCCGCTCCCTATTTTTTTTTTCTTTTTTTCTTTTTTGCACCCAGCGCACATGGCTCTTGTGAATGCCATGCTGCTGTCTACGTAAGTCGGTCCTTGGGTGGGTGGTGATAAGACGGGATTAGCATGTATTGGATGCGGCAGGACATGAGCCGTGCCTTCTTCCCACTGACTGTCAACCAACATGTGCCGCCTGAGCAGCATAGTGCGACCCGGCAAATGTCGACCGCAGCGCAAGGAGGCTCACCGACGATTAGTGTGGCTGCTGATCAAGGCACCCCAAGGGCAGGCTACGGAGAAGGGCGATTGGCTGCCAATAGGGTCAACGTTGAACAAAGTGGGCTGTCGAGCCGCTTAGCAAGGCTAATGCTCGCTCCCTGGGATAAAGTGCCGCCGCGTCTGCAAGCGGCTTTGGTGTTTGACGTCGCCTTAGGGCGGGGGTCTAGAACACGCATGGTAGCCGGCCATAGGAGGCAGGTCTGTCTGTCACTACTACACATGGTACTAGAGATGGCTGTGATGAGCAACGATGCGGCTACCGAGTTGACCACTTGATGCTGAAGCAACTCTGTGGGTTTTCGCGCCCTCGTGTTAGATTAGCCCGGCAGACGGAGGGATTCCGGATGGTGGAAGTGGAGTGGAGTGGGATATTTTGGGGGGCGCGATACGAGGGCGAAAAAGGGAGAGGTAGGGCAGGCAGGCAGGCGAGGCGCGGTGTACATGCGCTTGGATGTGTATGTATGTACGTGTGTGTGTGTGATATAGATTGTATCGGAGGACCGATGCGGAGACGACATGGAGACGCTCGCTCTGGTAGAGAGAATGGCCCTGGCTGTGTGTGTGTCGACCAAATGTGGAGATGGGCTTTGTTATCGACAGGGAAGAGTGACGCACGGCCTGTGACGGGCTAGCGTAGGCGGTGCCGCTTATACCGCAATCTTTGTTCTTACTACCACTCTAGTGTCTTCGACGATGAGACGCCACGTTTGAGACCCACTCGACTCGTGGACCGCGCCCTGGTACGTCATTCAAGGGTTTCTTTCCCGTGTTGCAGATTGCCGGACTGGGCGTGGCACAAATGGGCAGCTGAATACTTACGCATACATACGCTTTGATGAGGGCGCAGGACCCGCGCCGCGTCAATCCAAGCGGTGCGCCCGAACGAGGCCGGACATGGTCTTGTTGAAACGGCAGGCTGGTCAATCTCGATTTGATGAGCCCAGCAGCGCACAATCCGGCTAGTCGGACTGCGACAATCCGAATAGTGCAAATGGCTGCAGACCATCTCGTGTCCAAGCGACGCACGGCACGGCGTCGCGAGCTGGCTGACGAGATGGGCAATGGGTAACGCCCGCTTTGCGGATTGTGTGTGTAAGTATGTAGTAACTATGTGCGCATGTGTGTGTGCGTGTGTGTATAGTAAGAGCACGTAGGAAGCTAGGAAGCAAGCAAGCACACACACACCAGCAACTGAAGGATGGAAGGAGTGCTGCAAGCCCGGTGACCACTCGGTGCTTACTTTTCCGCGTACAATGTCAGGTTGTGATGCACAGTGTGGTACAGTTGGCTACGCCGCAAAGTGGGAGCGAGGATCCAAATGACCGAGGCAGGTTGATGAGGCAAGAGTGACAGTCACAGGTGGGTGTGGATGTCCGGGGCGGCGGCGGCATGTGCTGGTCACGGAACTTGGGCCCCATCATGACTTGTCTACTATGTAACCAAGCAAAGCAACCCGGATGGATGTATTGGATGGATGGATGGATGGACAGACGACAACGACAACGACAACAACAGCAGCAGCGAGACAGGCATCATGTGCGGAGCCGGGCGCGGCTGCAGCCAAGCGGCGGTTGATAAGGTGCGTTTTCGAGTTGCATGGTGGTTGGGGTAAGTGAGTGTGGAGGGAGGGCTCAGTCAGTCAGTGAATGCACCAGTCCGTCAGTCAGTCAGTCGTATACATAGATGGAGTATTGTTTTGGCGAGCAGATGCAGGCCCCCTGACCGGATCCTGATGGTTTGGACGAGACGACGAGCATGCGTGCGCCCGCGTTGGACCGCTGCCGATCATTCAGGCGGGACGAAACCAGGGTTCCTTCTCGGCGCTTCGGCTGCATCTCATCAGCGCCCGCTCCGGGGATTTGTGCGTGTCGAACGGCGATGCCGGTTTGGGCGTGGCGGCCGTGGGGTTGTGGCCAGGGGAGGCGGCGTGAGCAGCAGGTGCAGGCAGCATTCGTCGTCGTGATCGGGTGTGGCCCATGTCGAGGGGCCGCCCAAGTAGGTGTAGTAAGAGCGTGTGCCAGATGACAGCAACAGCCCGGCCTTGCTACACTATAATACTATGAACGCGCGTATCGCCAGTACCAGTGCCAGTCATGCCATGCCATGGCATGGCATGCGGCGAGGGCGAGGGCGAGGCGAGGGTGATGCGGGCTAGCACCGGCGTCGGCGTCGACGTCGTGGTTGACGAGTCTATAGCCATAGCCATAGCCATAGCCATGGCCGTGTTTCGATGGGCAAAGGCCGGGCAGGGCCAGGGCGGCGGGTGCACTGGTTTCAAGGCGTGCGTGTGTGGAGCATGGCGCTGGCCAAACGTTAAAGTGGTATTTTTTTCCTCGCGCTCTTGTTTGTCTTTCTCGGCATGCCTAAGCCCGGGCTGCACCAATCTCCGCGAGCGTCTGCGCCGTTGGCTGTGTGACGCAGGCGGGTGCATGGGTGCATGGGGCGAGGGACAGTCTGATGCTGCATCCGTTGCACGTCGCGCCGCTTGCAGGGACGGGCTGGCTGCATGTCGATTTCTGGAAGACGGTCGGCTAGCCGCTGGGCCAATGGCGTCGTCGGAACACCGCCCGCCCCAGATGGCGCTTGGATACCCAAGGGCCAGCAGAGTGGTTTGCCGGGTGCGAGGGGGGGAATGGCATGTGGATGCCTGGTGGGTGCGTGTGCGTATACAGTAGCTACTATGTGCTATGTATTGTTGTATGTACGTACACAGTACATACTCGGTAGTACGGCGACATGCCATGCCTCGACGGGCACATCGTGACTTAGAGGCCGATGCTATCGGCTGGTATTGGGTGCCATTCCAGGCCCCGTGCCCGCTTCCTATTGGCTGCACGCCCGCTCCCGAGAAAACATGTCGTAGCCCACCCAGCACTCTGCACCTGCGCCAACCAAACTCTGAGCCCCCATCCCCATCCCATCCCATCCACATCCATATCCACACATGCAACCCATCCCCATCCATCCCCATCCATCCATCCCCTGATCTCACCCGACCGCTGCTGCTGCTACTGCTTGCTTGATGCTGCTGCGTGCTACCTGCTGCGTCCTGCGTCCTGCTACCGCCACACAGGCTCACCGTGGCCGCCGGCCTGCGCTTGGAGGCCCACGCCCACGCACTCACCACACACCACCACCACCCCCCCTCTTACCCCCTCCCACAACACCAGTACCGCCGGGCTTTGCCCCGTAAATTGACTATTCTGTACGCCTCCAACTCCGACTGCTGCTCGCCTGGCTGCCTCGCTGCCTCGCCGCTCGCCTGCCCTCAGCGCGGCTAAACCACAGGGCCTGCCGAGCGAGGGCGTCGCCATGCACCCACCCACCGTCCGTCCCCGTCACGAAAAAAAAGTCGACCAGGGCTAGTAGACCGCCTGGAGAGCCACGGCGCCCACCCACACCCACACCCACGCCCCTGAACCCCGCCGTGGAGCCCAGCTGAGTCGCACTGCAAAGAGTCCCACTGCGGCCTAGTCGCACTACCGCACTACCGCTCTCTGCCATGATGGCTGCCCGCTTCGTCGTTTCCCTTACCCTGCCTGCTGTCTCGACAAGCCGGCCGTCGTCTACTTAGCTACTAGCTGCACGGATGCCCCGTCGCGCGCTGCGCCATGATACATGGTCCGCCGTGCTCGTCTACCCTCCCTGTCCTGTGATTTGGTCATCCCAAGCCTTCCTTTTCGCTTTCTGCACCCATGTCTTGCCGTGATCGTGCCAGCCGTGCCACTGGCCCTAGTCGTCACAGCGCTCCCTCACCGAGCCATCCCTTGGTGCTTGGTGGCTCCGTATAGTCAATACACACCCGTTCCCTGCCTGCATCTATCCCACTATTACTTGTTCTTGACTTTGGCTAGTCTAACCCTGGCACTCCTTGCACCATGACTTTTGCCGCGACCTCACGCTGTTCCAATTTCCCCATCCACCCTTCCGCATCTGTCTATATCTCTTGGCACTCCATATACCTATGCAGATGTCCCCTCCCCCTTCGCTTCACACCAGAAGAACCGTGATCAACTCTCTCACTCACACACACACATACAACCCGTCTGGACACATCAACAACACTCACACTCACACTCACCATCCCCCCCGTACATGCCGACTTCCTTTCCATCCTACCATCTCGACACCATGTCCGGCCAAATGCAGCCAGCACAACTACACCGACGCACCTCTCGTGGTTCGGCCAGCCAATCAGGATGCCGTTCGTCACGCATTGAAAAGACAAAGAGCCACCACAGCAGCCCAAAGGCCATGGAGAGGCGCAAGACTACTTCCGAGACCAAGCTATATGCTACCCTCGACGACCACTACCGAATGATGTTTGGCGTAGAGGCAGAAGAGGAGGAGCGTCCCCAATCAACCCGACCCGTGAGCTGGCATCCCGCGTCATCACAGATGCAGACTGCACAACAAACAAACTACTTTGACCCCATGCCAAGTCAAGACTGGCAGCAAAACTACTCACCATCACGAGACTCGTGCCATGGTTCCGACTACTACTCGCTCTCTGCCCGCAACTCGATGCTCGAGCCCCGGACTAGTGCTCCCTCAGAGTACGGCTGGCAAAGCATGCCTCAACACACTCCCGGCTATGTCGACTCTTGTGTCAACACACCCACCTCGGAGCCTCTTCCATGGTACCTGCAGCAATGGGCACAGAAGAACCAGGCACACAACACTGCCTCTGCCCAGCAGCAAGACCAGGACATGGACGACGAAGAGGAAGGCGAAAAGCTTGTAGCTCTTGGCCTATACGATGCTCCGGAGCCATCACTCAGCTGGGGTGCGCTCACGGAGGGTACCGGAAAAGGGCTTAAGCTCGAGGAGACTTGGCAACCACCCGAGGAGGACGAGGATGACCAAGACGATGACGATGACGCAAGCTCAGAGGGCAGTGTCGAGGAGCCATCGCCCCCCCTGCCGCCTGTCCATGTCAAGTCTCAAACACCCAACAGCCTGGAAGGCCAGAGCTTCTTCTTCGACGACGACGAGACCGTAACCAAGGAGTGGTGGTTTCAACAAGTCAAACAACCCTCTATGCCAGTGCGGGACGCTGGACTAGGATATGGGTGGTTGTGATTGTGGTCACAGCTTTACATTATTGTATATTTTTAGTCTTTGACCATTTTGGTCTTTTTTAGCACAGCACAGCACGGCGTTTTTTTTTTGGTTTGTTTGTTTTCATCAATGGCCCCCAGTTGGGAGCCAAAAAAAAGAGCACACTATTAGACAAGCAGCGAGAGCGAGCGAAAGAGATACCCCAGCCTTCACAGGCAAGAGAGCCAGTCTTTGCATCATCGCTCATACCGAGGTCAGATGGAGAGGAAATGCATGTATAGTAGTAGAGTACATTACATAGTAGCAGCAGTATAGTAGAAGAAGAAGAAGAAGAAGAAGAAAGGCATGACTGCAGCCAATCAAACACAATGACAAACAACATAACAAAATACCAAGTCCATTTTCCAATGACAAGACAAGGGTGACTGACTGACTACAATGGCAGGAGCAGTAGCAGCAGTAGCAGCAGGCAGCCAACCAGGGGGGAAGGCGCCCCTCAACACTATGCCGGCAACCACGACTACTACTATGACAACCACCATGTGCTTGAATATCGAATGTCGCTCGCTTGCTCACTCATTACTCAGTCATGTCATCCATCGCAGCCGTCAAAGCATCGGCCTGGTCGTGGCATGGCGCAAGCTTCTTCCACGCTTCTAGCCACACTTGCTCCAACCTTGGGAAACCCTACATGGTGGAACAGGACGACTAGCTTGCGGCATGCGCCGAGGCCAGGGTTGGGCGTCTCTGTCCCAAAACCCACGTCGAGCCCGGCGACCCAGCAAATGGCGCGTCGGCGACATGGGCCCGCATCCTCCGGGCCCATTTCCCTTCAGGTCCCAGCTGCCAGCCTGGACTGGGACTGGGACTGGGACTGGGACTGGGACTTGCGCAAATTGATCCAACAAGGCCATTGTGTCACACTGGCCGGCAAAGGCCCGATGACCGCCATCATCATCCCGTCCCTCAGCCTCATCCGCCAAAGCACTGACGGAACCGCCTTCACTAATCAACGCCTAACCGACAACTAACCGACGGCCCAGCTATCCCTCTCTGACTTGTCCTCCCTCATGCCGCCCCTTGGCCCGTCCACCCAATGTGCCGCCAAACGGGGAGGATCCATCTGCATCTTTTCCCCATCCATCGCCCAACCTCGGCGAGACCCGCCATAGTTGCCTCGTCCCAACTTTGCTCACCACGCCACCATGCCGCCCATGTCTGCCACGCTCGGACGCTACCCACGTAGCGCCCAATAGTCCTTCACACGACAAAGGTTCCAGAGTATGGGGTGCCAGATTGCCTTTGCCCCGGCTTTAACCGCCATTCTCTTACCTCATTGGCGCGATGCTCCACTCGCGCTAATCGCCTCCAGTCCAATCCAAGACGCTTTCTTTTTCTTTTCTTTTGATTTCCCAATCGTTTCGCATCCGACGCGTTCTCACGTGCCCTCTTGCTTTGAGACACGCAAATCACCCACTCCACTGGCAGGGGTCCCCACTGCCCTAGAGACCCAGCCTCTCTCTCTCTTTCTCTCTCTCTGTCTCTCTTGTCGCACGCCCTGAGGCTCGGGCGTGTAGAGCAAAATAACTCCGTGCGTGTGTGTATGTATGTGCGTGTGTGTGCGTATGTCCATGGACTCAAATAATAAAACTCGGTTTGTTGTCACGGCGTGGCGCAATGGCCATGAATTGCTTCAGCTACGCCACGACTTGTACTGCTCTGAGACGCTTAGAAGAGAAAAGGCTGTTAATAAGGTGAGCTGATTTTTGTCGGTCTGGTCGTCTAAGAAGCATAGTTCCAGACCGACGCAAGGCAAGAAGCAGTAAGCTGATGGCGCCTAGGTTTTTGCGTGGCGCCTGCGTAAGCCAGATACTCTACCTTTGCTGCTAGAGTCGACGGCAGATATTGTTGATGTCATCCTCCAAGATGGGAGGGGCGGCCTGCAGCACAATGCCCTGCGGCTGTTGTATGCAACAGCACTATCAAGGTAGGTTTCCCAACCAGCGGTCAATATTACCAGATGTGATTGATCCTTGTCCGGTGGTGGTTCGAGGTACCTATTGCACAAAATGCTTTGGACCAATACCCTTGTCTGCAGTGTATCATTCACATGCTTCGTCTTGCTTCACACCCAGACCCAAGCATGGGGAAATCGAGACAAACACAAAACATAGACAAGCCTCCGTCTAACAAGTGCGTAGATTCGTAACCGGTCTAGCAGACACCCAGATCGACTTGACGCGTGACCGCCCCTCGTGGTTCCCCGCTGGAAAGTCGCTCCAACTACCCCTCTCCCTGCTGGAAACACGGCACCGCATCGTCCATCGGCATTTGCCATCGCTTGCAGAGCTGAAGCGCGCTGCCGCAGACTCACTCGAGTGGCTGTGGGAGTGGTACTGGCGGCAACTGGACTATGCCTTTGAGACTGGCGGCGCCGGCGACGGCGAAGCTGGGGATGAGTTTGGGTCAGAAACCAGAGCAGCAATCAAAGAGAAACTGCAAGCTGTACTGAAGTCGTACGTCAAGGAAAGAAAAAATGAGATTAAGCAACGACGACAAGACAACAAGGCAGCCCAAACAGCCTTGTCAACATTCACCTTGCATTTCTCCGCCAACAAGCCAACACAGCGTATCCTGCTTGACCTCCTCGTAGACGAAAAAATGATTCTCCCCACCGACAAAAAACTAGGCTCGTCAATGTCGGGCGCCTTTCTCATCTGGACACCCCTTCTCACAGCCTTGTGCACTTCATCTACCCTGCCCCTCAACGCACTCATCACCCGCCTCCTCGACCACCTCTCCCCGTTCAAGGTAAGCAGCACCCATTACCATCATACTTCTACTACGCCGGACTCGGAGAATCCCATCAAAGAAGCAATCTACACCTGGCTCTCCCACATGCTCACCTCATCCGACTGGGCCTCCGCAAGACGCATCGCTGCCTCGGCAGAGAAACTGCACGAAGAAGCGCTTGTGCGGATTTTCTCCGCCCCGTGTTTCTGGGCCTGTAAACTCGCCGAGGCGTTGCTGGATAAAGGAGATGTAGCTAATGCGGAGGCCTGGCGTGCGGTTTTAGATGCTGCGAGGGGTGAGGGCGAAGGCGAAGGAGAGGAAGAGGGGGGTGAGATGGATGTTGATGTCGAGGACGAGGTCGAGGTCGAGAGTATAGCGGCGGCGTTGCCTGTTCGACGGGTTGGAGGCGATATGCAGAAGAAGATTCAGGGCCCGGTTAAGGTGTTGGGGATGTGGAAGGCGAGGCCCATTGGGTGGCTAGCTGAGGAGTGGGAGGATGATGAGTGACGTCCTTCTCCATGGTTGAAGCATCTGGTGGCTGGGGGGGGGGTGTTTTTTTCTTCTGGTATAAAAGTGAATTTGCAATAGACATAACAACAAAAGTTTGTGTTGGTTTACATGTATGGAAAATACGTAGAGGATAAATAAACCCCCCTCCACCCTTTTTTTTTGACATGTTTTTTTTTCTTCTTCTTCTTTTCTTCTCTATCTTGATTTATCGTCTCCTGTTTTCCCAGAATCTTGACCATATGACATTCATGCTTGTTTTCCATGTTGAATACTTAAAAGTCTATCACAACATGCACATGCCTCCTTGTACTCGATTTAACTACTGTTGTTTTTTTACTTTCAAACCGCCAGTCTAGATTGCCAAAAAAAAACGACAGACTTGAGCAAGTATAAAAGGTTCAGGGATGGTAATAACATTGTATTTTTACAGAGCGAAAAAAGGGGGGAGAAAGGATTTATATCTTTGCCTTTACATCAGCGGGTAAGATGCGATCTTCAATCATACGCATGAGTTTGATAGTTTGTTCCGCCAGTGTGAGGGTGAGAATCTAGATGAAAATGTCAGCATAAACTCTCCAGTCGTTCCCATAAAAACCCCCACCCTTCCTGAGAGAGAGTGAGATGAAGAAAGAAAGAAAACATACCGTATGCGGCAATATCCTGGCCAAATGCGCAAAATACCCCTTATACAACGCAAACACGCCCTCCGTCCGCACCGTCCTGGCCAGACAATCAAACGCACTACTGTACAAATTCCCCGTCTGATTATACATGCGCGACATAATCGTGTCCGGGGGGTGCATAACACAGCAGACGACAAAGCCGCTCGCTGTGCTACTCGCGATGTGCAGCGGCATACCCTCCTGCATACCTAGATGCTTCACCAACCGCCTCTTTGCGAAGAAATACGTGGGAAGCTGGACGGAGCTGCCGAATCCCGTTCGTACCATTGCGGGGCCCACTCCTCTATACAATCCCCGTATGCCCTCGCTGCTGTAGATTTGACGCATGCCGTCCAGCGCGTTGCGGTAGTGGTGTTGGGTACCGACGGGGAGAAAAGGGGAGTAGGATTGCAGACGGGTTTTCACGAGGAAGAAGGGGGACCCGGCTGCGGCGCCGAGGACGCCCGATGAGGCGCCCGAGAAGAGGTTTATGGAAAAGGATTGGAGGTTGGGGTCGTGGTAGAGGGTCGTGGTGAGGGTTTTGCGGATGGGTTCGTAGAAGCCGAGGCGGCAGCCGTTGAGGGTCATTTGGTAGATGTACTGTAGTTGTGTATTGTTAGATTTGGTATGCTTCTTCACCCTTTTTTTGTTGGAGATGTATTCATTTGGCATTCTTCTTCGCCTTTCTTTTTTTTCCCGGGGAGATATATTTGGGGGGTTTTTTTGACTTCGAGGGAATTTGATGAGAGAGACGTACTGCACATCCTAAACCGCGTAATAGACCTCGGGGTCCCTCATTCTTGAGAATGACGCTGACACCGTGGAAGACTCCTCGGTATAACCGCGGTGCATCGCTCTTTGCCTTTAGCTCGCCTTGTAGTTGTAGTCTGGGCGAAAGCGGTCAACCAGCGTGTTCGCTTTGCGGGATATTTTATTGAAGGCTAAGCCATCGGGAAGAGAGTGATTATTTTGCGCACCGGATCTTGACTGTTTCGAAGCCGTGCGTCACTGTCACGGCTCCGCATGCTGCTATGCCGCCGGCTATGAAGGAGCTGGAGACGGTAGACATTAGCTTTTGTGTATCTTGGTTGATGATAGGTGTTGTCTTACCCAAGGGTTGTAGACATGCTGCGGCCTTTTATGCGACTGGGCGCTCTGACTGTGCCTGACTGTGATGTTCCGAACAGGTGTATCGCCGTTTGAGGTCCTACGACAAAAGTCGCCGTCTACCGTTTCGTATGTGTGTCGCCGTTTACCGGATGTTGGTCAATTTCAAGGGGGAAAGGAGTGTAGGGCTTGGAGTCAAGACCGTAGGAAAGTAAAAAGAATTGACAAGTGTTGTAGTGTACAGAAGGGCAATGCCGGGCGTAGTAATTGTGAATAATCTCTCGGGGGTCCGGTTTCGGCTCAAGGCCGGTTGACGCTGTGACCCACTTTCTACCTCGCACCGCATTCTCATGCGCGCATTCCGCCGGCTCTAGCTCAGTCCTACGGTCGCGTCGCGTCAACCCTCACGCCTACGGAATTGCTACTCGATGCACATGGACATGTAAAGGAGATATCGAGCTAAGGATTCACGAGCTCCTCCCCACCCAAGCACTGCGATGGCGACGCCTGGCGGAGGGCCTCCTCCACCGCCTGCAGGCCCGCCGACACAAAAAGTGAGCGACGTCATAACGAGCTTCCGGCCTCAAAGAGTGAGAAGTCCCTTTTGCGCCCATGACTATCTACATACCTGTATTGACCAGGTTCACAGCGCTTCAAGTCTGGCGGTCACGGCACGTCCATTACCTCGCTCGACTTTGACGACTCGGGCGAACTCGCCATTGTAGCCCGCGACGACGACACACTGCAAATCTACAACTGCAAAGAAGGCAAACATGCAAAAGAGCTCAAGAGCCAAAAATACGGCGTCCACCTTGCGCGCTTCAGCCACCACGCCCAGAGCATCATCTACGCTAGCACAAAGGTCGACGATACCATCCGCTTCCTCTCCACCCACGATAACTCGTACATACGCTATTTCAAGGGCCACACCGACACCGTTACGTCGATTGCGCTATGTCCGTCCAAAGACGACTTCATCAGCTGCTCGCGGGACAACACGGTGCGGCTCTGGAACCTACAGTCGCCAAACTACGTTGGCTTGCTCAATCTGCACGCGCCTTATCTCGCTGCCTACGACCCATCAGCGACCGTCATTGCCATTGCTTCGCCGCCGACGCAATCTATCCTCCTCTATGACATGCGAAACTACGACAAGCCGCCATTCGCCACGTTTGACCTGCTAGAGTACGAGCAGCGCTTTATGGGGGGACAAAAGGTGGATTGGACAAAGATGGAGTTCAGCAATGACGGCAAGAGTCTAGTCGTAGCCACCAATGGCAGTGGCCACTTCGTCCTCGATGCCTTCTCCGGCGATATCTCGCATTTTTGTTACCGCAAAGCTGGATCCTCGGGGCGCCTACCACCCGCGTCGTCCGTCACCAATGTCAGTGGCGCTGCACGCAACGGGGACACGCCTGCAAACGGCCAGGGCGATGTGTGCCTCACTCCAGACGGTCAGTTTTTGATTGGAGGTAGCGGAGAAGACGGCCTGCTGGTATGGGATATATCCAAGCCTCCTGCGCCCAATAACATCTTAGAGCCAATGGAGAAGCTTCCGGGTCAAGGCAAGGGTGCTGTTGTCGGGTATAACCCTAGGACGAACCTGCTCGCGAGTGCAGATAAAGATTTGTATCTCTGGCAGCCGGACGCCGATTTGATGATTTGAGGAGGGTATTGAGAAGCCTTGGGTACTACATGGGTGTTTATGGGAATAATAAAAACAGTCTGGACAAGAAAGGCTGGACCTGAGCGAAAAAAGGGATGCGCCAAATAAAGTGCAATGCGAGCAATCTGCCCCAAGGCCACCATCGTCTTGGAAAACAGGTAGATGAGCATGATTGGGAGCCCTCGGTCCGAATTGTGAAAAGCCCACGGTGGATGGCGCTACCGGATGCGCAGTAGGCAAAATGGGACTCTACGAAAAAGAAGGTCAGGCTCAAAGAGCATAGCAATACAACCAAACTTGCAAATTCATAGACACAAAGCCAGCGGATACGTATTCCAGATATCCGACCACGTGACGAATGCGAACCAGAGCGCCAAGAAGGGCACGGGCGGGCAACTCCTTTCAGGCGACATCTCGCTTGAGACTGTCGTCTGCTGCCATTGATCGATTTGCAGATCTGACAGAGAGCCCAATGCGAGCGAATGACCAAGCCTGCCACGGACATGAACTTTGCAGCAACCCCGAATCGAGCCGGACCCAAAGTGAATCAGTCGATGAGGGGCGCCTTGTGCTCCGCAAAGTTGCTTTTCTGACGCTCACCCCGCACAAGGATGGATTGTGGCGCTGAGCCTCGCACACAAGTCATCTGCGTTGAGTGAGCACAGATGGTGACGAGGTGCGGTGCTTGGGTTGCTTTGCATTTAGGCCCAGCACAGTGGGCCATGTTGCAGACACGGGCGAGTGTTTGTCCTTTGCACCACGGCATACTCAAATTGAACACATGAATGACTGCAGCGAGCATGGGGTTGGCTGACAAGACAGGGTGCAGACACAGCGCAGAGGCAAAATACGACGGCTCACGGCGGACTGTGAAACCATAGTATACAGGACCGACGCGTCCGCCCATGTCGAGGGCTATGGAGCCATGTCGCCATGGTCGAGGCTCTGGAGGGTTTGTGCTACGCATGTACAAGCGGCAGCTGAAGAGGCAGCCAACAGGCAGCGCAAACCCCAGGATTGCTTAGGTCGCTGGCGCCCGCAGACCCCGGCCGAGAGCGAGGATCAAAACTGGGCCAGTCGCTGTGCTTGCACCTGGAGCCGTGAGTTTGCCGTCAAATGGACCCGCTGTCATCTGGCTCGCCCTGGCCAGGATAGCCCGGATGCGTGGTGAGAGACTGACGACATGTTTGCTGAGCTCGTGAGTGCGACGATGAAGAAACGAAGCAGTGGTTGGTTGTTGTCGGAGAGCGAAAGCAGGTCGAGATGGGCTCTCGGGTGGCGAAGGACCACGCCCAAGGACCCCCTGGACCCTTAAGCCGAGCCCCGTGGTAGTACTGGAGGCCTTCTCCGCCCATGACATTGTCGCAAACGCCTCTCTCCCTCCCCACAAGCAAGCACAGAGAGGGGACCCATGACGGCCCCCATCTAGATGCAGCAGCCTCACCTTTTGGCCAGCAGAGTTTTCACGGCGCCCGTAGAGGAAAAGAAGCACCGTCCAGTCAGACGGGCGACATGTCGACGGCACTACTGGCGCACACCTACTGGGGTTCTCCGCATCTTGCCCATAGCGCTGGGTCATTCGCGCCTTGCCTCGTCAACTAACTAGCCATATCACCACGCCCCTCTTCTTCTGCCACTCCCCGACTCCTCCCCGACGGCTTACCCTGCCTTGACCTCTCGACTCTTCTACGCCTCAGACTCTTCCTGGTATCCCGAATTGAAACCTGCTCGCTGTTAAAACCGTGTCATCTGCGCGGGCCATGTCCGTCTCTCCGCCCTGAACATGGTCTCGTGACATGCTTCCATCTCGACACTGGTGCGTGCGGTCCACAGAGCCAGGTTTAGCTTCGCCTATTCACTAGCACTGCATTGGTTTTACGTTTGCTCCTGTGGCTTCGTCCCGTGCCCGTCAACCAAACTACACCTACACTCTCATCATCGACTCACTCTCCACCCAAGAATGCCAATCCGTCTCTTCACCTACTCCTTACCCAAGATCGTGCATGAGTTTGGGTAGTGGAGGATGTTGCGAGCCGGTACCGAGAGCACACGATCAACATTGAACCAGCCCCCTGGAACTGTCTGGACTACCAACGGTTCCGCCACGTTACCATTCATCTTGCTTCCGCCGCCAGCCATGAAGCTCACATTTCTGCCTCGGCCGCCGATATCCGCTTCCAGGAAGCGTAGCCGAGCTGTGGCTGATATCGACGGAGAACATTCATGTGTGCAGAAAAAGAAACGCAGGCTTCGACTATTTCTCATTACATCACGACTGTCTCCCCAGTTTTCTCATCCAGCAACCAACATTGTCGATCGAGGTAGCTCAAAGATTGCAGTATGGGCCAAGCAAAAGGCCCTGGGACGGAACTTGCTTCCCAAAGCTGCCATCCTGAACGGCATACGGAGACGGAACATTCTCATGAGGGACTCGTCTGGACCCAGTGCCCGAGTGTCGATTGTTCGGGAAAAGGAAAAAGCGCAGCTTGAACTGGCTCGTTTAGAATTCACTCACGGAAGCGTCGACACATATACTCATCCAGTCCTACTACAGAATCCATCAGTCCCACCCAGCGCCGCCATACGGTCCGGCAATCGCTTTGTCATGTCTGGGTCACCCACCAATTCTCCAAGTTCGTCAAGAAGCCCTTCACCCACATCACACGATTCGCCGACGTCAGGTCCTAATGAGACAGCATCGTTCCGTTCACCAAACGAAGCATGGGTCTTGACTTCATCACCAACCAAAGGACACTCGCTGCATAGAGACTACCATCCCCTTCCGCCGTCTCCGCTAGGTGTATCAAACTACGACGCTTTCGACGCGGAGGAAGATGAAGTGGACCTCTATGCTCATCTAGACGACGAAGAACCCCTGCCAAGTCCATTTGATGAAGAAGATGACGATGAGGTCGTCCCATTTTCTCCTTCTGCTGTCACCACCAATATCTCTACAGCAATACCAACCAGGACGGCGCATGCCACTAGCATGTACTCGGACTACACCATGCCAGACTATGGTCATGTTGACACAGATGCCAATTCATCATGGCTAAACACATATCCAACTTCTCATTCCGCATCAAAGCGGACAGACTCGTTTGCAACATCGCCCAACTTCCGCCCTTGCATACCGAAAAAGTCGATATCGCCAGAGATGTGCGCAGTAACGCCGACGACGTCTGTGTCGCCAAACTTTGCGCCATCGACGCCAATATCAGCTGATGCGACACCCATGGCGACATCGCCCAATTTCGTTTCTACAATGGCACCGCCGGTAATGTTTGCCGAGTTTCCGTCACTGGCGGCGGATGGGAACTCTACTACAAACCTTCGGCCATCATTGACGTCATCACGTCGGTCGTGGGTGAAGAAGGTGAGCTCGACTGACGAATCAATGCGTTGAGAATTGAGTGGTTAATCTTGTCGTCGTTGTTGTTTTAAAAAAAATCAAAAAGGCGAATCCCACCAGGCATCATGTGGGGGGGGGGACACAGAGCAAACATGTAATTGTATTCATCTTGCACAGGAGCATTTAAAGGGAAAAAGGAGCAAAAACTCGAGGCAATAACAAAAAGGCGATTATGGGAAGAGGGTTCTTAGCATGGGAGGGAAACTGCATTTCTGGCGCCAATCGAAGGCAATGTGATTGGGATTCTGTGGGCCAATAGTATACATGCATTTTTTTTCTCTGTATGTGCAATGTAAGATATGTGTAGTATATATGGCAAATACATACAAAGCAGAGCAGGCATATCCTGGTATATATATGTTTTTTTCTCTCCTGGGGTCAAGGAGAAGCAATTTAAAATCCAAAGGGGTTCTTCCTTGATCAAAGAACGAACATGGTATATATTTTTTTTCTCTTCATTCAATTTCCCACTATTCTGGAAACTTTGCTTTGATCTATGACGACTTCAACATCTCAAAGTACGAATCCCTCCCTCCCTCCCTCCCCCCTCCCTAACTGGCTCCTATTGCTGTTGCAACTTGCCTGCGCGATCAAGCGCAATATCACACATGGCCTGTATGGCCTCTTGGCGCTCAGCCGCGATATCGGCGCGCGCAATGCGATGACGCATATTATTCATGATTTCCGGGCGTGAGCGACCGTTTACGAAGACGCTGTTTTTTATTTCATTCTTTGATTAATTAACTCTTCTCTGAACCTTTATTTTTTCCCTTCTTCTTCTTTTTCTTCTTCTTTGGCTCGGAAAACGGAAGCGTATCAAAGGGAAATAAGATAAGAAGCAAGGAATGGGATAAGAAAGAGAGAGAAGGAGGGGGGGGGGGGGGGGGGAAGGAAATAAAACATACACATATCTTAAACCCGGAAATGTAACTTCATACTCTTCATTTAGGTCCTTTAGTTCCTCTCCTTCTCCGGCTAGATTCGCCTGCTCAGCTCGGCTTTGCTCGCTCTCTACTTTCTTCGCGCCTAGCCTTGGGTGCGCGCATAGTATCTCCTGTAAGCGTTCTGCGTCCTCTGGGGTGGAAGAGGCGGTCAAAGCGCGCAGTTGGGTTCCGATGGCGGTGATGAGGACGGCGTAGGAAGGGAAGGTAGTGCTGCGCAGGACGGGGAGGGTGAGGGTGTGCAGGGCGGGGCTGGGCTCGAAGAGGAGGTCGAGGGTTGTGGTTAGGGTTGTGTCGGGGGAGTGGGGGAGGGAGGAGATTGGGGGAAGAGAGGGGGTCATTGTTTGGTGGGATTTGGGGTGTGGATTTGTTGCTTTTCTTCTCTGGCTTGGGTTGGAGATTGGTGGCCGTTTTGCTTTTTTGGTGATTGGAGTACGAGGGTGGATTGAGGGGTGGATGGGGGTGGCACGCTGAGGGTAGTGGACCGGGGATTGGGGGAGGTATGACGTCTTGTGGGTTTGGGTTTCTGGTTCAAGTGTGTATTGGAAGCGTGAATAGAGAATTCTGAAGGAAGAGAGGTGCAATTGCTATTCTTTGTCGTTGGTTTTAAGACTTTTCTCCTACTCCCTTCGGCACGGCCGCTGCCGTCCGATCAGCGATGCGGTAATGGATGCATAGTGGAGGATACTGCAGGTCGAAGCTGCATGCTGCAAGGGGAGCAAGACGGTCACTGGTCTTGAAGATGCAAATGGGTGGGTCGTCTTGGTGCGGGGCAGATGTGATTGCGATAGTGGCACGACGCTTCTTTGGGTCTTGGACAGACGGTGGCTGGCTAGCTTTCTGCTGGCCTCGATGGTCTTTGGTCACGCATCGTGTTTCTGGTGGCCGAGATCAAGGTGAGATATCTTGTGTGTATATACTACTACTTACCAAAATGTCGTCATGTAGCTGACAGATTTACTGCCAAGAGGGCCATGCGCGGAAGAATAAAACAACCTTCAAAGTGTAGAAATGCCAGCGTTTCAAGGAACAGCCATGACGAGGCAGCGATCTCCCGTTGTGACCAGGTGCAAGAAATGTAAAACGGCGGGTTGCTTCTTTTCCGGCATCCCATGTGTGCCGTTGGCGAAAAGCAATTGCGCAATCCGGGGCACCAACGGCCATAAAATACCCCAGCCATGACGTGACAAAAATCAATCATACCTCATGCGGTGCCTGGCTGTGACTCTGCGTGCCTCAGGAATACTGATGGAGTCGTGCCGTGTTCCTGCGTCGGGTGGAGAGAGAGGGGGGAGGGAGTCTATCAATGCAGGCCCCATTGCCACATGGGCGGCACGAGGGTGGTCGTGGTAAGATGGTACCCTAAGCATAGCGCAGACACGCAGGTACCACAGCCCATGCCTCTGAGGCGTCAAAGGGCCGTTTTTTGTGTAGGCATACAGACACATTGTTTTGCTTTGTCGGTGAATAGTTCGGGTCGGCAAGCAGTGGAGACTGGGAGAGGGAGGAGGGAAAGGTGCGGGCTAGGGGCGTTTCCAGGGCTGCGCACCGGTTTACCCCTGTGTGCTTGTGTGCCTGAAACGCCGCGTCTCCACGTTTGGCCGTCCATTTGGCTTTGACTTGCGAACTCGCGTCCCCTTTGCAGTTGCCGGGTGCTCAGCGCATTGTTCCCAGACCTACGCACAAGGCCCTTTGCACATGTACATGCGCACATACTACATACTTACATACTTGAGTCTTGCTGAAGCCGTCGCATTGCCTCAGTGACCACCACCCACACACTCTGTCTCTCACCCCCCCCTCTCTCTCTCCCCATGGCCCGTGCCATGCGCCTCTGAGACCCTTTGCTCTCTCTCTCTTCTCTCGTATCTCTCCAATTGCGGACCCCCGGCCGGGTTGACCCCTGTCCAGCTTTGACCTCCTGGATATCTTGATTGCCCGTCGTCGAGCGACCAGCGGCGACGAAAAAAGAAAGCCGCTTCTTTTGCTCTGAATACGCACGGCTTTGGAGAGAGCCTGTCCCCACACGCCCGGCCCTCTCTCTTTGCTCCACGGCTACCATCATGTCGCTCAACGGGCTCGACAATGTAGAAGTCACACAGGCGTATCAGGGCGCCCTTGCCGAGGCTGGTGGTTGGTACGACTCTCCCGCTACTTCTCGCCTGCTTGTTTGCGCGCGCAGTATGCTGACATTTGGCCGTCTAGGTTCTTGTTGAGATATACGTCAAGGGACTCTGTCGAAGTCCTCAAGCGGGGCACTGGCGGAGCAGGAGAGGCGCGCGCTGCCGTCGCTCAGTACGAGGACAAGTCACCGCTATATGGTCTCCTGCTCTATCGTCGGCGCAAGGTCTTGGTCAAATACGTGCCGGATGGCACTTCGCGCCTGCTGCAAGGTATGCCGCAATGCTGACTTTGCTGCATGGATTGCTGCTGACTGCCCATCTGTAGCACGTGTCGCTGTCCACTTCATCAACATCTCGGAGAAGTTTGCGCCTCACGACATTGTCCTGTCCATCTCCACTCCAGAAGAACTTAGTGATGCCGCCCTCGCGTCAGCATGCAGTCTGCACACCGCCGCACCTTCAAGCTCCTCGTCCAGCGGGTCATCGCGCGGGCCAAAACTTAGTTGGATTCAGGAAACTGCCGAGGAGACATGTCAGCCAGACTCAACTGAAAAGTTGACAGCATCGGAAACGGCGGATACCAGTATACCCACTATAATGGAGCCGATCAGAAGTAGTACTGAGGAAGACCCCACACGGTGTGCCTCTCTTACTTCGCAAACCGAGTCTGTCCTGTTGATACTCGAGGAAAAGGTGGTTGGCCATAAGATTGCACCGCACATCTCTCATGTCACCGTTGAGACGGTGACTGAGCCTCCAGAGACACCCGAAACCACTGATCTGTCGGACCTGCAAGACACGTTCAAGAACTACGACTCGCTGTTTGAGGGCGGACCGGAGCCGAGAAGCTCGTCTCAGACGACGCGGCCAGACTACAACGAGCTTTATGAGCACTACTACGCGCAGTACACCAAGCCCAAGGTCAAGCTGGGTCCACGGCCACGCCAGTCGCTCGAAGGAAAGCGCCCGGCCACGTCAGGGAACACGTCACAAGACATGGCAAGACAGGTGGCATCGCTCCCCGCGGGGCTGCGCGCTGCGGCGCGAAAGGCGGCCCAGAAGAAGGAGTCCAAAACTGCCTCGTCCAGCGCTGTTCCCGCCATTGCGGTTCCTCCACCACTCGATTTGCCTCCGATGCCCGAGGTGCCACACTCGCCTGTTTCGTCACTATACACGCCGCGCTCGCCAATCAGTGTCAAGTCTATGCCTGTTGCTGCATATAAAAGCCATCTTCGAGCCACGGGAACGACACAAGAGCGGACGAGGCTGATGAAGGCCCTGGAGCTGCGCAAGAAGCAGCAGCAGGCCCAGCAGGCGAAGAAGGACAAGGAGGCGGCCGACGAGTCGACTGTAGATACTGAGGAGGCGGAAGTAGGTGAAGAGGCGACAGACTCGGCGGAGATGACTCGTACCGAACATGGCGAGGAGCCTGAGGCAAACAAAGAGACATTGCTTGGTGATAATCTGCACACTTCCCAAGGCCCAAGCAATCCTGGGCTCGTCTTTGCGGACAACCCAACCGAGGGAGACGACCTAAACTCGACTGTGTCGATATCATCTCCCATCTCCGCCCAAACCCACGGTTCGTCTGGCGCACCATCAACGCGGCCGTCGTCCTTGTCCGAAGATGAGAGCGGACTAGACGACCCACAAAAGCGCCAGGGTACGCTAGAGTCCCAAGCTCCTGATCCCTTTGACGAAGAACAATCCGTCGACAGTACACCAACCGTGGTCGCTGACAGCACCACCCCCCCTCCGCCCACCAACGCCCACGACGAACCCACGCAGGGTCCGCTAATCACCCAACGGGCGCCTTCTTTTGACGACGATGCAGACAGCAGCAGCAGGAGGAACACGCTGAGGCCTGCCGAGGACGACACCCACACCCGCCGCCGCTCGAACCGGGAGTCGACCATATACATGCCCTCCGATGCGGCAGCGCAGCCAGAGCAGGGACCGGCTACAAAGCGCAACAGAGAATCTATGCTGTTGCCCGCTGGCTCCAAGAGGGACAGCTGGTTCGAATCCAAGGGGAAGCGCCGTGCACAACTCGACCCACTCAACGTCAGTGCGGAAAACTCCGAAACCGAATATCTGTCCGACGACTCCTTCATGGAAGAGTTGCAGAGCGCTACAGTACATGAAGCCAAGCCTATGTCTGTGTCCAAGTCGCCCATCATGCCCTTCTTTCCACGCAAGTCACCGTCCCAAGCTGAGCTGTCGACACCCCCCAGGTCAGCATCGTCAAACTACCCTACTAGTCTTACGCGTCCCTCCCCCGAACAACAGCCTGCTCGCAAAGTGTCTGGCGGCTGGCCGCCGCCACCGCGGTCAGACACGTCGTCGGCTCCCAAGAAGATCAATGTTTCGTCTGGCATCTCACAAAGAATCAAGGCTCTTGCCGAAAAGACTAACAGGGAGTCGGCTTCTGTAAACCCTGCAGCTGCTACCCTGAGTGCGCCAAGTTCGTCTGTTGCCCAACGCAAGTCTTCTTTCTTTGCATCCTCGCCCCTTGACACATCGCCCAATGGATTGTCTGCCTCTCGCAATGGAAACGCCTGGAGCCGGCCGTCGTCTTCTGCCTCAATGATTGATAGGAAACCGTCGGGTCCAATCAAGTCGACCGTATACAATGTGCAACAGGGGCCCGAGAAGCCAGAGTCTGTTCAGGTTACTGCACGAATTGTTCGTGATGAGCGAACAATGAACCCCACTCTAGCCATGCCAACCGAGGGCACACCGCTGGACCTCCACCAGAGCCCCCTGATTATTGACCACCAAATAGCCACTCCCACACCCAAGAGTCCCCCTCAGCCGCCGAAACCGGAGACACCGGTCTCTCGAGACACTTCGTCATCGCACTCTCGGGACCACAGTCTGGCACCCTCGCGGACGTCTTCGGAGAGCACATGGAGGACATTTGGTCGCCGGATGAGTGAGTCGAGGTCTGTTCACAGCCACGATGGCGACGAGAAGAAGGAAGACAAGAAGGAGAAGAAGGAGTCGCGCACGACCAAGATGTTCAAGCGCATGTCTTCATCCATGTCTTCCATGCCCTGGAAGAGTTCGAGCAGCAGCCTGACACTTCCGGAGAACGACATGCGGTCGACATCGTTGTCGTCTCTGCGGGAGCCACCACCTCCTATGCACGTCGGTGACTTGAATGTTCAGTTTCCCGACACTTTGGTAAGTTGATTGTGTATACACAGTTTGCTTTTTTTTTTTACTGTATGCTAACTTTACACCAGCTCTGGAAGCGAAGATGGGTCGAGATCGACTCCATGGGCAACCTGGTCCTTAGCCCGTCAAAGCACAACGAGAAGGGAATCGTCAAGCGTTTCCACCTTAGCGACTTCCGCGCCCCATACCCTCCCGACCAGGACCGACAAGAGCTGCCCAACAGCGTCGTCTTGGATTTTGTTGATGGCCGGACGCTGCAGTGCGCGTGCGAGACACACACAGCCCAAGCCCAGGTTCTGCAAAGTAAGTTTCTCAAATTCGAAGATGTATGAGACATGCTGACAGCCTATAGTCCTCCGCGAAGCGCACGATGCTTGGCTAGCATACAACCAGGCGCAGTAGAGCCCTTGCCCTACAGCACCTATACCCTCATTAGACTTTCTTTTACTCTCTCTTAGCCACCTGGATGTAGTAGCCAGCGACTCCTTATTCTCTTTGTCATGACGTACGACTACAGCATCAAGCACCACCCTTCTTTCCTTGTGTTGGATATAAAATGGTTCTACACTGGGGCTGTGTCATTTTCCTTGCCTAGTTTCTTCTTCCTCTTCTTCTTCTCTTAGCACATTTTGTAGAGTTTTTACTTTTTTTCCCTTTGCATACCCGTTTAGCGTTTGGGGGGGAAAGTCCAGGGGGAGGCCATAGGGCAGGCTTGGAGCATCACCATCATCACCATTGTCACCACCAGCAATGCCGTCTTGTTTTCTCTTCTTCTCCCATTTCTGGCATAAGGGGACCAATTTGTATAATATTTAATGCTGCACTGGAAGGCAGACTGGCAGATAGCTGCTGGTACTTTTCAGTCCAGGGCGGCACATGTAGTCTGAGACGGCTAGAATGCAAGAGAGCAATAGTCCTCTTTTGAGCGACTGTGCAGCTGGTGTGCTTGTGATGTGCCATGTGATTGTACAGTAATAATACCATGTGCTTGTCGGGTGGCGGCGGGCTGGGCGTGGGCTGGCGGGGCTGGTCGGCCAGGGTGGAGTAAGCATAAGCGAGGGGAGTGCCTGACGTCGTCATACCAGCATCGTGCATTTGATGGATGTGAACATGTGCCAGGACAAGAGGACAGCAATGGGTCATGATGCTCTGCGCAATAGGGCCTACTCTTGCCCCCGGCTCTCTCTCCCACCTGCGCTGCTCTGCTCCTCGTGCTCTCGGTCTACACACACACCTGCTATAGTCTGCGCTCCAAAAGACCAAGAGGCGCCGCGCCGACATCCATCGAAACGCGCCCCGTAAACTCCGCACTCCGCATGCACATGTCTAGGAACCGCTGTCGCGACACTCTTCCTACACACACACCACTCCTCGGCCTCGGGTCCCGCTGCCACAGCGCATCCTGCAGCGACCACGCGTCAATCGAGCGAACAGCCCCTGTCGTTTAGGCTACCACATCCACTATTCCACCGTGCCTCAGCCTGCCAACCGTACAAATAAGCAACTCTGCGACCCGCTTGGGACTCTCCTCGAGCCATGCCGGCGTCTTCGTCTGTCCACCCGTTTGCCTCTCCCAACGCCATCCCGCCCCGCACGAGTTCCACGGGCATCCTGAACCCTAGCCCCGGCAGTCCCAAGCAGCCACCCTCGAGAACATCGGTTCTGCGTCCCTTGAGCGAGATTGACTGGCTGGGACAGAGCAAGAAGAGCAAGACGAGCCACTCTGCCGAGCCACTGAACGCCCATCTACAAGAACAACGGACCACGCCCCACTTGGCCTCCAACAAGTCCCTGTCTGCTACCGACGGCATCGACTCCTACATGGACACCACGAGCCCGAATCACGATGGCGGCGCAAACTACCCTACCCCGCTGTCCCCGCCCTCGGAACACTCCAAAGGCATAGGCGAGGAGCTCATTTACGGAAATGGCGTCGCGTGGACAGAGGAGAAGGAGCGCATACTGCTAGGGCCATATGACTACTTGTACGGGCATCCAGGCAAGGACATCCGTAGCCAATGCATAGCTGCTTTCAACCTGTGGCTCAAAGTGCCGCCGGAAAGACTTGACATTATTACAAAAGTAGTGGGAATGTTGCATACCTCGAGTTTGCTGTGTGTACCTTTGCTGACATACTTTTCGACTTTTGCCGCTGACTTTTACTTCTTCTCTCCAGTGTCGATGATGTAGAAGACTCATCTGTCCTCCGCCGCGGTATTCCCGTCGCTCACGCAATATTCGGCACGCCCCAGACCATCAATTCAGCCAATTATGTCTACTTCCGCGCCCTCGCCCTGCTGCTCTCCATGAACAACCCCAAACTCATCGAGATATTCACCGAGGAGCTACTGAATCTGCACCGCGGCCAGGGCATGGATCTTTACTGGCGAGACAGCCTAACCTGTCCCAGCGAAGCAGACTACCTAGAAATGGTCGGCAACAAAACCGGCGGCCTATTCCGCCTAGCCATCAAACTCATGCAAGCAGAGTCGCAAACAGAAATGTACTCGTCGCCTCCTCTCTCTCTCTCTCTCTCTCTCTCTCGCCATTCCTCCTGATGACTAACATTTCGCAGCGACTGCACCCCCCTCGTCTCAACCATCGGCCTCCTTTTCCAAATCCTAGACGACCACCTCAACCTCTCGCCAACCTCCGGCTACACCTCCCTCAAGGGTCTCTGCGAAGACCTCACCGAGGGAAAATTCAGCTTTCCCGTCATCCACGCCATACGCGCCGACCCTTCCAATACCATCCTTATCAATATCCTCAAGCAGAAGACGACGGACGAGGAGGTGAAGAAGTATGCGCTGAGGTATATGGAGAGTAAAGGGAGTTTTGAGTATAGTAAGAGTGTAGTCGCAGAACTCAGGGCCAAGGTTGAGGAGCATGTGCAGAGGGTTGAGGGGGTACTTGGGGAGGAAGGGAGGGAGGGGGCCGAGGCGTTGAGAGTTATGCTCGCGAGGCTGGTGTTGAGGTGATGAAGGGAAACGTTTCTGAAAAAGAAAATTCTTTTAGCAGCGAGGTGAGGCATGTTAATAGAGGTTGCTTGATTGCTTGATTATGGGTTCTTGGGATGATGATGATGATGGATGAAATCTTGTTTTACGGCCTTGAAATAGTTTTGAGAGACCAAAATGGTATACCCCACATTTTTTATCTTTTATTTTCCTCAATACAATTGTTATATTGTTATTATTTTTCCCAGAGGAAAGTGATTGCTTTTTGTTGACTTGGTAAGTTTTCGTATTGAGCTGCGGAATGAAATAATAATAATAATAATAATAATAATAAAAGGGAATACTGTCTATTCCATGTTCGTAAAATGAAAATGCATAGAAAAAAAAGGGGGGGGGAATGCCATGTGCCCCAACGCCAGTATCAAAGATGCAAAACTCCGTCGCTCCCAATTTGAAATAACAAGATGATTTCCTTTCCCCCCCTTTTTGATTCCTTTGGACTTGCAACCTCCAAAATTCATCATCTCGCTTCCAAACAAAAGACATTCAAGATTTCACCTTCTTCGCCGTCTTCTTATTTGGCTCAGCCAGAATCCTATCCCGGTGCGCGCCCAGCAACTTTGCAACTTCAGCTTTGAACTGCTCGACCCTCTGCTCATGCTCAGGCACTGAATCGTCCGAGCTGCGTGAGCTCCAGGGACCCGACAGACACATCTCGCCCAGCGTCAGAACATCGAGAGCTGCATCGGGCTTGCCTTTTGCCGCGCCAACAGCTTCCAACCAGGGAAATGCATCGCGGTAGAATTGGTCTGCTCCATCGTGCATGGCACGGTAGCTGCCAATTGGCGCTCGGATGTCAAACGAGGTGAGATTGGTGGCCCAGGCGAGGGCGGCAAAGCACGCGTTGTTGTAGACTTTCATTGCGCGGCTGTGGTGCCAGCCTAGGATCTGGAGCTTCCTGAGGCGCTGAGCACGTACAGGGCCAAGGTTGATGAGAAAGCTGTAGAGGGCGAGGCTGTCGACGAAGGTGAGTTGGTTGCCGTACAAGATGTCGATGCCCTCGTGGTAGATTTGCTTGTTCACTGCGAGTAGTGATGGAACGAGAGGAACATAGTCTCCATTGGCATCGATGTTATCTCCGGTAGCGCGTTTGGAGGTTGTGTTGTAGTATCTGCTGATTTTTGACATGTATTCTGCTGACACGCGGGCGGCGACACGGCGCTTTTTGTAGCAGGCGCTGATAAAGTTAATGCCAGATGGATCGCAGAGCGCATAGTTATAGATTGTGTTCCGAATCTCTGCAGGAAGGTCCAGGAAGGGGAAGGTCTTGCGCTTTGGAAGTGTTTTGGTTGTTCGAGCTTTGGGCTTCTGGTAAAGCTCCGTTAGTATAGGCCACTCTCTTGCACGCGGCAGTGCATCGCACCTTTGCTTGAGGGCTCTCAAAATCAGATTCCGTATCTGAGTATTCTAGGTCGTCAAGATGGTATGAGACTTGCGTCCTCTTGCGCTTTGAGTAGCGACCAGATGCAAACGTCTCTGCAGGAGCTGTGGCGGCAGACATGGTAGATTGGATGGAGTTTTCAAATCAAATAGTCCGAGAGAAGTTGAGATGCAATTGAATGTAGATGGAAACGGAGATGTACCTCTGAGTTGCTTTAATAGAATCACTATGGTGAGTGTCGCAAAGTCAGGCGCAGTTTGCTTTGGGACTAGTGTAGGCTGCAATGCGGAATTGCAGGGATTAGCAAGGCATCAACTCGACGGCGCAGGCACCGCCTGGTAAGATCGGTAGAAGTGGAGATTGCACGGCTTTGCCTCAGCTTTACATGTAAGCGTTTGAACGTTTGGTGGCAAACCTTGGAGTAAAGGTGAGAAAAGAGAAAGAGGGAAAGGCCGAGTCGCAATGGCGTCACTCCTCGCGCTTAGCCAGGCACCCCACTAACCGGAATGAGAGGGCAAATTATCATTCACCATCACCAGCAAAATGTCTTCAATACGATCGCTCACCTCTTTCAAGCTCGATTTACCTCCCAGCTGCATCGAATTCTTTCCGCTCAACCCGCAGTATGCAGTAGTCGGCACGTACAACCTTGAAAAGTCCGACGAGAAGGATGCTGCAGGAAGCGCTCCCCAGGATGGAAAAGTCAGTGCCAAAAATCAGCAGCGCAACGGCAGCTTGATATTGGTAAAGGTGGACGGTGACAACGTGTATGTATAACTTTACGATTCTTGGGGTTTCAACTCCTTATATCGTAATTTTCATGTGCTAACTCCCAAAGCAACATCATTCAAACTCTCGCCACGCCATCAGCCATCCTGGACATTCACTTCTTGACGCACGTCACAAGCTCAAACTTTGGTGTTGCGACTTCCACAGGAGCTTTTGCCATTTACGAGCTTCAGTCGTGGCAGCGCAACCCTAGCATCAGCCACATCAAGACCATCCAGTATTTCCCTGAAGATGTACTCATCACTGCCTTTTCATGGCATCCAGAGTCTTTCATGGTCGGTATGACGCTCTCAAACGGGCAGGTTTGTCTTGGCGTAATCGACACAGAAGGTGAAGATGATTCCCCCACCAAGCTGGAGGTTGCTACGCATGATCTGGAAGCTTGGACTCTGGCGTTCCTTCCTGATGGCTCTGGACTACTCTCTGGAGGTGACGATAGCACGCTGCGTTTCGCTGAACTATCTGACGGCTCTGGAGGTAGTGTACCTTGGATGGATGGGAAGATACATGGTGCAGGTGTCACTGCTATTCTTCCTGTACACCTGGATACCCAGGGCCTTCTCGTTATTACTGGTAGCTACGACGACCACTTGAGGCTCGTACACATCCCCATTTCCGGACGCAGGCAGGTGCTTGCAGAGACCAATCTTGGAGGCGGAGTTTGGCGGCTCAAGCTACTTGACCGGAACCCCAAGTTGCCAGAGCATCACGGCGTGGAAAAGTGGAGGTCGGAGCCACCTCCTGAGGCTATCCTCTTGCTTGTGAGCTGCATGCATGCTGGTACGAGGATTGTCAGGCTCACCAAGAGTGCTGGGGAGTGGAAAATCGAGGTGTTGGCGAAGTTTGAGGAGCACGAGAGCATGAACTACGGTAGTGACTCCCAACCTGGGCTCAATAGCCAAGGCCAGCGGACATATATATCCACGAGTTTCTACGATCGTTTGCTGTGCTTGTGGAGATACTAGATAGATAGTACATGAGAGTATCGAATCAGACTTTGCAATATGAGGAGGCAAATCAAGTTCAAGATGAAATTGCTATGGAAACTAAAGTAAGAAAAGCATAAAGAAAAGAACAAATAATCAAACATCCGTCGTCATCAAACTATCCCAATCAATACTGTCAGGGTCAAAATTATTCCAATCCACATCCTCCCATCTCAAGTCACTACCACCAGTGAGGTCCAGCCCCATGCCATCGTGGCCCAGCTCCCCCACCTTGGCATCATTGCCCTCGACATTACTCATGTCGACGTTTTGAAGAAGAGAGGCGTCGGGGATGTGTCCTTCCCCGTTTGTGGAATTCGTGTTTCCGGAGAGAGTTGTCTCATTAGTGTAGGATCGCGTTCTTCCCTCCTCGTCGATCCATGTCTGGGGAACCGCCAGCTGCCCGAAGGAAGGGGCAGGAATCTGGCTTGGGCCCGCCGCAAAGGGCTGGGCCACCGCTTGTTGTGGTATTTGCTGCGCGAGCGCAGACTGGGGTTGGGAGGGGGGAGGGGGGAGAAGGGAGCGGTATGTTTCTGGGATCGGCGGCACCACTTCGACGCCGCCGTTTTCGTAAACGCGAATGTGCTCGCGAGAGAGATCGAGCGCGGTGGTTGGAACCGCTTGGTACCCAAAATTATTGGGCCCGTTCTCGATAATGACCAGCTTGTTGAGCTGGTATGATGTGTAGGTGGCGCCTTGGTGGTTGGTGAAGTCGCCGAGGTTGCTGAAGCCAACTTGTTGTGGCATGACAAGTTGGTACATCAGAGCTCCATTGTCGTAGAGCTCTTGAATCGTCATCGGCCGGCCAGTCTGGCCGATTGATGGGTATGGCACCCACATGAAGCCGAAAGGCAGTTGCTGCTGCTCGGCAGAAACTTCTTGTCGTGTACAACTTGCACCGTTGGACACGATTTTCATATGGCTACCGCTTTTGGTGCGGTAGTGACCGGGGATAGGCTGGTGGTTGGTGTTTTTCATCAGGGCCTGATAGGCCTCGTAGTCTTCCTTGATGAGCATGACCTTCTCCAGCTCCGCCTGCATCTGGTTCCTGTGCGAGGTTGTCTGGTTCTTCATCTTGGAGTATTTGGAGACCATTTTGAACAGCTTGTAAAGGGGGGTTCCGCTTAGTCTTCTGTTTGGTGATGTTGGTATGAGAGTGCTTATGTGATGGTACTGTGAGATGGCGAGATGGGAATTATAGGAGGGAAGTTCCCTTCTTTTATACTTACAAGAACACATAGCTAGAACCATGCAAAAATACCCCACACGGAAGTACGACTAATCGCTGTAATAATTCAGTGACACGTATTCACTCAACACATTACACTCCAAAGTCACCACTCCAGACATAATCGGAATCAAAAGCATTGGCCGTTATGAAAATAGCATCTTCGTTGACAGGGAAACACAGGTAACATCTTGGAACATCAAAGCAATCAGCCACTCCTTATACGACATTAACTTAATGAACCTTGGGTTCTCATGTCAGAAAATAGCTAAACAAGATCAGGCAGACTTCTATTGGTGTCAAATCATCGTGAGTCTCATTAACAGCAGATGACATATCTGGGACTAAACCGCTTCATTGTGGTGCTGGTGATTCAATAGGGGGCAATAGGCCAGTCATCGGCGCTGGATTCACCAAATAAATGCCGCTCACACTTCAATAAGGGAAAACGATGGTTACAACCAGAAAACGAGCGACATCGTGGACGAAATCTACACCAATCGGTATGTTTCGGTACAGGACAGAAGACACATCTGCTATATGTACTGGCTGTCATATGTGACACTGCCATCGTGAGGTTGGGGAATCATGGTCCTCCCGGTGCTTGCCTGGAGACAGGGGGTTGAACCAAGGTTGAAAGTTTATATAAACAAGGCATATGGATTATGTTCCTTGATCCAGTCAACGAGGAACATGGAAATGTGGACCCCGTATGCCCATTCATATTGCAAAGGAAAGAAAACCATATAGACAAATAGACGATCATGCATTTTTTGAGTGTGCGATATCTCAAGAACATCATAGGCGAAGATGGGATATGCGATAACGACCAAACCATCTCTATCGTATTTGAAAGCAATATGTATTCCACCCGCTTACTATCTAAATGTTCTAAAATGGATATGCCCAGCGCCCAACGCTATGCTAAGATGCAAAATATCAAAAAATATGGGTATCGTAACACGTAACGCAACGCTGCAAATGACAACAAAATATCGCAAGCTCCTCATCTTCTCGCAGGTAGCGATAACATCCCATCTGGAGGCGCTTCAACCCCCCTGCCATCCTTCTCAGCCAACAACGCCTTGACCCTTTCAACTCTACTGACGGCTTTCTCCAAACGATCCAACCGCCCCATCTTCTCTCTATCCCTACGTTCCAGCGTCTCGATACGCTCTTCCAGTTTCGCTCTTGCCCGCCGCTCCTCAGCAACCATCTCGTTCGCCTGGCTAAAAAGCTGCACGCTCAGCTCCTCAATCTCCGTGTCTACCGTCTGTATGCGCGCCTCAGCTTTTGCACGAAGAGCCCGCTCACGTTCGAGCTCGTTAATCAGTGCGTGGTCATCTTTCGGCGGAGGCGGCGGAGGCATGGCTCCTGTGTTCGCCGGAGAAGGGAAGCGATTTGTGATGAAGGAGAAGCGCGAAGCCCTTGTCGAGTTTGCGGTGGTGGGACGCGGGGGATCGGCATCGATGGAGGGGCGCGGTGGACCGCCGTTAAAGGTCTTGTCGGATTGCGAGGTTTGCGAACGCAGTGGGCTGGGAGCGCGCTGGCTGTCTTTCAGAACGCGTATTTGGTCCTCGTAGTCCGCACATCTATCGACTGGATGCCTGTTAGTCTATATATGTAGACTTGTAGGTAGTGCCTGCTCTGCACATCCTTAGGCACGTACCAGCTGCAGTGGCCTTCTCCTTTAGCCGTTCCATCTGCGCTTCCAGTTCCTCTATCTTTCGCCTTGCTTCTTCGAGCTCCTTCGTATTCAAGCTATAGCCGCATGACGGACAGTTGTGCGTGTGGGTACCGTTTACAGTGTCTTTGGCAGGCTGTGGCGACGCGGGCGGGGAGACTTCGAGGGCTGCTGCCATGATACCAGGCGCGCGAACTAGGAATTAGGTTTGGCGGTGTTTTTGGTTGACAGCTTCGCGGCAGGTGGACAGAATATAAGGAGAGAGTGGGGTATGTCCTGTCGCGTGGTTGTAGCAAAGGACCCTTGTGGTTTCAGCGTCAGCGTGATCATCGAACCCCTGTCATCCATGGCCCATGCAGGGTCCTCCCCGCGCTAAAGCCATTTACGGTCTGGGTGGCTTGGCCCGTGGGGAATACCCCAGGCGTCATACGCACTTTAATCGAGCTACGAGAGAATGCCCAGAACTTACCATTCGTAAAGAGGGTCATCATTATGTGTTCTGTTTCTCTGTATTTGATCTCTTCCATTTCGAAAAAAAATCTCGTTCTCGATTCGATCTAAATTTGAACATATTAACCATACAACCGGAGGCTAAATTTAGATGAAGCTTCTTAAGCGCCAAACTTCTAAGCAAACTTAACGAAACCATTCATCTTCACAGTTAGCCGCTGATTATTTCTATATCTCATGCCTTGACCTACCGAGATAGCCTCAAACTATACGTTACGCGAGTGTAGCCTTGTGCACTTCTTCTCGTTCCTGAAGCTTTGTCAGATGTCTTGCTGGATGAGCCTCCCCGGTCTTTGAAACCTGCCAGAAGATCATGCTAAACACACCCTTACCCGTATTCTTCTGAATTCAAACTATGCGCCAAACTATGTAAGATCAAACACTATAAATGCCGCAGCTTCGTGTGCCAGGCAGATTTGTTAATTCTCTTAATCTCAATCTTGAGTCTTCCCATGCTAGTAATGATACTGTTTGCTTCACATTGTTTCAAGAGCTCGTAAATCCTGACATAAACGGTAAATTTGGCTTCTTTGAAACATCTAGCTCAGTGATGATTCTACCACACACTGGTCAAGGTCTGTGGAAGTGAGGTGATCAAACACCATGCTCGAATATACAGTCGCAATCAAGTCTTCTTTCGTGAAGGACATAGAACTCATATACTGATCTGATCGACATATTCTAAGCATAGAATAATAGCAAAAGAGCCGTCGCATGAATAATGACTTGGCCATCGTCTGGAATTTATGTTCATCATGAGATAAGTATTGACTGAGCTTACACAGCATACTTGATACGTCAAGAGGCGACCCAGTTTTGGACAAAAACAATATGTCGCAATTAATTACCTTGATACGGGCATTCAAGCTAAGTGTTGTTTAACTACGATCATGGTAGATACGATCTGCTACGTGTATGCTGGGGTTTTCATCAATGCACACCCCATGTGAAATCGTTCTTGTTGTCTCATCTTCCTAGGCTGTTCGGTATCTTTCAATATATATTTATCACTATCGCGGTTATTATGGTTTTCCGACGGCGTTCGCTCGCGCGTTGGCTTGCTACCAATTGTAAACGGCTTGCTAATATTGAACATAGGGAGGCTATTGCTATAAGGTCCATTATCCGGGTTGCTAACTAGGAAGGAGGAAGGTAGTATGCGATCGAGCATGGGGTCAATTGGTTTTCGCATTGGTGGTAAAGATGCGATGAGTACACCAACTGAGAGCTCACATGCTGGTCATATGGTCATATTGTTGCCCTCCCAAGTTGGATCGCGCGTCTTTTCCAAAGCGGACATTTCAATCGTCTTAACTATTGAGAATGCTATCGCACTATTCATGAGTTAGATCTTTTGATTCTATGAATGATACCTGCAGACTCACATCGAACACAAACAGAAGACAACACGAAGTCCCCATTTCGCGCGTTTGCGTAGCTGGATGGTCGGTAGATATATAATCAGTGCAGCAATATAAACCATGTCAGTGACGCAATTCGAGACACCCTAGTGCAGTATTGGTGAGGCAGAATCAATATGATAAGTACTTTCGTCGAACCTGGGCATATGTTAGGATCCAGGATCTGACGACCTTGGCTGTGGAGGCATGCTCTGTATCTGATTCCTGTCGCTATAACGCTCAGTATCTAGAATACATATCAGTGAAATTCCACGTCAATGAATAACGACAGAGAACTAATCGCTGCAATGGTAGTGAGACAATGGCTCAGACTGAGTTTACGACGACTTTTGATGGTATAGCTGATTTTCCATGCGAGCACTATAGTGCTCAGCACGCACAAAATGGTTTTTGGGACTAGTATGTTCGGAGCTCGGTCTGGCCAGTGCTTTTTCTGTGATTCTGGCATAATAGGTAGCTATGATAGATACGTCGTTGCGTCAAGAGGATAAATTCAACATCACATCGCACTATGGAAAATTGTTCGGCACAATGTAGCGTATAGCGCCCTTCAAGACGCTGGGAACTCTCCAGGAACGCTTGCTGGATAGGTGCAACCCATTGAAATCCATGTATCAATGACTCGCAGTGTAGGATTGTACCAACACTCCAACCCATTTGGCATCCATTTCCCCCCTCCCGCACCTAGCTAGCGTGCGGCTCAGCAGACCGATTACCTTCCGTTTCCCGCTCTCGCGCCTTCCCGCTGATCAAATTTCATTAATATCGGGCCTTCGCGATGTGTTGGTCGATGTTTGCTGCCTAGTCTCCACGCAGTCTACATCTCGGTTACTGTGGCACAGAGCAAATATCTTGATGTAGATATACTACTCGACTATCCTTGCAGTATTCATTAAGCACCAGAACGCATAGCAAACCATGTAATCTAAGTATTACTAGGCTATATACTCCCCTTATCATACCTTATGTCTATCTCTTTACAAATTTCGAATAGGACGGAGTCTGTATTCTCCTGGTAAGTATGGTAAGAACTGTCATTGGACAAAATTAAGACCATGAAATCCAGCTTAGCAAGTAGAAATTGACGGCCACAACACGAAAGCAACGGGAAGGACGAAATTTACTGGCGAGCTAGATCTGCATTACCTCCGCAATGTACACAGAAGCTCGGGGAATGCGGTGTTGGCTTAATCTCTTGGCAGCTACACCGACCCTCTTCAGTGTCGTTCCATTCTTGACTGATTGGTTTTTTGTAGCTCTGATCGATGCCTTTTTTTTTTGGAAAAAAAGGGTGTTCGCTTTTATGTTTTCTTGTTCTGTTAACAGCCGAGCGCTACATAGACGAGCGCAGGTTCATTTGCTGCGCGGAAGTTATCATCCGGATGCACTTACAGTTCGAAGTACTAGCTGGTTTTCAATGAGGAATTACCTACTAACCTGTGCGCTCATTTCTTTGACCAAAACGCTTCCTTGTTATCGCAGAAAAACCACAAGAACCTAGACAACTAAGGAGGTGACCAAACCGGACAATTTTAAATAGCTATCTGCCTCTTTTAACCAATTTAATTACTTACCTTTTTGTATCGTTGTTTTGCTGTTTTGGGCGCACTCAATCGGGAGTGGGTACATGGGCCACATGATTCCTTACTCGAAACGAACTTCTTCGTATCCAGGGAAATTACTGCGAATCCTTCCGCTTGCGACATGTGACAGTCTGGGGTCGCTGCATACGCAATCGGCGAATCATCGTGATACAGAGTCAGGTGTGGAGTTCGCCAAGACCCGTTGTCCCGCCCCATTCATCTCCTCATCGCGCATTCCGTACTAAAGATCTTCGTTCGTCTCGAACAGGAACTGCTAACCATGGAAAAATATGAAAGAGGAAAATATGGCCGATATGAGCTGAAACAATGGCGTTGAGGGATTGACGGTATGATTGCAGCCCAGCTGTGAACCCTCAAGCCCTGCAATGACTTTGCCGCAATATGGATAAGTAAGTCGGCCAGGTCGTACCATCTGAATCTCTCAGGTCGCGCCACAATATGCGACTGCGCTCAACTGCAGCGAGGAGTTTACGTGTAGAAAATGCCATAATAAATTTCAATTGTTGACATGCATATCTAAAATTCGAGACTTGTTTAGTACCTACATCGAAACATACAGTCTTACAAACAAGTGATGGAATACTGGTTGAATGGTGTGGCATAGGCAAACTATGGTATCGAAGCTGGCTTATAACCCAACTTTCCTATCATGATAGTATTGGGTGCTCTTGCTCTCGATATCGCGATTGATCCACATGTTTCATCCAAGGAGAAAAACAGGCGTGCTACCAAGGAGGCGTTGAGCTAGTCAAGGATCGGCTGGCCCCAATAGCCATTCTTCAACCAGATCTCGGGGGAGATATGCATATAGGAACGTGTTGCCACGCGCTAAGACCCACATAGCTAATTTACAAACCCCATCTACCACGTGCTCGGTGACTTAGCACTACCGATGCTAATCAGGTTGGCAAACCGACTCATGTTCCGATACCAAATTTATGCACGCACATATACCGACATGAGACTAGAGATTGCGAAGGATGCCCGTAAAGAGTTAAAGAACCTTTACGAATCCGCTTCTTGAGACCTTGTCAATTCCTCCATGACTCTTCGCAGGTCTTTCCCTGAAGGTACAATTGAGACCATCTAGGAAAGATGCGTTCTTTCAAGATCATAACAGCCGCTGCTCTGCTAGGGCTTTCGACCGCCCGAGAGACCTACGACTACGTTATCGTTGGAGGCGGCATTTCTGGCTTAGTTGTTGCGAACCGCCTTTCCGAAAATACGAAGAGTGAGATTAAGATATTCAGATACTTGAATCGAACTGATTTTGTGAAATTTAGAGACGGTCCTACTGATAGAAGCCGGCGGTGCAGACGATAATCCAAATATTCGCGTTCCCCGTGGCGCCAGTTATGCACTGAATGAGTCTCTTTTTTGGCCCGACTATCTGTCCCAACCTGAACCATTTCTTGGGAACAATTCATGGAAGGCGCGCGTAGCGCATGTTCTCGGCGGGGGCTCTATTGTCAATGGGATGATGTATGACCGTGGGTCTGCTGCCGACTATGATGCTTGGGAGGCATTGGGTAACAAGGGTTGGGGTTGGAAAGGGTTGTTACCATTCTTCAAGAAAGGAACGGAATTCATTCCCCCGCCGGCAGAGACAATCAAGAATTTCGGGATTACTTGGGATCCCGAAGCGTAAGCCCCCATATCTTATTTGAACTTGAACTACTTCTAATTCGGCTAATACCAGTTACGGAACCGGCCCATTGAAACTTGGAATTTCGGACACACAGTACACCGATATCCTCGATTACTTCAAGGCGTTTGAAGGTACTGGTGGCGCACACAAGGCTGTCGATGCCAACAACGGGGAGGCCTACGGTACTTCATGGTACCCAAACACGATGAACCCGAAACTTGGCGAAAGATCGCATGCTCGAAACTCCTACTATGAACCTGTCATGAGCCGTACGAACTTGAAGGTTGTGCTGGAAACTACTGCGACTGAGCTAGAGTTCTATGACGGCGACAAGCTCGAAGCAAAGGGCGTCAAAACCATCGAAACAAAGACAGGCGCATCTAAAACCTATTACGCAAGAAAGGAGGTTATATTGGCCGCTGGTGCAATCAATACGCCCAAATTTCTTCAAGCAAGTGGCATTGGACCAAAGTCTGTTCTGCAAGCTGCCGGAATCCCTGTGCGGCTTGAACACGATGGTGTTGGTGCAAACTTCCAAGACCATCCTTACACCAGTCTTGCATTCAACATCACCAACATCAGCAAACCAAACGGGAGATCTTTGGACACGGACCCAGCATACAATGCTTCCGCCTGGAAACAATACTTTACAAAGCAAACTGGGCCCATTACGCTAGCTCGTGGCAACGCGCTAGCCATGGTACCGCTCCCTATTGTCGACCCCGAGAACTACAACAGTATCGCGGACAGGGTACTAGGACTGAATGATGATGCTTATCTACCCGCCATGTATAAGAACAGTAAAAGGTTACTCAATGGCGTCAAGGCACAGCGCAAGGTTCTTGCAGATCTCTTCCGAAACAACAAAGCTGCCGTCGTAGAGTTCCCTATTCCAGATGCCGGCGCATTCGTGCTTGTTGGCTTGGAGAAGCCAGTATCACGCGGCAGTATCACGATCAACCCTAAGAACCCACAAGGGCCGCCGCAGGTCTTTTGGAACACGCTCAGCAATCCGATTGACAAGACTCTGTTTGGTTCGTCTATTCGCTACCTCCGCAAGGTTTGGGCGGGCCCAGAACTAGCAAAGTACAGGCCAGTTGAAACGTCCCCTGGCGCACAGTACAAGACTGACGATGAGATCGTTGATAACTTGGTCGGTCAAAACGCCATCCTACCTTCACTGGCACATCCTTCTTGCAGTTGCCCGATGATGCCGGAAGATATGGGTGGCTGCGTTTCGGATGAACTCGCCTTTTACGGAGTCAAGCATTTGTCTATTGTCGACGCATCCATCATGCCTCTGATTCCCTCGCAGCATATTCAAGCGACTGTGTATGCTGTCGCTGAGAAGGCTGCCGACATCATCATAAACAGGGGCTAAGGTGATGATGTAGTTGGTTTTCTGGGCATTCGTTGTACACATATATATAAAGAGCCAGCTTAGTATACAGATAACTGTATAAGCAACAGGCTCCCAATAAAGGTTTATTATCTGTAGGCATGATCGTATTCCACATGGTGGTTTGGCCTGCTCGCACTGATTTGGTTGATGCTTCTCATCCAAAAGCCATGTGATGGTGTTTTTTAGTAAGAACGTGTAAGGGCCGATCTGGGGAAAGAGCCCAAAGCAGTAGGTGCGCTAGCCTAGTGCGTGACGTCCTGGTAACTCAACTTCCACTCACTCTCCCGGTGACCTTCACGCTAACCTTCATTCTTATCTCTATTGCTCTGCTTACGTGCATGCAGTCAGCCCGCTTCAAACATCAGCGTCGTTGGTTGTCGCCTTCATATTTATCTATTACGACATTCGGATGGCGTCCCACCTTTCGCTGCAGTTTCCCCAACGGTGGAAGGTGGTTTTTTTCGGCGTTTTCGGCTTGGATGCTCTCACAAATCTTAGGGCTTATGATGCTCATTCCAACAAATGTTTCATGAAGCGATCAAGACATATTGATTATTCCAAGCATACTTGATAATATCAGAAATTAGCCGTGAGCTAGGGTGGTTCCGCTTCTAGAATTCCACTTTTCTCCACGTATGGGAGATGAGGTGGAGGCTCCGTGCACCTTTACTCACTTTCGGGCTGTTGACGCGATATTAATTAATTGCAGAGATTTAGGATCGGCCCTGTACATGCATCCGTCAGCATCGCATCCTTTCCGATTCGAGTGAGCTCATCTGCATTCGACGATGAAAGCAGCCAACCAGTACGAAGAACAAAATGAGTAGTTGACTTTCACGATGCAAACAACGCATTGATCAGAGAATACGTCTCATTAACAATATTAGCGAAAGGTATGCGCTAACTTTGGTATATCGCAAGACTAATAATCACCAACGTCACGACCCTTGCAACAGGCATAATGACAAACACACAATTAACCATGACTGCATCTAAGATGAGGTCCTGACCTGCTCGACGCGGACGTGGTCCTCCTTCTCGAAGCCGGTAGTTCCTCCGTGCTGCATGATTTCCTCCTCAACCTTGCCCAGATCAACGTGGGCGACCTCAGCCTCGTCACCATCGAAGATCTTGGCGACCTCCTCGAGAGTGGGTCCGCGGGTCTCGACGTAGAAAACGGTAACGAAGACGAGTTCGAGGAAGATCCAGCACTGGTTAAAATTAGTAATTGTTCTAAAGAAGTTTCTGTAATAGATCAACTTACAGCATAGATGGTGTAGAACTTCCAGGTGGGGTGAAGGTACTGGAAACCATAGGGGTTGACGTATTGGTTGATGGTGAGAGCAACTTGGATGAAAAAGTTCATGATCATGAGACCCTTGGCACGAATCTTGAATGGCAAGATTTCGACAGTGTAGGCAACGAGCAGACCAGACCAAGCTAGAGCGTAGGCAACAGAGAAGATCCAGATCATGGCAATGACGGCTTGACCAGCAGCCTTGCTCTTGGTAGCCTCTTGCTGCGATGAAGCGATGGTCCAGACAATGAAGGTAACGCACATGGCTGCGGTGGCAGAGATGAAAAGCGGGCGGCGACCGACGCGGTCAACAAGCAGAGCGCAAGAAACGGAGACGATGAGTGAAAGGATGGTAAGACCACCGTTGATACCAAGCTGGGTGTCAGAATCCTTGATGCCGATAGAATCGTAGACATCGGTAGCGTAGTAGGACACAAGGCCGTTGCCGGACCACTGGGAGAAAAGACCGAGAGATGCAAGGAGCATGAGCCTGTACCTGTTACCCTTGGTCTTGAAGAAGTCGAGGTAGCTGGAGCTCTTCTGGTATTGGAACTCGAGGCGAAGAGTCTCCTTGATCTCAGCATATTCGAACTGTACAGTCGCGTTGTCAACATCACCGTTGGCGTGGTACTTGGCGAGGATGTTAAGGGCCTCCTCGTTCCTCTCCTTGGAAATCAACCAACGTGGAGACTCGGGAATGAACCAGATGGCAGCCAGCTGGATGACAGAGGGGGCAGCCTGGGAAAGAGCCGGGATACGCCAGCACCAGTCGTTGTTGATGCGCTTGGTACCGAAGGTCAACCAGGTGCAGATGATGGCACCAACGTTCCACAAGCAGTTGTAGACAGCAGTAACACGAGCACGGTGCTGAGGGTGGCAAAGCTCGGTAAGGAGGAGAGGCGAAGAAAGCTGGGCTAGGGAGTTACCGAAACCCATAAGGAAGCGTCCACCCATGAAGTAGTCGAGGTTCTGGGCAGCACCCTGGATAGCGGCCGCAGCAATCATGATGACACATCCAATGGTGATGCATGATCGACGTCCAAAACGATCGGCAATGAAGGGAGCAATGGGCAGCGAGGCGATGGAACCGATGGCGTAGAGGGCAGTAAGAAGACCAAGAGTGTCACCCTTGGGGTCATTGAAGTAGTCGGTCCAGATTGGGAGAATACGCAGGTTGTTCAACATGGAGCTAGAAATGGTCAGTGCATTGCTGATGGAAACGCCAACGGCATGTGCTTACCCATCGTAACCCGTGGTCGCAGAAGCGATACAGATGAAGAAGGCGTAGAAGTAGAGCTTGCGAAGTCCAGGATCCGACCTCCAGTTGACCCTCTTGAGATGAGGAGCTTCGGCCTGAGCAGCCTCAACGTCGGCCTTGCTCTTGGCCACGGCGCCAATCTTTGGCGTAAACTTTTGGGCGAAACCCATGATGTCCACTACACCTCGTCCGAAGATTGTTGGTAGAACGGAAGCAACGAAGGAACAAGGGCAGGTTTGGTTTGAGACGCACAACCAAACACGGTCCTGTACAGCAGGGAATATAAGCTGTTGACTTGTCGGGGTGGGCTGATTGCAGCTGAACCTAGAAAAGAAGGATATGGTCGGTGGACCATATATATGTCTGCTGGTCGGGGAGCGACCATCGCGTGTGGGACCCAGGCCTGAGAACTACGGCGGTCTAGCGGACCGGGTAAATGCGTCTGCGTCTAGAGAGTCGTGTGGTACTTTCACGGATGAAGCGCCGTATGGGGTAGAGTGGGCGGCAAATCGACCAAAGCGGTGGCCGCCAGGGTGCCACGGCCAGGCCATGGGAGCAGCCTCGGCATGCGGGACGAGCAGCCGTCAAGGAAACCAAGCAACAGACGAGGCTGGTCTTGTTGCGTCTTGTCTAGCCATAGTATTTGTTGGCTTCTGGCCAAGTTGGTTTGGCAGACGCGGCTGCATAGCATGACACCAAGGCCCGTAGGCCAAGGCCCGTGAGCCCGGCGTACCTGGCGAAGCTCATGAACAAGCATTGAACGGCCTTACTTCCGGCGCAGCTTTGGCATGACAATTCCGCCAACCTTCTCGAAGGCGGTGATCAGCTGTGAGAAAGGCGCAGGCTACGGTTGAATAGATTAACCTGCCTCTAGCCCCTTACTCTAAGCTCGACTTCTCCAGCGACTGGGAACGTGGGCCTGGCAGGAATTTCCCCAGGGCTGCCCCACTGGGATTAGAGGGAGGCATACAATGCACACAGAGCCGAGGTCAAGGAGCGTTAATTGGCGGTAAGGAAAGCAAGGCGGCCCGTGTAGTGGGCTGCTCGGAGCACGTGACACGCATACGAGCGCCAACGGCGAGGAACCGTCATTCATGGGTCGCGAACCCGTCCATCGGGCCGCCCTGCTTGCAAGTACTCTAAACAACTATCTATGCGACCCCGCGGCCCCTCCACACCTTGCCTTCAAGCACTCCGCTTATCTTTCGCACCATCAGCGCCTCGCACCGTCCCCAGAATTCTTTCCCCATGGGCACGTCTTTAGTCGTTATGGATACCTGGGGAAGTCTCACGACATGCCTTGCCATGCCACATGTCTACTTATCTCCCTCCACCCCCATTCCAACAACCATGTCTCTTGATAGTGCATTCTGCACTCTCCGAATCCTTGATTAGCGTTCTTCCACTAATTGTTTCCCAAATACCCTGCACGCGGGAGACCTCGCTTATGCCTGGGCGCATTCTGGGCAGTACCGCCAACGGGTGGCTGGCATCTTTCTCCATGACAGCTCTCCATGACCCAACGCCCGTGCGGCCATCAGGCAAATGGTATCAAGGCGTTCCGCCGTGCCACTTCATACCGGTTGAATGGCAGCAAATATTGCGTGTGTTGCCCACAGCTCAATCTGGCCCCGAATGAACTCTCAGCCCCGTCAATGGATCCTCTGGCCGCTGTGCCCTTCCCTCAAAAATCTTGCCCAGAATCCACATACGGTGCGGCTGATGCGGCAGTTGCTTATGCATTGCTTGTCTTGCTCGTATCCAGAATGTGGAATGAGTAGTCTTGGCTGGTGTACATGTCCTATCGCATACCTTGTCCTCCCACCATATCGCCAATCTCAGCCTTTCGATTGGCACCCTCGACCATCGAGTAATCAATTCTGACTGCACCCACACCTAGCTGCATCCGATGCGCTGTTGGTGTGCTGGAGGAGGCCTGATAATTTCGCGCCGTGGCTTGCCTTTGTCTTGGAGACCCATCAGCATCACGAGGTGCACATGTACCGTGTCCGGTTCCCCAAGCAAAATTGCGGCCAGAGAATAACGAGTATCCACAGCGGCCCTCCGTGATCCACAAAAACAAGTCTCCACGTTTTCACGCCGAAATGCCTTAGCTACTACCAAGCTTGGAAAATTCGTTGTGGAGTGAGCGTTCGTGCTCTCACCATCCCTACCATACGCAACTAGTCATCGAGGTACCTGCGCCCCAGACCTCTTGATCGGTGGTTTTAACACAGCCAATGAACAATGATGCGACGTTGGACATAAGATTCCTGAAGCTCCAACCAAGGTCTTGTCCCGCATGCCCGCGTCTAAGCTTCGCAAGGGCTACGCCACGAGAAAGCACATTATCCTGGAGCCCCGCCACCGGGGTATTAGGCTAAATTGCTGCAAATCGCGTCATCACCTGACCGAATCGGTGGCTGTTCCAGAAGTACCTCAGCTACTATTTTCCTCAAATAAACAAGAATTGGATGGCGAATTTTTTTATAGATCTACGTGTGATCGCTCGTGGCGCCACGGTCAACGCAGCACCACGCCCCCAGTCATGAGTCCAGCGGCGCAACACCAGTTCTACTATTGAAACTTTACCCCCATTTTCCGATGATCACGCGAAACGGGACAGTGTTGCGTCAAATATTTAACATTTGATAGGTTTCTCCGCAAATATGGTTGACTTTCCAGATTAGGCTGACCTGGAAACTCCCCATTCTTAACTTTCACAAGCATGTGCATTTTTTGTTGTCTATTGAACAACCTCTGGATTTCCATTACCATCGTAAGACTACGAAATAGCTACTTCGAGAGGTTAGACTTGCTTTTCCCTACCTATGCCTGAAGAGGCACAGATACGTGTACGTTGGCCATCTTTTCCCCTCATTTCACGCATGCACAGGGACGATCAGACCAAGCAATGTGCCGTACGAACCGAATACATGCCTTCACATGGCGATCCTCCTGGCACAACAGAGTAAAATCGTCATTATCCTAAAAGAGGCTTTGTCGGATCCTGTCATAGGTGTAAAGCAGTCGCGATTAGTAACATGCAATCGTCAGCCAAGACATGCCTTACGTTTAGTACGATTTGCCATCACCTGGTAGCTGGTGGCTAGGGCGCCACAATGTTGTGATGTACTCGCCACTGACATGTGAGCGTCTGTACCAAAGCGACTGGAAATGTGTCTTAGATCATATCCGGTTGCACGGAAGTGGGACGAAGTACTAATACCACACTCGAAAATTTTAATATCGTGTGCTTGTGAGATGGCTATGATGGCTCCTAGGAAACTTCATCCTACTCGTGCCTTGATCTAGCACTAGTGGTGGTCATGAGTTTATTTTTACAGCGTACGACAGGAAAGCCTCTCTATTCGGCCAACATTCGCAAACTAACCATCTCTCATCTCTACAACATATGCTAATACTCCCTTAAATACTGGAGATGTTGTAGAGCTGCTGACAGCAATCATGCCGTCGATATTTGAGAATAGAACAGACTCACATCACTTACCTTTCTGCATGGTAAGATACCGGTTCACAATGACAAAGTACTTCATAGCCCGGTTCCAACAAAGATACTCGAGTAATTTACTACCTCGCCGACAGAATCCTCGACCTTGCTTCCATCCCACCGCCACTTGCCATCTAGACACTATAGGTTCCTTGACGCCCAAAAGTCTCATATTTTCGAAGCGTGGTGTCCTAAAGTATTACCGAAATGGCGAGTGGTGCTGGTCAGCTCAGATCCTTGACTACTTGCTACTATGTCATGCCCTAACCTTTTCGACACGCTCGCGGCATTTCGGTCCACCGTCATCCCGTCAAGCACAGTCCTTAGTATCTCCATTTGTACCACCCACGGTATGGAGAATATAGTAGCCCCATAGCTGCTTTCTAAACCACATGCAAGGTGAGCTCGGTGCGTGGATATCTGAGTATCTCAAGATACTATTGTTCCTGTTCGGTATCAACGTGTACCGTGGTGCAAAGCGCATGTTGGAGCTAATTCATTCGTCTTTACCGGGCGAGAGGGTTTTGGATGATATGCGTCAAGGGCTGATTGATGTACGAAATGGTTCTGGAATGGTGCAGTGGGGATGGATAAATAATCGGTCTCGATTTTGATCTGGCTATTTCGACCAAAATGAGCAGTTTGGGACTAGTAAGAGAGGTCGGGATCGGCTGATTCTGAGTGGAGAGGGAGTTGGGGCCCTGATGGGAAAGATGAGGCAGCAGATTTCTGCTCGTAGTTCTTGCGGAAGGGTATTTACCCAAGAGTTTGAAATATCAAAGTATGGCATGCGGCCGATGCAGGTGTTTTTTGCGTTAGTCAAGGGGCCTTAGGGAAAAAATGTATCTTTGACGGATTTGCAATCTATTCGTAGCCTCCAAAACAAGTTGTTGTCCCTCTTTTTCCATGCATGCTTTTCGAAGCTGCGGTGAACTCCCGTTCAGAATATGAAGGCTTGGTGACGAACCTTCTTTTGAGCGCACACCCAGCAAACTTGAGGCGGACAGACTGCTATAGCAAACGCATATGAGACCCGATCCATAGATTGACATGCCACCAGAGTCGCTGCTAACTTTGACACCCAGTTGTCGCCCGTCCGAACGACGAATATGCCCTTTGGAACATCAAGTAACTCGTTCCAAGTGTCCACCACTGTGATATCTTGATTAGGGACCGAGCTCAGTTTATGTTAACATAGACCTTGACCTTGGAGCCTATATACTGGGAGAAATGGCTTTTCTTCTTCTTCTATTCGTATATCATCATCGATATTCATCGTATCATCCTCATATGCCATTCTGTCATCGTATATTAACCAATCAATCAGATGCGAGGGATCTACGTCAGCGACCCACTCGCCTTTGTCTTGGACAGAGATGATAGACTCTAGGAAGTATATCTGGCTATCATATGCTCCTCGTGCTCCATCGAAGTGAGGGACATGGTAATCAGTGAATGACAGAGGCATCGACGTATTTTCGAATGATTGAGATGCAGTGCCATCGAAACTACGATAGGAGTCAATTTTCCAACTTCCGGGGTCAATTTCTCGCATTATGGGTTCTTGTGGAGGTAAGAAAAAGTTGAGTCCTGGTTTGCCGATGTTTCCAAGAATTCTCTGGAATTGGGGAGTTTGTCGTGGCGATAGAGTTTCGTATGGATTTTGGATCAACTGAAATCTTAGCAAAACCTTGCGATCATAGGAAATAACTCACAGCGTTGGAGACAAAGATAGAGTCTGCATACGAAAAGGCTATAACGTTATGGAGTACCTGAGGATCAATATCGTGGATACCAGTTTCCATGTACGATATCATCGAGACTACATCTTCATGTTGAAGAAATTCCACTGCATCTTTCTGAGCCCAATGTGTTGCTTTCAACGGGCGTCTAAGAACGCCGGAATGAACGGTTGCATTAGGAAGAGTGGCATAGACTGAGACTGCAGCAGTGATGGCACATAGTACCGGTTGCATACCGTATTCGATGGAAAGACAAGCGTTAACCAACCCTTTCAAAAGTATATCAGGGTGAACAAGTCCATGATCCAAGCACCAATTCCAATCTTCGACCTTAGGTATGGCGTTGAAGAGATTCTTATTGCCGGGAACAAACCGAGCAAACAGGTTTGTTGTCCCTGAGTCATCAAAAACAGGACGATAAATATACTCCCCAGGATCATGGGCAGTGACGATGTGCAGACCATCTTCCCAACACCTGAAATTCATGAGAGCATCCAGGGTACTAGTCTCGGTGTCTGGAACAAAGAAACCACGAGTATCTGCAGGTAACCATCTGTGATGAGGTGCAACGCCAGTCCCTCCCTGAAACTCAGGTACTAACGCTGTCATCATCATATATTTTGAGTGCAGCGAGTAAGAGTTACTTCTGTTAGGTTCTGAGAGCTCTTGCCGTATGATAAAGGCGTCTGGGGATGTGTTATCGTCGCTGAAACATCTTGCTGCATATCGAAAATATACAATCGCGGATTCGGTATCCTTGAATGCTGAAAAGAGTGTTTTTGGGTCTGCCAAAGAGAATAACGGCTTCGATCGCTTGACAGCAGTTTCAGTGCCGAAAAAAATAGGTGAGATCTTCTACGACCTAGCTGTATCAGTTTATGTTTTAGGTCCTGATCTCCAGTATCACGTGTCGTGTAAGCAGTAGCACCTTCTGCGAGGAATTTGAGAACTTGCATATTTTTGCCATTCAGACGTGTAGTATGCTCTGAATGCTGAAGAAGAGATACAAACAGCTGAGCAAGTTCTCCGCTAGGAGTTCCTTCAGATTCCCATTGTTCGACCAAAGTCCCGAATACTACAAGATTGAACTGCGGCCATGTCAATCTTGCGTTAGTTTCTAGGCCCCTTGTAACATCGACCGGTCGTCCGTAGTGGCGCAAATGAGATAGCGATAGGGACCAGCGTACACCGCCCTTTCTATTCGATGAAATCGGTCGTCTCGATACACCCAGGGATAGTATTCCCTCCTCAGCAACGCATGCGTCTTCCATCTTAATATCAACGGGTTCAGAGTTATATATACTCATATCCGGATAAAGATGCCAAGCCGATAGGCCTAAGAGCGCGGCACCGTTCTGAACTGCCTAAGGCTGACCCGACACAAGCTTGTTCATAGTTTCAACTGCTATCTTCCAAGTCTCGATGACGCTTGAAAAGACGGCCGAGCCACCAGCCATGGGCAGTTCAAGATTCTTGAGTATCAAGTCCAGTTGCTTTTGTTTTCGACGAAAGATGTCATCGGCTGTTCGTAGCCATGCTCTAGCACTGGCATCCAGGGCAGCAAGCTGAGGCCGAGATATGTCTTGTCCGACTGCCGCTGCGAGTGCGAACGGAACTGGTTCGCCTTTATCAACCTGGCGGGCAATACTTTTCTTCCTCTCCGAGACCAGCTCGACCCATATAGCGACAGCTTCCTGGGCCGTCCATACACGAGCGAGAAGACAAGCTAGGAGGTGAATATGTAGAGCGCTTGTCGAAGATGTAGCAGCGGCCCAGATCGAGGTCCCATCTATTCACGTGTATTCCCCGAAGAGTGTTCCTGCAAAAGGCTCTGATGTTTCCTTTGCGACTTTTGCGATTTCCGATGCTCTTTTGCCGTATGCTTCTAACAATGCAGGGGCTGAAGGGCAGATGCCGTCGAAAAGAGCGCCAAGTTGTCTCGCCAGCACATGGCTTGAGCCAAATTCCGCGTTCTCTTTGCGTCTTTTAGAAAGTACATTCCCGAGCGCTTGGTATTCTTTCGGTGCTTCGCATTTGATCAGAGTAAAATCGAAGTTGATGTTTGCCGCCGCGACTGTTACTTCGTTTGTTGCAGACGCTAGTGCAGCTTGGAGTCGACCAATGGCCATTTGAATGATTTGAATATATACCGTAGGTAGAGGATATTGTGGGATACCATGAATGAGACAATGGTTGGGAAGAGCCGACTTATAGCCGTGTATTGCACTGCCCCAGGATGCATTCAGCTCGCTTGCACCCTGCTGCCTTGTTGCCTCGTCGCCACGCATCACCCCCGCATTGGACCATAGACACAGCCTTTCCAAGTGTTATGTCGACGCATGCTGCGTACGCTGAGATAAAGTGTATCTAACCACTAATACTATGCGATAAGCTCGTAGTCTTGTGTATGTCTTTTAGCACGGTAGGTGGCGCGCATAGTCGCGCGCGTAGTCTTTTGACTCGCCCCTTGCAGCGTAGGTTAGATAGCCCGCTCTCTATATACGGCATAAACACTATATAGATAGTCTTAGAGAGAACGACAATCTGTGACCGTAGCTAGGGCGATGATTTATAGGCTATTCTTATTATTAATATTAAACACTACCTCTATAGCCGCTCTACAGCCGCTGTTTCTACTTTGTTGCCCATCTCGACGAGACTAATATCGCTTCCAGTACGGTAGTTTTCTGCAGAGCGATAATGATCCACCCGGACACGGGGCGTACTACCAATTGTAAGAACTGTAGCCGCGGAGATTTTACTAAACTTGCCACTACCGCTGGTTGCACTCTTGGAATTACGAGTACCCACGCTGGAGCCTACCTTCTGAAGGAGACAGCCTATGGACACCATAAGACTTCCCAGACCAGATATGCTGAACACAGGTCGCATTTTGAGAAGGCAGCATGCAATGAGAGCGACGTTGGTTTCAACGACAGTCCAGAAAAGACCATGCGAGGTTATGCCAATGATGTCGTAGGTGGGCATACCCATGATGTACTGCTGATTGAGGGCAGCAGAGGGTGTGTTCTGCTTGATGCAGATGACCATACGAACAACTGCAGAAGTAACAGCGAATCCTCCAAGTAGGAACACACCACACAACTGGATCTTGCGGATAGTAGGGATTTGTAGACGCCAGATCTGTTCGAACCGTAGTTAGCAACAAGTCTTCTTTTGACTACCGCTCATCGAAACTCACCCAAGGAAGTGGGAGAAGTAGGATGCATAGATCCAAAAAGGCATCAAAGACTGTGAACGCGATAGTCGCTTCAAATCCAAAAGGACAATTCTCGGTAATGCTTGCCAGAGAACCCCAGTTGGCAGCGAAGTTCAGGCGGCAGTCGAAGATGAACCCAAGGAAGAAGGCGATTGTGAAAGCGACAGTGAGAATAACGAAGACCAGAGAAGTCCACTGAAAGCTAGGCCATGTAAATATGCGACGGTAGAGAAAGAGGAAAGCGAGTTTTGTAAGACCAATAGCCAACGGCTGCATAATGAAGATCATGTACACACACTACTATAATTTTAGTTTAGCAAACACATCGGAAAGAAACAAGGGCACTCACCTTCTCTAAAATTACCAGTTCTGGTGTAGTGCTGTTGATCCAGCCCTCAACATTGCTAGGGTCATTATGACCGCCAATGATTCCCTTAGCCGCACCTGAAATGATGATAAGCTAAAAAACCAGCTTGTTCCTATTTGAGTTGCGTTTTACCATAGATCATAACGGTAGAAATACCAATAGTTGGGAGAAGAGCCAGGAGACAAAACAAGTCGTCGAGATACTTGCTGAAACGCGCATCTCTAGACCCGTTCGCTTGACGTCCTGCCACACCCAGTCGAAGGGCGACGACAACAACAGTCGCAGCTGTGAGGGCAATACCAGTGGCCAAGCACGAAGTAACGTTGATGTATCCGTAACCCATTTTGCTAGTGATTCAGCGACCTGGAGACGGTAGTGTGAAATGACTGTGGTGACACTAACAAGTGGTATTTACTTGGGTTATGTATCACATGGCATTCACAGCTGTGGAAGACTGGGTTCAGCCTGCATTTCAGCCCATATGTCAGCCCGCACACATACTAGACACTCTAGGGCACACCCTCCGAACTTTGGTTGAGAGACCTAGTTGAGGCCTATTTGCTTCCAGGTCCATGGGCGCACGCAAGGCTGCCTGCTGCAGGCAAAATTGACGTGCATAAGCCCAAAAGCTGGGGAAAGTCAATTAATGACATCTAAGAGGTCGCCCACACATCGGTCTAGAACCGAAAACTGATGCTAGTCTAAGGAAGAGGGTTGATCCTCGATCGCAACAGACTGGAGCCAGACTCAGCTCGACCCATGGTATTGGCACGTCACACTATTCTCGGGCACGGCCGCAAACTCTAATTATACCCCATCTCGTTAACTCTTGTTCCGTGCACGATGTACACATAACGCTGGCCATCGTGAGTATTTGATTTGCAGATTTGCTGCAACGTCTTCCAGTCGCTACCTCTCACCATTTTCTATTACCATGTTTGCTCGATATAAACTCCTATCAGCAAGCGACAGTGTTTCGGAACACAGCCCGGATTCCGACTCGACACGCAGACGATTCTACCGAACGATAGCACTAACAGTGCTTACAATCGCTAATGTCTGTTTACTAGGCTTGTCGATGGCTATCTGGCGCACCATGCCTACCAGCCTTGCTACGCCCAACGCCCCCGATGCACAACCCAGTGGACTTGCTAGAGTAGAGTCGCTTCCCATTGAGTTCATTCCTTTCTATTGGAACACGCCATGGGGTGCGCCTAACGCGTCGGAAGCTGATCGGCTATGGGACAACATTAACACTGCACACGGTCATATCGCAGTGGACCATGAGTTCGCAGCCGAAAACCACGTGAGTTAGCCCGAACCCCTTTTCCGGAAACCATGATAGTGTGGGTCAAGGCTTGATGATTAATCCATTCAAAAGTGGCCTCCGTCTATGGACATACCCGGAAAGCCTGGTAAAGGACTGTATCTCCTACAGGCCTACCATCAGCTGCACTGCCTCGTACGTTACTTATCTGACTTTAGGCTTTTCCTTCTATCAGTATACTTCTCTAAACACTCTATCACAGCGTATTGTTCGCGCCGCATATTTGACTCTAAAGCGCCAAGAGCTCCCTATCTTCCCTTCGGATCATGTCTTGCATTGCTTTGACGCCCTCCGCCAGCACGTCATGTGCCACGCAGATAACACTCCACTCTATGGTCACGGCCATGGAATAGCTGGTGACGGACAGCTACACCAATGCCGGGATTGGAACGCGCTTAGGGATTATGCAACAAAAAACACGGCGTGCTTTCGCGACGGCACGCCTGGTATGAGCTTTGAAGATCGGTTTGGCGTATGTGATGACGGAACAGATGGCCTAGAGGAGCGTGTACCAGTACCGAGAGTCTTATAATCATCGTCTTGGTCTTCAAGAAATATATTCTTTCGTACAGTTTCAAGATGCGCAAAACTACATCAAGCTCCGTGTTGTTACGATCATGATCCCATTGCGACATTTGCCACTGCATGTGAGTTCTGTCCACGCACGTTGTGGCGTTGTCCAGATCCCGCTAGCTGAAAAACCCTCAATTGTTGTGTTATATAAAGTTAACACGGGAAACATAATACTGTACGTCACAGGAAGATGTCTTGAGAAGCCGTTGCATCAGTGCGGTGAAATCAATCTACGTCTCTACAGGTTTTTCACAATTCGAATGCCGTTACTTACTACCCCATTGTGTTGTCAACATGGCCAAGTCCGGACTCGAATAGCCAGTCACGATGTATACACCTAGTGGTCAACCAGCTAGACGTTAGTGCATATCGCGGAGGCGTTTGTAGTTCTCCTATGTATCAGATTATGTAAATGTCTCATGATCCGGGAGAAAAATACGTTTGCTGGAGAGAGTGTTCTAGCCGACAGCGGATTGAAAAACTTGGGTGCGGCTGATCGAGTCTAGAATCACCACATGGTTCCCCGAAGCTAGTGGATACTAGCTGCGCTATCATTTATGATTCGCTGCATGCGTGTTAAAACTTTCAAAAAATTGTCCGCGCAACTAGTGCGAACCCTCAATTATGCGAGCGCTTTTTGGTTCTGAGTGCCTTTGTATCTATACCTGCTAAAGGATAGTTAGTCTGTACTAGAGTTCGGAAGCCTCACAAGTTTGATATCTTTGGCATAGAGCTCTTGTAACTATGGCGTTTCGGAATGCGGGCCGGATATGGTTAATTCGCGTTAAGTCAACTATTCACAGGGGAGTCGACAGCAAAAAGATCGAAACACACTCTACTACAGACTTTTTTCAAGGGGTATAAAGTGTCAGCAGATTCCAATCACTTCTACTTCGTTTCCATCAGCGTCTTATATTTGGTTATCGTGGCCATTAAGGTCCTCTCTCTCTTCGTATTGCAAACTGTTGAATCACTTCGAATTTTCACAATGCAGTTCACTACTCCACTCTTTCTTCTTGTTGCTGGCGTAGCCGCCTCCCCTATTTTAATCAACGTTGGGGGTCTCAGCGTCGGTGTTTCTTCTTCTAGTGGTCTCGTTAGCTTGAATTCTGCAACAACCAAGTCTTCTGATGTTGCTACTTCTACTAAAACAACGACTACCACTGCAACTACAGTCCCGACTATGCCTTCGTCTTTCTCAGCCCCGGTCCAAGGGAAAGGCATCCTCACTCTTGACAACTTGCCCGCTATGCCACCCGTCATTGACAAGAGTCTTTCTGGTGTTCTTGGCGTTGTTTATGGCCTTCGTATGTCTACTCTCTAGCTCACTCCTATATCACTATTCTTCAAGCTGCTGATATATCCTTTTAGTTTCTGGAGTTTGCAGCGCTGATTTCAAGTGCACTATCACCGTTGCAGGATCTATCCAGTCTCTACTTGTAGATGGCGACAAGTACGCGATGAGTAGCTCTGTATCAGCGTGGTGCGATCAGGGTCGGTGCTACGGCTCTGGCGATATCCCTCTTACTGCTACCGCTCCATTCATCATCACTTGTGACCACTTGACTGGAGGCACCACCAGTGCATGCTCGGCCACTATTTCAGGAGCTGCTTCCGCTATCTTCACTAACGGCAAGCAAATAGGTAAGTAAACCCGACGTGGCTGTTCTCAAAACGCCGCTAATAAACCTTAGAACTCTGGGGATGGGTTACACCCTCTGGCTACTGCAAGGATGGTATTTGCGTTGCTTCTATTAGCGCGTTTGGTGACCCAATGTACTAAGTGAACTTGAAAGGAGAGTAATTCAGTTTTCATACTAAGCAGTTATTATCGCGCGAGCTAAGTTAGTATTATATATACTCTGTACTTAATTCTTTCTATTTCTATATTGTATAAACATGTTAATCCTCTTTCACTAGTTGCATTCATGACATACGATTGATTACATAAGACTCTGCAGCAATGCACGTGCTAACCGTCAGGACTTGGCGTCGCATGGCATTGCATAGCCTCAATCCACGACGACGTTATGAACGCCACGACGCCATGAGCCAAATGTGGAGCCAGCGCCGTCTGATACGAGGAACGAAGTCTTGGATGATGTTTGGGATATGTCCCGCCCAGACCCGACACTTGACATGAAGCCTCCTACACTACACCCGCTGTTGAACCCCATATAGCGCTACCACTCGTTGCATCGTGTGTACTGCTTGCTGTCGTATTACAGTGCCCATCCTCTCGTTACCTTGACATCGCATCGTCAAACAACAAACATATAAACATGTTTGGAAAAGCACCACTTCTCATCCTCGCGGCGGCGGCAGGCATCCAGGCCGACTTTATGGTGTACACCGAGCCGCCAATCCCCACATCCGCGATACCCTCATTTCCAAACCCATCGGACGTACGTACCATCCGCTGCATCAATCCTGCATCCCGCTAATAACCATTCCAGGCTGCCAGTTGGACTACTTCCGTCTTCCTCAACGCACGACTCGCTTACGCGTCTTTCACAAGGTCCCTCGGCGAGCCCTATCAATCCTCCCTCACGTCTGCGCGCTCGGAAATCGACGCCTTTGTCTCAACTGCCTCCAATTATAGCATCCCTCCTGAAGTCACCATAGCCGACGAGACACCGACATTCTTCTCCAAGCCAGACTGGTACACAGCGCTGCCAAGTCGCGCGAGGGCCTTCAAGGAGCAGCAGGTTAGCGACCAGTTCAGCATCGTACGAAATGTCATTGCGGCGCGGGTTACATCGGCAAGCTCGACGGGTGCGGCGATGCCGACAGCAGTTCCGGGGCAGTGGTTCGGCGCCGAGTTCGGCGTCATGGCTGCAGCGGCCGCGGCAGCATTCTTGTAAATTGGAATGGCTGGAAGTATGACCTGGCATGATTCAAAAATAATGGACAAGATAAATGGGCGTTACGGATAGTCTTGGGTATGGAAAACACGCGGATTCATGTTATGAATCGACTACTCTGGTCAGTAGAAAGTGATCTAATCATCATAAACGCACGAATGAAATGAAACAATGCAATTTGAACAACCATTCTGTATTATTTGCGACTTAATTCTGTTTCACCCTCTCCAGGTCCTTGAGAAACTTGCAAACCCTGTCCATGAAAGACCTCATGTCAACATCAGTAGTCAACTCATGGTCAGCATCCGGCAACACACCACTCTGATCACTCGCCAAATCCTTTGGCATCGCATCCAGCCATTTCTTCAATAGCGCCTCTTTATCCACCGCTGACGGCACCATCTCATCTTTTGCAGACACGACAATCAACATCGGTTTATCGAGTCTACCAAATGACGACTCAATGGCAGAAGCAGGTAGATCAAAAGAAAAGAAATCGTCATCTCCCCCAACAGAAACAAGCGAATGCCAGCGATACGCACTAATCGGCGACGAGAAAATCGGAGGAATAAGATCCAACGGCATAATCTCCATCTCCTTACCCTTTGCAATAAGGTCTTGAGCGTACTGAAGACTAGTATCCAGGAACTCCGGGGGCATGAGTAGACTCGCCGTCTCGCGATCCGAAGTAGGCGCTTGCATAATGTATCCGTCGACTGGAGGTGGTACTGGAAGAGTGTTTGCGTATGTCATGATAGCCTGGCAGCCTGATCATTCCCGGTTAACTTGGTACTTTTTGCTCAAGTCGTTAGGGGGTAGAAGGGAGATGTCATACCAGTTGAACTTCCCATGACCACCACCTTCTCCTTCCTCACACTCTCTCCCTTCAGATACGCCACCAGCGCCGCAAGATCCTCGATGTCGTTTTTTAGACTTGAATATCCGAATCCCGTATAACTACTCCGCATCCGGAACTCGAATACCGAGTACGAGACTGCCTCTGTTTCTGCCAGATTTTCCAGAGTATTGTCTATCTTAAGAACCAATTCTGATGTGTGTGGTCCGTCGGTTAGACCGCCGATATATACCAGCGCACTGGGTGAATTTCTGGCGCCATACTCGTAGGCGCAGGAATGAGGTGTTGGGGAGGTGAAGGGATGGACGCGGACGGTGTAGGGGCTTGGCATTGTGTCTGGGATAGTACAAAAAATTGATCACATTGAAGTAGGGCTTGACATGATCAGATATATTATTTCGGGGAGAGTACTGGAATTGGAATAGGTAAATCCTGTTCGTGTGTGTTCGTTGGGGTGGAGTTGTGCTGCGTATAGAGGGATGTGTGATTGGTTGTGAGATGTAATCGGGGTAGTCCGCCTTACGGTAGTGCGGCGTGGTTAAGGACCCATAACTTTCTAGGCAACTTGAATGGCACTTAGTTACACATGAAAATGCATAAAAATACCTCAGTTATTCCAGCTGTGCCGTTAAACCAATCAAATATCATGATGCAGCCTTTGAGGGGAGGATACTATCAGGACATGTCTTCAATCGCAGTAGTGAGCTCACCCAGTGAAAATATACTTCCCCGAAACAACCGGAAATTCAACAATACTGAACAAGAATCTTCTCATGAATCACAGAGTTGATGAATACGGGATTTGGTAAGCAGATAGTATCCCAACTTTCACATTTTCGGGAAGCGTGAAATGCCCAGAGCAAAGATGGGCGTTCTCTATATCCCTGCTACCAGAAGTTTCACGAACTCTACACATGAATCATACACCCCTAGATTCTCGCAAAGTCAATACAACAAAGTAACTATGATCCAATGCTTCAAGACTAACAAAATCAATATCTTATTCTGCTCAATCACAGGCAAACATCCCAAACTCCCCACTTCCCACCATCCCATCAAGCCTCTTCCAAAAAGCAACTCCTACTCCCTCCATATCCCACTACATCCCGTAACCCCCCTTTCACTCATCAACATCCTCCACAACCTCCACAACTCAACCTATACTCTCTCCTCCAATCAACCCACCACACCCGCCTTTCACCCCTGCCCCCTCCAACTCGGCAAACATGACGTCAGCGGCCCCAATCCCACTTTACCACCACCACCCCAACACGCATTACACATCACGTAGCGATACAATTCCCCGCTCCCTTTCCCTATTCTCATTTCAAAAAAAATAGATTTCCCTTCAAGTATCCAACATACCAACCCTTCATCCCGGCCCTGCCCCGCTGTCCTTACTCCCCCCTCTCTCTCCATCTCTCCCTCTCTCTCTCCATCTCTCCCTCTCTCTCTCTCTCTCTCTCTCTCTCTCTCTACCAACAAAGACAAACAAAGCCAGACAGGAAAAACAAAAAAGGAAGAAGCAAAGGGAGATATAAAACAAAATGGGGATACCCTACTCCCGCCAGATAAACGCCGCCTTCGAACAAGTCACCCCGCTCGTCGCCGCCGGCTTCACCGTGCTTCGCACAACACGCGACATATCCATTTTGTTGGCGATAATCCAGGTTCTAACCGTGCTTTTACTAGCGCTGATACTCGGGGTGCTGGTGGCGATGCTGTATTGTATTAATCCGGATTTGGAGGTACGTATATATATATATGTGTGTGTGTGTATATCGCTTCCTTTTGGGTTGGAGGGGAGCCGGATGAGGAGGTAGAGAAGGCAAAGGGAGGAGGGCTGATAAAGATTAATAGGAAGAACGCAAACGCATTATAACGCCCTGGCTGCGCTATGCCGCGCAGATAAGTATCTGGGGGGTTATGAAATTCGTGGTGGGGATCGTGGTGATGTGGAGTGTGGCTAGTGCGGCGGTGTGGAAGGGGATTGTAGCGAAGCAGTGGGTGGAGGATGTGGAGTATGAGGGGAATGTACGAGCGGAGATGGCGTTGGAGGAGTTGGATGAGGAGAGGGGGGGTGATGAGGTGGGGAAGAAGGGGGGCAAGGGGAAGAAGAAGTGAGGTTAATGTGTAGTACGCTCTGTTTTTTTTTCAGAAAGAAAAAGAGAGATGAAATTCGTGTTAACTACATGCCCCTTACGAAACCCTCTTCGGTGCAGTATAACCTCCCTGATCAAGCAATAGCAAAGCAAACATGCCACCCATGACTGGTCTCGCCTTGAACTCGATTCCGGGAGGGAACGTCCCATCATTCGTTTGATACAAATCTGTAAACGGCCTACTCGTCGGCGTCTCATTAACCCAAGTCGCCAAATCATGTAAAAACATGTCTCGAGTTTCGTCACTCGCGATGGCGGCACAAAAGACTTCCCAGTCGGATTTGGTGTAGTATCTATTTCGCGTATCGAGAGGAACACCGTACTTTTCTTTGACAGTGGGGTAAAACGCAGATTGGATATCGTAGACTTGTTGAGGGACAAGGTCTAGCTTGAGCAGGCGGTCGTTGTAGAGGTTGTAAAGTAGGCCGTGGGTGCTGGCGTTTCCGTAGTTGAGAATGGCATGAGGAGGGTTGGTGGCATTGTTGATACCGAGTTGTTGCCACTGAGATATATAGCTGTGCGCAATGGACGTATAGTTTTGTGAGTCGGCGGTTTCGTTGATCAAGCTTGACATGCGCGACATGGCTTCGATACCAATGATGCCCTTGAGTGCAAGGTTGGTTTGGTTTACCAGATGGCCAGCGAAATCATCAGTTGATAGTTGCTCTGCGGGGTAGAGACTGTCTTGGACAAGATACTCGGTCCATTGCTTGAGGATCTTGTAGTGCTGCCGGATGTAGTCAGTGTTCCCGGATAGCTGGACATATTCCAGGACCATGACCATGTGGTTTCCGCACTCCTCTAACGGCATAGGCTCATCTTGACCATCCGGATGACCCGTCGCATTTGGGTAGTGGGTGCCTAGATCGTGGATTGCCCACTTGTTCGGATAATGTCCGCTCTCTTGGTTTTCGAAATGGGGATCAAGCATCAGCTTCATCAACTCAGGATTGGTGTAGTAGAAGATAGGCGAGGCAGGATAAATCACATCCACCGTCTGCGTGTTGCCGTTTGATGAAATTTCCTTGAGAAACAGGTAATGCTTCTCCTCGGTTCCGACTAATTGAGTGGCGCCAAATGCCTGGCGGGCTGCCAGGGTAGTCAGAATGGCGTAATCGTCTCCTCCAGCTGCCTTTGAGTCGCTTGAGATTCGATCATCGAGCTCGGTGGAGAGCTTGGTTGACTCGGAGTAGTCATTGTAAAAGAATGAAAATGCTGAAAGATCATCTGCAAAATAGCTCTTCCATAATGAAGGTAGAGTTGTAAGTCCTCCAGCGCCCAGAAACTGGATGGCATCATCTTGACACACACCGATGGTAAACAGCTGGCTCTTTGCTTCCGAGCCTACTTTCTGCAAATCTAGAGAGTACGCAAAAACAGGCCATTGATCGTTGATTGCTCTGAAATTGCTATCTTGTGAGTTGTCGAGCTTGCTGTTGTTGTTGAAAGTTTCGCGGACTTTGACATCAGCACCAGACATGTACGTCAACCCCTCTACTGATTTAGTCCCATAGTACTGAACATGTCAGACTCTAGGTACACAGCAACAAGTAAACGAAAGCACTTACCCAGTCTCCCCATTCTGCTCGGTCATTGACTTCACTAAAGGTCTGTTGGTTTTGCTTCCACACCTTGTGGTAGTGTATGCCGTCTGATGTGGTGCCAAAATCCCACTCAGCTATGGCCCCGATGTCACCAGATGTCCACTCTATTGATTGATTAGTCGCCATCCCAGTTCGTTGGGGATTTTCTACTTACCAGCACTTATATCGGTGTAGATTTGAACACTGTGCTCTGAGCCATCTAATGCCGAGACTTCGACTTCTATGTAAGAGAAGAGGAGTGATTGGCGCTTAAAGTCGGTTGGAGTAAGTGGTGACAGAAACGTGACCTTGAGTTGGACTTTGTTGTCGGCATTGAAGGTGAAGATACTTTTGGTTGATGTATACTCAAAAGAGGTTTGATTGACAAAGTCCTTGAAGCCGCTGGGTGCGCCCATCCAAAGAAGAGTCTTTCCATCAACCTTGATCATGCCCGCCCAACCCAACCACTGGCCGCTGTAGACAGTTAGTCTAGGTATTCAGCGATATTTTTGAGGAGCAACGGACGTCCAGAATGATGGCCATTGGCCTGGCAGGTACCCACCATTCCCACCGCTGCTTCCTGCAGGCAACCATGTACTCAGATAGGGACTTTTGACAGCTAGTGGTAACGACGGAGGACGCGCCGGAGTAAATGTCGAGCTGGATTGAGTGACAACTATTTGAAGCAGGCTAAAAAGCCCGACTAACAGGGGAAGACGCATCGTCAGCATTAGGCGTTACCGCCAAATGAATATACGAGAATCTGGGAGAAGCCATGGCCGCAAGATGTTATATACACAGGTTTGATCCGCCCTTGTCCGGGGTCACATTGCGCCCAATGCAACTAGCCATGGGAGAGGTAACAAAAATGCGGATATGGATAGAAGGCGCCAGAGTTAAACCCGAAAGCTTCATGGGTTAGATGATCAGCACTAGTCTCAGGCGGGCCACTGAGCAATCTCCTTATGGCCGTGAATGACGACGAGCCAATTTCCTATGGACATGAACAGCACTTGATCTCGTTGATGCGAATCCACGTGGGGACGTGTTGGTATCACTTTGCATTGTCAGTTGTACATCCGCAAACATGTCTCAACGGTGCGACCGGCGTGGGGAAAATTGACCACAACGAAAATCAAGCCGGTACCAAAGAAGAGTTGAGTAGAGATACGGCTAAGATCAGCAGTATGTAAGTCCAGCCCGTTCTTAGTGGCACACCTGACCTGATTCAAAAGATTGTGTCGCGACCTGCCAGTCTGGATGAAGAGCACGAGGCCTTTGCAGCACAGCAACGCTTCATTTATTGAGCATCATGAAGGATGCCTTAGTCGAGCCTGATCATGCGCCTCGTTGCTAGCCCCTTGCTGTGAGATCAAGGGGTTGCATGGCAGGCCAGGGTTTTGTCCGAGTGATCTTGGCGAACGGTGGTTTGCTTCACGCAGGAGCGGAGTCAACCCCAGCAGACTTGACGATACCTCGTGACTCTACCTTGGTTGGTGTTGGGGAGTGACGCAGTACAGATGGCTAGCGGCGATGGGGACAACATAGGATGGGATTGCCAGGCGCCGTTTGACGTTGGTATTGGCACGGGCGTTGGCGTGGGCGTTGGCGCTGGTGCTGGTGCTGGTGCTGGTGCTGGTGTTGGTGGCAGCTTGGTCGTACGCACTAAGCAAGTGCTAGCAGATGCAGGATGCGGGGAAGGCTTGCATGCACCCTGCCGTACTTTGCCTCCAACAGGAAAGTGCCATCGGCTCACCTGCAGCTTTACAGTCACTCGAGCATGCAATCACACTGGATAGAAGCAAGCTGTATAGGCAAAAAGTCACGGCTGTCAAGGGGAGCACTTTAGGTAGCATGACTACGTTACGATCAGAGAACATGTGGTCCAACGGCTTTGTCAGTCTTCGCCATAAGAGTCTTGCAGTATTCATTCTACAGCTAGTATCAATTTATTTGGCTTCCTCATACATACAGTAATCGGTCAACGTGAGCCTATGATGCGTCTTTCAGACTGCAACACGTTGAACCAAGGTAGTCCACTGCTACCACAGCGCCAAGTAAAGCACAATGCATCATGAGATCCTTCCACCCATAGACCCGACCCTTCCAACCATTGCTGAGCCAACGCCAGAAACAACCATAATCGTAAGTGAAATGACGGAAGCAGGGTATCCAAAAGCCAAGCCATGTGGCTAGAGCGAACAATATCAGGTCATGGGCGACGACCTCGGAGTGAGAAATTAGTGCGAACAAAGAAAAAAGAAAAAGAAGATAGAAACAATGTCAATAGGGTATCCCAGTGCATGATGTAGCCCAAACCCCACGCGCAACACCAAACATAATTTTACACAATCAGCACCCAATCACTTTATCACGACTGGGCAACCCATGGACGGGGAACATTCTCGAAGCGTTCTGCACAGCCGCGAAGCCAAGCACAGTCCAGCACATCGTGGACATTCCAGCGCCTCTCGCAGTCAATGTCAAGGCAACCCCGAACCAGGGCCAGCGCGTCCTCGATACAGCCATCTTGGGCGGCTTGCGAGTTGCGAATCGCCTCTTCGTCCCATTGGCAGGCTTGAATCTTCTCCATGGTCTTGATGTCAAGACCGTCGTTGAACGGCAGAGTGGCGGTGAGCAGAGCGTACACTACCACGCCAAATGCCCACATGTCGGCCGCGGGAGAAAACACGGGCCCAGATGTGTTGAAGAGCTCAGGAGCGGCATACTGTAGGCTGCCAGCAATCGACGTGCTAGTCTCGGACCCATCCAGAGGTTGCGGCTCTGGTCCGTCTCGCTGGTCGCTGATGATAAAGTCGGCCATTCCAAAATCGCACAAAAGGACATCGCCGCCCTCGCTCTCCGCGTTAGGCACAGTCATGTCGAGGAGACAGTTTTCGAGCTTGATGTCGCGATGCACGACCTGGACGTCATTGTGCAGGTAACGCATGGCCGATGCCAGTTGGTAGGCATAGCGTTTGACCAAGTGTGCCGGTAGCCCGTTTGCCTTCTTCTTGCGGGTCTCTCGGATCAAATCAAACAGTGTCCCGCCCTTGTTCAGCTTGGTGATGCAGAACGTCGCATAGTCGGTCGTATACACTCTCAGCAGAGGAATGATATAAGGATGCCGTAGAAAACGCCAAATCTCCACCTCGTGGTCAAACAGTGTCTGAATCTGCTCATTCTCCAGCTCAGACTTGTTTTGCTGCGTCTTGTGCACAATCTTCACCGCGTCAACGACGGGCTTGCCATTCTCCATGCTCGTAACCTCCTTGACAACGCTAAAGCCGCCATAGCCAATTTGCTTTCCGATAATGTACTCGCTGTCGTAGCCAATGCCTTGGCCCTCGTCATCCGGTTGGGGTGGTTTGATGGGTGCCTCGGAAGCCTTGTAGCGGGCAAGGAATGAAGCAGCCGGTGACATGGATGACAGGGAGCGGCCAGAGCGCGTAGACGATCGCCGGCTAGCACGTCTAATGCTTCCATCCTCGCCAATTTCGGACCGGAAGCTTTTGTTTCGAGGAAAGCCAATACGCCGTGGGGAAGGCGAGAAGAGCGGGAACTCCAATGGCGAGGTGGCGTGCATTGGCGAAAGCACGTAGTCGGACGGGGTTTCCAGCGGCGTTTGTGCTTCGTCCAGTGGTGGTGAGGCCGTAGCATCAGACGTCAGCGATGCAACCTGGTCGGGGTACTCGTTGTCTCGTGCCAGACCGTCAATGGGAGCCCGGGCGAGGGGGAATCGAGAGCCGCCAACGCGGTACTGCATGCCTCTGCGTGCCGCATAGGGCAGCTCGAGATAGTCCTGCTCATCAGAGTAGCTTCCATTCTCAGGGTGGCGCGACTGCGAGTGCGAGTGCGACTGTCGTGCACTCTTGGGGACGGGCACGCCCAGGCCGACGCCTTCGCCAGAGTCAAGGCGGACCTCGTCATTGAAGCTGATGCTCGTCTTACGCTGCCGGAACCGGGCCAGATAGTCATCGTCGCTGCCGCTTCCGCTGCTGCCTACGGCGAGGGAGCCGACATGGCCGAAGTCACCCTGCTGGTCGGCGGGGTAGGAGCCATGGGCGGTTGAGTTTGCGTCTTGAGCAGCCTCAAACTCGGCAGTCAGCTGCGATGGGCCATGGCCGGCGTGGGGCGAGTCTTTGCGGGAGAGGGGTGCGAAAGAGGCAAAGGTCGAGGCGACGGGCTTGCGCGGCGTCGAGGTGTCGAGTCTGAGCTTCTGGAAAGAGTGTGAGGGGTCTGAAGTCGGGGCCATTAAACCGGTTGTACAGTGAATGCAAACCTCTGTCAGCGCCGGCGGCGGCGGGCGGTCGTAGTATTAAATGTGCGTCGTGGTCGTGGGGCTGAGGCGAGGAAGGGAAAGGGAAGGGTTGCGGCAGCCAAGGGCGAAACCGGGAAGGGGAAGTAATAGGATTATGTCGTCGTGGGCGGGAGGCAGCGACGTGGTGCTAGCGGAACGGTAAAATTACGGTCGCGCCCGGGCTACGATGTGCCTGCGTAGGAATGGCTTGGGGGCGGCAATGTCAATGCTACCGCGCAACGAGCATGGAGATGGGCCGAGGGCAGGAGGTGAGCAATTAAAAGGGGACGGGTGCTGGGGGGAAGGGTGTGCACGAGGGTAGATGAGTGTGTGTGTGTGTGAGAGAGAGAGAGAGAGACAGAGAGAGTGCCACAGCTCTTTGTCCTCTTTTTTTTTCCTTCTTCTTGTTTCTTTTTTGCGCAAGCCTGAGGGCGGCGCAGTTTTTGTGGTCGGCCCATCCCCCACGCATGTTGTTAATAGGCGGCAGTCAGCAGAGGGCGCAGGCAAGTGTGTGGGCGTGTGTGGGCGTGTGTGGTGGGATGGGCAGCACGTGAGCAGCCTCGCAGCCAAGGACGCAGGCGTGGAAGCGGGCCAATGGGAGGGCGAGGGCGGCGCCGGAGCGAAGATTTGCGCGGCGACCAGAGGACTCTAGTCGACCGTTGTTGAGCATGGCGGGCAAGAGACTGCCGTGGTTGGTGGCAGCAGCGACATAGCCTTTTGCTCTGGCAGCTAACACAGAGGCCTACCCCGCCCGGAGGCAACATTTGGGCCGCGCTGCCAGGGTCATGGTGCAAACTATGTGAGCAAGTACAGCGTGGGCGGCCTATATGTACTCTTACATAGACAAACACATGCGAGGTACATGCGCCGGTCCAACTACTCTATTTTGGCTGCTGTGCGTGTGCGTGGAGCTGGCGCCGTGGACAGGCGGACGGACAGACAGACAGCCAGATGGACAGCCAGATGGACAGGCAGGGTGGGCCTTTCGGGAAAAAGAGGGTTGGCGGTGCATGTGCGTGGCCCAGCTGCGGCCCGCAGGACACTGAGCACAAGCAGGACGGGCAGCGTGGATGGGCAGAGTGGACGATGGGCAGGCAGAGTCAGTGGGGTTTGAGGCTACTGGTACTGTACTGTCTGTATACATACGGCTGGAGACAGACTCTGCTCGGCCTTGCAGCAACGGATGGCCATGGGAGGCATGGCGACACTTATCGTGAGGGCAGCCCCGGCGTCTCTGCTCTCTGCTGGCCTGGCGAACACGTCAAGCAGCCGGGGGCAGAGACATGACGTCGCCCGCTGTGCTGGACGCCGCCCCGGTTGGCTCACCGCAACAACAGCAGCAGCTAGGCCGTTTGCATGCTGCCCCAGGCCCGTTTGGTGGACGAGCGGGCGTGGAGCGGGCGTGCTGCTGCCGTTGATACTGTCTGGCGTGCATTGCGCCTGTCTAATCTCGCCTTGCTCGACGCCTCTACGCGACCCTTGCTCCCTTGCTGGCGCTGCCTGCATGTCCGGGCGACGCTTCCGCTCACTAGCACCACCAGCTCAACTCCCGCCAAGCAAGGGCGTGCGCGCATCCAACCTCGACACGCCCACTGGGTGACAACATCACAGAGCTCGTCGACCCCATCGCACCGGCCCCCAGCCCCAAACACCACCATCTCCGCCATCACAACCACATCCATCGCCTGCTGCCCCCCCTCTGCCCTGCGCGACTGGTCCCGCTGCACACCCGACTTCTCTGCCGCCCCATCACCACCGCTACTACTACTACTACCACTACTACTACACGCCTCTCCGCCCGCCCGGACTGCGAGCGCCAGCGCCTGTAGCCATGGGCATCTCCGACCTCTGCTACCGTTTCTTCTGCTGCGGCGGTCAGTATTCTTGCAACTGCACGCCCTGCCTGAGCCTTGCTAACTGACTGTCGCTTTGTGCAGCCCGCTCAAGGGACAGCATATACGATCCCGTGCTCGCAGATAGCGAGAGGGAAGCTGTCGCCGACCTACTTGGCTTTCTCGAAAATGTACGCCCATCCGCCCTCTGCACTACCACCACCACTACTGCACCCTGCTAACCTGCTCACAGCGAGCCGAGACCGACTTCTTCTCTGGGGAACCCCTCCGCGCCCTCAGCACGCTCGTCTACTCGGACAACATTGATTTGCAGCGGTCGGCAAGCTTGACTTTTGCCGAGATAACAGAGCGAGGTACTTGGCCCAGCCTCACCACCACCACCACCATCATTAACACTCCTAACCACCTTTGACACAGATGTACGAGAGGTCGACCGCGACACGCTCGAGCCCATCTTGTTCCTGCTCCAGAACCCAGACATCGAGGTGCAGCGTGCCGCCAGTGCCGCCCTGGGCAATCTTGCCGTCAACAGTATGTACATGCAGCAGCTCTTGCAAGCTTTCCTCTAACTCTCGCAGCCGAGAACAAGGTGGCCATTGTCGCTCTCGGTGGCCTGGCACCCCTGATCAAGCAGATGAACTCGCCCAATGTCGAGGTGCAGTGCAACGCCGTCGGCTGTATCACCAACCTGGCTACCCACGAAGACAACAAGGCCAAGATTGCACGATCAGGCGCTCTCCAGCCCCTCACCCGCCTCGCAAAATCAAAGGACATGCGCGTCCAGAGGAATGCCACTGGTGCGCTGCTCAACATGACACACTCAGGTATGGCTGCTTTTCTGATTAGCCCCATGGTCCATGCTCACACGATAACAGACGACAACCGACAGCAGCTGGTAAACGCCGGCGCAATCCCCGTACTCGTACAGCTGCTCTCTTCGTCCGATGTCGACGTTCAGTACTACTGCACCACCGCCCTCAGCAACATTGCCGTCGACTCGAGCAACCGCGCCAAGTTGGCACAGACCGAAGGCAGGCTGGTTGGCTCCCTGGTCCACCTCATGGAGTCTTCGTCGCCCAAAGTCCAGTGCCAGGCCGCCCTTGCCCTTCGCAACCTTGCCTCTGATGAGCGTTACCAGCTCGAGATTGTGCGCGCTCGTGGTCTGCCATCTCTTCTCCGTCTCCTCCAATCCTCATACCTCCCGCTTATTCTATCCGCCGTCGCATGCATACGAAACATCTCCATCCACCCCGCCAATGAGTCACCTATTATTGAAGCCGGTTTCCTCAAGCCCCTCGTAGACCTACTCGGCTCCACCGACAACGACGAGATTCAATGCCACGCCATATCCACACTCCGCAACCTCGCTGCCAGCTCTGACAAGAACAAGCAATTGGTCCTCGAGGCTGGAGCTGTGCAAAAGTGCAAGTCCCTTGTACTGAATGTGCGACTACCAGTGCAGTCAGAAATGACTGCGGCCATTGCTGTACTTGCACTGAGTGAGGAACTGAAACCTCACCTGCTGAACCTGGGCGTCTTCGACGTCCTCATCCCGCTTACAGAATCTGAAAGCATCGAGGTGCAGGGCAACAGTGCCGCTGCATTGGGCAACTTGTCGTCAAAGGGTAAGTTTGATTCGGCTTTTTTTCCCCTTGTCAGCCACTAACGGAAGCAGTGGGCGATTACTCGATTTTCATCCAAAACTGGACCGAGCCCGCCGGCGGAATTCATGGTTACCTGCGCCGTTTCCTCGCTAGCGGCGACCCAACGTTCCAGCACATTGCCATCTGGACACTCCTACAATTACTCGAATCTGAAGACTCAAGATTGATGGAGCTCATAAGCAAGTCGGATGAGATCATTAACATGGTCACCGAGATTGCCGAACGCAACATCGAGTCGGACGACGAAGACAACGAGGACGGCGAGGGCGAGGTCGTCACCCTTGCACGCAGGTGTCTTGAGCTGCTGGGCAAGAGCCCCAAGACATTTGTCGAAGGATAGAAGACCCCCAGATCGCATTTTATACCCTGTTTATCGGTTGTCGACTGCTTTTTGCGCTCTTGCTCTCACCGCCGTATTCGATTTTTCTGATTATGCGTTCATGTTGAAGACTGCTTCGAGGCATTAGGATGGTTGGCGTTCAGGAGCACATGTATCCTCAGTATCTCTAGCGAGCATTGGCGGAGTGGGCTTTTACATACATTGGCATGCACACATGTTACCACTACTCTTACTCCCCCCACACCGATGAGAAAAAGAAATTTGTAATTGATAGATTTGAAGGTTCTTGGACATCGTGGAAATGAAACAGACGATGTTCGTTTTTTCTTTCGATTCCTCGACTCCGGCCGACGTGATTTCGCCTAATGCCCATGTGACGCATGGGTGTGATATATATGGTCCAACGGTGATCCCGATCCAAATGCATAAAAGACCTGAGAACAAATGCAATCATTGTAATTGGCCGAGTGCAATGTCCTAGCGGAAAGCCCTTGCTAAGTGCCGCCCCTCACTTTGACATGTGACGTCGCGTTACTTGAGCTAACGTTGGATCGGCATTGCCTTATCGATAGCCAAAATATTTGCGACTTGCCCCGAGTCACGCTCCACCTGCTTCACTCGATACAACCACCACAGCGATGCCGCCCAAACCAAGAGGAAGTGGGACCATACGTTCCCGCGGTGGCGCAAGGGGAGGATCAGCCGTAGCGAGAAATTCGACAGACGCAACCGAATCTGTACAAGATGCGACCCCGCAGAGTACAGCTCCTGCAGCTACCACAGGAGATTCGATTGAGCCAGCAATCCCCAAGGAAGAGGACAGCGACTCGAAGCCCGCCGTCACTGAAGAGGGTGCGCTGAATGCAACTGAGTCAAAAGCTTCGTCTTCAGCGACAGCATCGTATGGGAGGGTTCCTTTCACATACGAAACTTCTGGTGCTGATGACTATGCGATAGTGCTGCCGAATCACCCCAGCCTGGCACAGAACCGAGTGCTCGCGCCCCCGTACAGAGACTAGGCAGTTTGCAAGGCTCAGTACCTCCTTCCCGATCCGCATCACCATCTGTACGCGGCCGTGGCGGTACAGCTCGAGGCAAGAGAGGTGTCAAGACGCCCGCATTCACAGGCAGACGAAGCAAAGAAGAACGAGATGCCATTGCAAAAGAGCAGGCAGCCCGCGACCGGGAACGGACAAAGGAACAGGTCGCTGCAGACAAGAAGAGAGAGGCCGATGCATTGAGAGCAGCTAGGCGTGAGGCCAACAAACAGAAGAATGCACGAGGTGGATTCAGTGGAGTGGCCAGTGGGCCATTCTCGCTAGGAAGCTCTAGAGAAGGCACGTCGAATTTTTCGAATATGAGCAGCTGCGCTAACTGTGACTTTAGACAGGAAGAACAATCCAAATCGTGGACACTCTGGTTTTGGGGCAGGATCTGGCTCGCGAGCAGAACGCATCAAGAATGAAGATGGCGGCTTTGCAGGCTCAAGTCGGTCTGGAAGTGGGGGCGGGGGCGGAGGCAGTTCTTACATGAAGAGAGAAGATGGCGGATTGATTTCCTCTGATGATGAAGACGATATCGACCTGCCACGCAAGGATATCGACCTGATCGAGATTTCTTCTGACGAAGACGAAGCCAAGGACAAAAGTGTGCCGACACAACGTCCCGCAAGGACAGCACTACCTGTTCGAATAGGACGGAAAGAACATCAAGAACGAACATTTGGTATCAATACAGAAGCCAGCTCAGAGGCCTCTGCCAAAATACTCGAACAAGCGGAATCAAGCGGACAGTCGCTGGCCACGGCTGCCACGGACCAAGCTGGCCGAAGATCAAAAGCCAAGTCAAAGGATGTGGAGATTACAGGCTCTCGGAAGCAGTTCAAGGGTGTTTGGAATGATCCAGAAGATTCAGACGTTGGTGTCAAGACCGAACCCACCAGCGACGACGAGAACATGGCCGACGCTGAACAAGTTGGCTTGTCTAATGCTCCAGCTCAGTCGGTGGAGAAGGAAGAGCCGCAGTCGCCGGATGTTGAACGGAAGCCGAAAATCAAGAGGAAGAGTATCACCGAACCCATCCTCCAGACTGACGAAGACCGTGCAGAATGGGCGCGTTTTCAATCAAACTTGCGCCACATTCGAGCTGAGCTGGGCCCCGAAGAGGTGCCACACGACGAGACTGGGGACGTAGCCATGGCAGATGCTGGCAGTGCAGAGAAAAGACCCACAGTGCGCGATAATAATGTTTATCTCTTCCAGATCCCACCCCTGATGCCAGAAGTGGAACCGCCGTCTGTCAAGAAAGAGGCTTCAGACCCCCAGCCCCTTGCACCGCCCGTTCAGGCTCCAGGCAAAGCGGATGCGAAGATCAAGGTCGAGGAAGGAAGTTTCTCAGATCCCAATGCCAGGGTCAAAGAAGGGGTCCGCTTTGGAAGTGGACTTGTGGGCAAACTGCGCGTACACAAATCTGGCCGCACAACACTAGACTGGGGCGGTACAAGCTTTGAGCTCACACCGGGGAACAGATCTGGCTTCCTACAAGAAGTAGCTAGTGTTGAGATCCGGCCAGAAAACCAGAGAGCAGCGCCCGAGGATGCAGGGGATGCGATTAGTCTTGGCAGGGTCAAGGGCAAGTTTGTCGTGGTTCCCAACTGGGCGAGGATGCTGGACTAGGACATGCAGAAGGCGTTGTCTACGTACACTGTGTTTCCCGTGGTGTTTTAGCTCATCAACAAGGTTAGGGCTGAAACGATACAAGTCTTGTAGCGTCGCTATCCAAGTACAGTGAAGCAGTGCCTCTGGGAGGGGGCTGGCCTTTGAAAAGACTGCGCTAAGCTCCACCCGTATAGTTGTCATTGGTGGGCTATGATTCGACAAAGCATCACGGTGTGCAGTTGCAATCTGCAAGCATTTTCTGTCGGCCCGTTGAGCTGCGCATATGCACGTGAATATGACACATTTTGAACGTGCACAGCAGCACCTACATACACACACACACATATCAGGCACGTCAATATCACCACTCCCTCGACTTGATTTGGAGTAGCCAGGGCCAACGAGTCAGAGTGATGATACAGGGCCAGAGTATTTACATAGTGGTAGACAGGATTCCCGGGACTGAGCTACGCATACGTGACACGACGGCAGAGCAGCCGCGGCGTGAGACGAGAGCGGTGGTAGGGGGAGAGTTTAGCGTAGGTGGCACGTGCGTGGGATCGAGATTTGAACGTCGTAGGCAAATGCCATGTTGAAAGCTGAAAAGGCCAATGTGCCGCCACAATCGAGCCCCCCCCCCCCCGCGCATTAGCCCCTCGGCAGGAATGCCGGTGCAGGTTGTGGTAGGCGATTTGCAGCGTAAATCACCCTGGCCACCCGCCTAGCTTGTCCTGCCTGCTCCCTGTTAACTGTCACTAACTGCTCTTTCTGCGTCCGCATCTCAAGGGTGCCGTTCATCGATGCAAAGCCCTCCCAGACGGGGCATGCACCCACCCACTGCCTTTGCAACAACCACTCCCGGTGCAAATCCCGCGCCGTCCGCGCCAGTCTCGGGCCTGCCTGTCTGTCCGCGGTGCAACCACGGCGTTATCCACGCAGATCCGCCATGGGGGATGTGGATATCCGTCAGCTCTTCGACAGCGACCCTCGACCAACTTTTGTTGTTGACTGCGACTGCCCTTCGTCCGCCATCTACCATGTCAATATCGCCTTGCTTGCCATCCCACACATCGCCCTATCGCTTAGTTCCCACAACGCACTGAGAGATTGGTGGGATCCTGTGAGCCTCAGTTCCGCTCGCCACCAAAATGAGTTCCGCCACGGTAGGTACCGCTGGGCCAAGTTCGTCGTCTGCAGTCGCTGGCTCGTCGTTACCATTGTTCAGCAGCCACCCCCTTCAATCGAGCAATCAGGCTGCCTTTCAGAGCCCGCAAGACTATCTCGCATTACTTCCCCCCTCTGGGCATCTCGACCGGATACCATCTTCACTATCAAGATCCAGTCGCCAGAGTTACGCAAACACATTGAACGCATCCGCAAAGTTGACTGGTCAAAAACATCCCTGGGCCCTATAAGCAGCTGGGGATATGAGCTCAACCTGCTTGTGACGACTTTGATGTTGGAAACCCGCCCAACCGCTCTCTTCCTCGGACCCGAGCGAACCATCTTATACAATCTCGCCTATGGTGCCGTCACTGGCTCGAGACACCCTGCCATATTGGGTCAGAGTATCCTAGATGCATGGTGTGTTGAACACCACGACCCGGCATCAAGCTTTTCTGACAAACCAACAGGCCTGAGCTTGCAGATCCCATCTCGACAACCATGGATCGCTCAGAGAAAACACGATTTGCCGATGTCCCTGAAGAGGAATTTCACTTCATGGTCGAAAGAAATGGGTTCGTTGAAGAGGTCTTCTTCATGTGGAGCCTTGCACCCCTTGTCGGTGTCGGTGACATTACTGGCATGTATTCCATTGTGACAGAGGTCACGAAACAGAGGTAACTACCTCGTATTTCTCGTTAAAAAAAACCCCTCCAATCATTAATCATAACGATTCAGGTTGCTCGAGCGTCGCGTCAATGCTTTGTTAAGGGTGGGCCGGTTAGCCAGCAAAGCAAGAACAACTAAAGAATTTTGGGCTCAGGTAGGCCAAGCTATTCAGCCATCTGAGTATGACTTTCCAGCCGCCATTTTGTACTCAAATTCTGAGTTGAATGAGGTACCAGACGCTGCAGATGTCAAGACTGGACTACCACGTAGATGCGCTCTGCAATGGACCATTGGATATAAACCCGACCACTGTGACATACCTCAGCATCTGGACCTAGACCAGGATACTGGCTTAGCCCGCGCTTTTTCTGCCAGTATAATAGACGGGCCTGAAGTACTTTTTGAGGAACGCGATGGTATATTGCCAACGTCACTGTACACAGATCTTGAAAAGCGCGGTTTTGGAGACCCACTGAAAGTCTTCCTTGTTCTTCCCATACGGACTTACGACAACAACGTTGTAGCATTCCTTCTTATTGGGCTTAATACTCGTCGGCCATATGATGACGAGTACAAGGATTGGATCAATGTCTTCTCCAACCTGTTGGGAGCTTCTGCTGCACTAGTGGCACTCCACGAAGAGGAGGTACGAAGACGCAAACTGCAAGAGGAACAAGCCGCCCGAGATCGCGAAGCCCTTAATGCTGAAGTTGCAACTCTTACACAAGAAGCTAGTAATGCCGTGGAAAAACTTCGCAATTTCCATGAGATTGCTGACCAACTCGGGCTTGGGTATTTTGAGATTGGTGTTGATGGGATGATGGTACATGCTAACGTAAGGGTCCGAATTGCAGCCTATCAACATCGGCTGATGCGACAACAGGAAACATACTTTGTTCAAACTGGGCACCGGAGAGATCTTGCAAATTGCCCACCTTTTGCCTTCAAGCAATGTATTCACGAAGATGATGTAGCCACGATCGAGGATCAATGGGAAACTCTGATAGCGGGAGAACCAATTACGTTTGAGGTTCGTTGGAAGAGACACTTGAATCAAGAAAAAAGAGACGGGAAGGCTAGTGATGACTATCTTTGGACGCTCTCGGCTTGTGTGCCTATCAAAGATGTAGATGGGATCGTTACAGGCGTCTTTGGCTGCAACACCGATATTTCTGCCCAGAAAGAGGCGACCGAAGCTGTGATCATGCGCTCAGAGGCAGAGCGACGCTTAGCCAGTTTCACTGAGCTGGCACCAGTCGGTCTATATCATCTGAATCAGGATCTGTCAATGAGGTACTGCAACGACCAGTGGTTCCGTATCACTGGTCACGACAAAGTCCCCATGGATCAAGTAGACTGGCGAAATATCGTCGACGAAGATCGAATAGAGGCTTGCTATCGCGACGTAGACATGACCAGGTATAAGGAAGGATCACATACATTTTCAACCAATCTCAAGAAACAATGGACGGGACCAGACGGAGTCACGACATCAACCTGGATCCTGGCAACAGCCACTGCATATGCAGACGGCACCATCATGGGGACAATGACGGACATTTCGCAGCTAAAGTGGGCCGAGTCGATTCAAAAGACCAGAGTTGAAGAAGCGCTCGAGTCGAAGAGGCAGCAAGAAAACTTCATTGATATGACCAGCCATGAGGTGAGTGACACTTACAGACTTTGTGTGCGTCGGAAACTGACTGCAAGCGATACAGATGCGCAATCCGCTGAGCGCAATGGTACAGTGTGCTGACTCTATCATGGGCTCACTGGGCGAGATGAAAGCTCTCGTGCAAGGCGAAACCCTCGCTGCGCAGCCCGACCAACAAGCACAGCTAGAAGATCTTATTGAAAGCAGTCTAGACGCTATCGACACGATACAGGCATGTGCCACACATCAAAAACGGATTGTCGACGACATCCTTACTCTCTCAAAGCTTGACTCGAAGCTTCTGGTCATCAGCCCTATGGTGCTGCAACCCGTCACACTTTTACAAGACGCATACAAAATGTTCAAAGACGAAGCCAACAAACTCGGCATCGACCTCGAAATGCGGTGTGACCCGTCAGTTGAAGAGATGGAGATTGACTGGGCAATCTTGGACCCGAGCCGCGTTCTTCAGATTCTCATAAATCTACTGACCAACGCAATCAAATTTACGAAGGATCAAGAGAGACGTAAGGTCGAAGTCATTATGGGTGCTTCCCGGGAGGTAGAAAAGATGCCAGAGATCGAGTATGTGCCACAAGAAGCCTTACGAAGGGATTTCCTTGCTCAAACCGAAGAGGACCATGCGGGCGAAGTGTTCTACCTCAACTTCACAGTCAGGGACAGTGGATGTGGGCTCTCGCCTGAACACAAGGCCAAGCTCTTTCTTCGATTTTCGCAAGCCACACCGAAGACACACGTCCAGGTACTACTCTATCATATGCCCTTTGCTGTTCTCATCAGTAGACTAACAACCACTTTAGTATGGCGGGACAGGCCTTGGTCTCTTCATATCCCGGGAGCTCACCGAACTGCAAGGTGGCAGCATTGGTGTGGCCTCTGACCAGAACATTGGATCTACATTTTCCTTTTACATCAAATCACGGCGTGCAGCATCACCTCGAGACAAACACACGGCTATAGACGTAAGCCCTACTCCTAACGGCGAGTCGTCGACGGGCACCAACGGAGACATTATTGGAGACATGAATGGCAATCGTGGGGCTGTAGTGGGCGGTGCCCTCTCATTGCCAGAGGTTGAAGAAGTCATGGAAATAGACAAACACCACTACAACATCCTCGTTGTCGAGGACAATCTGATTAACCAGCGGGTTCTATCCGCACAACTAAAGAAACTAGGCCACACAGTGCACGTTGCAAATCACGGTGTCGAGGCCCTGTCCCATTTATCACGAACGCCATTTTCAGCCATGCCTAGCGCTTCGCCCTCGGTTCCTCTCAGCGTGGTGCTCATGGACATTGAGATGCCCGTCATGGACGGACTGACGTGTACGCGGAGGATCCGAGAGATGGAGGCACAAGGCGAGTTGAGCGGACATGTACCGATCATCGCAGTTAGTGCCAATGCGAGACGAGAACAGGTGGAATTGGCCAAGAGCGCGGGCGTGGATGGCGCAATATGCAAGCCTTTCCGGGTTCCCGAGTTAATAGGCTTAATTGAAGGACTGGGCATTAAGTAAGAGTGGCTCATGCTCAAAGGCAGAGCAAAGGACGCGATGGTAGGCGCAGGCGCAGGCGCAGGCAGCATGGACACCGTCGTAGTTCTTGGGCTAGACAATGAACGTAATAGAGATTCAAAGAAACGTCCGGGCCCCCGCGTCTTGAGACGCGTCCGAGCACGCGTCGTCTGGTCAACTGCAAGGTCGTGGGGACTGGGTAGTGACGCCATGGAAACCTTCAATAGATCTCGAGGGTGTGTGCACGACGCAAGGGGCACTTTACTCGTCTGAAGGGGGCTCGAAATGGATCAAAGACAGAGTGCAAGTTGTGAGCCAGCCACTTAACGCGTCGAGTAACACGTCGTCCCTGGCGATACGTCGCCGGAATGTCATGGTCAGCCATTGTCAGATCCTCATCAGCGAAAAATCTTATCTGATCCGAGGCCGGCACGAGCAAAAGACCATTGTGCAGCCAGTGCAGACTAGCAGACGGCCTAATTGTGGTTTCAAATGCATTTCCAAGACTGATATCAGCCGCCAGGCCCCAGGGCCTAGCTGCTCACGGAAACGGCCCTTGCATGTTGTGGTGGGGACAGGTCGAATCGTAGCGCGTTGCGACGCGTCTGGGTTTTGACACAGTCTGTGGCTGGGTACGCAGCTGAGCGACCATTTTGCAACTCCCACGCATCTGGGGAGGAAAAAACATGGCCAATATGGGTGTCTTTGGATTGCATGCAGGCACAATGTTGTGCATATCTACTTGGCTCCTCTACCTTTGTGGTGGAAAGGCTGAAAAAAGCATGGTGGTGGGTGTTGCGAACGCATGAGCTCATAGCGCACTTTTCGCGTCGAGGGGGCACTAGCGGCCGCAAGCGCGATCGCCATGTCACGTGCTCGCGAGTGAACGCGGATTTATAGAGTGAGCGCGTCTCTTCTCTGTCCCTCTCTACACTACAACCCACCACCACTTCTTACAAGCACGTCCACTTGCCTTGTCTTCTCTACGCCTGTGTCTTTCTACACTCGACCCAGCGCATTATTACCAACTTTTTTTCTTCGCCTCATACACAATGTCTGCTATTCAGTCTACGCCTTCCAAGCAGGTACGTCACGGTACATGCGGGACATGTACTTCCACGCGACGCGTCCATACTAACGCGTCATACAGGTGGCATCTGCAATTGAGTCTCTCAAGATGACCAACTCACCCGCAAAGACACTCGACTTCTCGGACTCGGACAAAGAAAACGTTTTCAAGCCCATTGTCGGCATTCCAGATGACTTCGACGCCAACGTCGAGGACGTCAAGCCTACAGTCGCGTCTACCATTAAGGCTGAGGAGGCACACGAGCCCCTCCTTCAAGAGAACCCGGGACGCTTTGTCCTCTTCCCTATCAAGTACCACGATGTAAGTTTTTTCCACTTTACGCGTCTCGTGGCGCGTCAGTCTAGTCTACCTCATGACTCATGCTAATTGGTTTCTCACAGGTCTGGCAAATGTACAAGAAGGCCGAGGCTTCTTTCTGGACCGCTGAAGAAATCGATCTCTCCAAGGATCTCCACGACTGGAACAAGCGTCTCAATGACGACGAACGCTTCTTCATCTCCCACGTCCTCGCCTTCTTCGCAGCCTCCGATGGCATCGTCAACGAGAACCTGGTCGAGCGTTTCTCGAGCGAAGTACAAATCCCTGAGGCACGATGCTTCTACGGCTTCCAGATCATGATGGAGAATGTCCACTCTGAGACCTACTCCCTGCTCATCGACACATACATTAGCGAGCCCAGGCAGCGCCAGTACCTTTTCAACGCCATTGACAACAGTAAGTTGCCCCACAACACGCTTCAATTACGCGTCTAACGTGTCATAGTTCCCTGCATCCGCAAGAAGGCCGACTGGGCTCTGCGATGGATCTCTGACAAGAATTCCACCTTTGCCAACCGTCTCGTTGCATTCGCTGCCGTCGAGGGTATCTTCTTCAGTGGATCATTTGCATCCATCTTCTGGCTCAAGAAGCGTGGTCTGATGCCTGGTCTTACTTTCTCCAACGAGCTCATCTCTCGTGACGAGGGCATGCACACCGACTTCGCCTGCCTGCTCTTCTCTCTTCTCAACACCCGCCCCAGCAAGGAGTCTGTCCAGGCCATCATCACCGAGGCTGTTGCCATTGAGCAAGAGTTCCTTAGCGACGCCCTGCCATGCGCTTTGCTCGGCATGAACGCCAAGCTCATGTGCCAGTACATTGAGTTCGTTGCTGACCGTCTGCTTCTCGCTCTGGGCAACACCAAGGTCTACCACGCCACGAACCCCTTCGACTTCATGGAGAACATCTCGCTTGCTGGCAAGACCAACTTCTTCGAGAAGCGTGTCGGTGACTACCAGAAGGCTGGTGTCATGGCAAGCACAAAGAAGCACGAGCAGAAGGAGGGCTCATCGTCTCCCGCACCTGAGCCCCAAGGCCAGTCTGGTGACTTCTGCTTCGACGAGGACTTTTAAACGCCTCACTTTGTTTCCTTGCCATGTTTCCACTATTTAATTCCTGTATACCACCCTGGACGCTGGTGCCGGACATCATCTGTCTGCATCTTCTGGTCTTTGCATTGTCGGAGTCTTCGATACTCCTTGGACATTGGCGTCATGGCGTAGTTGATTTTTTTTTAGCAAGACTCTGGATGAGCGACGCGGCTGGGTATGGACTTTGCACGCGATGGATCAACGACCTATATCCCCCACTGAATAATTATGAATACAATATATCAATACATGAAATGTTGCGCCAATCGTGATGCCTACTCGTTTCTTTTTTATGGCTATTTCTGGCAGTCCGCGTGGCTTTGGTCGGTCCCACGAGGCCGGACAGCCTTGGCGTGCTTGATCTCACGCAAGCTTCGGATGAACCACGCCCATCGGGCCTACCGATCTCCGCGGTGCATATCCTCCCAACATGGCAGATCTGCCATCCTTCACTCCCCGCGGCTGCTCGTCCCTTAGTTTTGCATGCGAGGGAATCCAAGGTTCAATTCACATGACGTCACTCATCCATGTGGCGTTCTCGTGCCGAGGCTATCGTGATCCAAATCAGTACAAGTCGCCTGCAGGCAGTTTCGCGGCACGCCGAGCCTATCATTCGGAGGTTCACTTAAGGACCAATTCGCCTCGGACGAAATCTCCAGGCATGCCATTTCCAGCCGCGCGGCACGATTGCAGAGGGCCGGATATGATATGCATGACAGCAGCCGCCAGCTAACTTGTCGATATCCGTGACCCTCCGCAAAGACGACCCTGACAAAGTCTGGGCCTTACGCCTCTGGAATCTTCGCTTACTGTTCCTGCGCATCCAACGCATTGCCCGAGTACAGCTCACCTGTATTCCTTAGGCCAACACATACCCTGTGTGTTGTATGTGCTTTGCCATTTACTACATCAAAGCCCGCGTGGATTCATGTCGCACTGTCACATGTACCCATGGCCGATGCAATCCCCAAGATCATCACCACGCCTGCCGGTCGAAGCGCCGCTCTCCAGAGGGAGGAAACCGCATCTTCAACCACGATTGACGGTAATCCCTCACACCTCGCTATTCGGGGAGTCGAATCGCTAATACTGAACTCCCATATAGCGCCGTTGTCGAACAAGAAACTTGTCGCAAAGCTGAGAAGCCCTACAGCATCACCTGCGCAGCAACACAATGATGCGCAACAAAATGGAGGAAGCTTGGGAAGTGCGATAGGACTGTCGGAAACACCCTTGGACCCGCTCTCGCAAGTATGTCTTTAAGGATTGCCTTTTGTGCCGACGTGGGAATACTACTAATGCAGTCGCTTTTAGCAAATCTTCAATAGAACAAATACGTCACCGGCGGCTCAGAAGCTTCGGTCGCAGAACTCGGAACCCGTCGCAAGTCAATTACCGAGAGAGTCGAATGATATTGGCATGGATAAGGTTAGTGGTGAGACAGCTCGCGGCGCTGGTGGGAGTAAGGCCGATAAGAAGTAAGTGCTTGCGAGTACAAGGTAAGGCGTCCGATAAACAAGGCTGACAACTTTCCTAGAAGAGTGTCGTTTCTCAGTCGCTTTATGGGCAGCACCAAGAAAAAGAGCAGCCCGGACGGTACAAGCGACAATAGCTCCGAACCAGACGACCCACGTCACGAGGGTATGAACGCCCAGCTCTATGTCAACAACCTCAGTTTCAGTCCAAAAACCCCGCATCCCCCGGCATATATCAAAGTGAGGGCAAAGTTCAAGAAGGAGAAGGAGTTTGATCGCGTCTTTCTCGCGCAAGAGCTGCGATCTGGGTCGGGAAGGAAAAGTCCGCCGGCCGCTGGATCAAACCCAGCGCCGCAATCTGGATCTGCAGCTACACATAATCCGATATGGGCTGTTGAATTCAGCAAGGATGGAAGATATCTTGCTGTGGGTGGACAGGATAGAGTGATTAGGGCATGGGCCGTGATAGACAGTCCAGAACGACGCCGAGCGCACGAGAACACTGAAAGAGATCGCCATGCGCATCATGAGGAGACCAAGCACCTCAGTGCGCCAGTGTTTGAGCAGAAGCCAATTCGTGAATACCAAGGACATACGTCGACTATCTTGGATTTGAGCTGGAGTAAGGTATGTTGTGGGATGATGGACTGTCAGAACGGTGTTACTAACAAGCAAAAGAACAATTTCCTCTTATCTTCATCAATGGATAAGACCGTACGCCTGTGGCACATAAGTCGCGACGAGAATCTGTGCACATTCAAACACTCCGACTTTGTGCCTTCGATACAGTTCCATCCCACCGATGATCGATTTTTCCTCGCTGGATCCTTGGATGCGAAATTGCGGCTTTGGAGTATTCCGGATAAGAGCGTTGCATATTCGACTACAGCTCCAGACATGATCACATCAGTCGCTTTTACACCCGACGGAAAGACGTGCATTGCAGGCACGCTTGGCGGACTTTGCCTGTTCTACGATACAGAGGGCCTAAAGTGGCAGGCACAGCTCCATGTCAAATCGACTAGAGGCCAGAATGCAAAGGGCAGCAAAATCACAGGTATTCAGGCAACGTATTGGCCACCGGGTAGTGAAGACGGTGAAGTCAAACTGCTGGTGTCGAGCAATGATTCAAGACTGCGGATATACAATATGAAGGATAAGACGCTGGAGATGAAGTTCCGCGGCCATCAAAATATGTGCAGCCAAATCCGGGCAACTTTCGCTGATGGCACCGGACATATTGTGTGTGGAAGTGAAGATCGTAAAACGTACATTTGGTCGACATCCGCGCTAGAAGGCGGTGAGAAAAGGGACCAGCGACCAATGGAAATGTTCGAAGCTCACAATTCAATCACTACTTGCGCGATTATCGCACCCATGCAGACAAGACGGCTTCTGAGCGCGTCAGAAGACCCAATCTTTGACCTTTGTAACCCACCACCGGTTACCTTGGTTTCAAAGGCGGAGTCTGTAGTATCATCGCGAGCACCTACGGAGACAGGATCGGCACATCTGACACCTGGACCTACAGACACACAATTCAAGAAGGCAGCGGGAAGTCCAGCATATATCGCACGTTCTGCACATAGAGGAGGCAACATTATTGTGACAGCCGACTATACCGGTGCACTCAAGGTGTTTCGACAAGACTGCGCGTTCCAGAAGCGCATACGACAGAGTGAGCAATGGGACACTACCCTAATGAAAAGAGCATCCGTCATCGGCCGCCCAAGCAGCATAATTTCCCGTACCAGCCGGTCCCGACGAGACAGCGTATCCACGCAGCCCCCCAACGATCGCATCATGACCTGGCGCCAAGACATAACCCACAGCAGCATCGACTCCGGCACCTCCCTCTCCGTCCGCAGCGCCTCCTCCCGCAAATCCCTCGCAGCCCTAAACCTCAACGCCTCCCCTTCCTCTCACTCCCATTCCCCCATCCTCCGGCCCCAGAAAACAAACGACTCCCACGACATCCCCCGTCCCACCGACACCCCCGGCACCTCCTCCTCCCGCGATCCCAGCACACCACCTATATACAGCACCACGCACTCCTCAACCTCCTCCTTACACAAGCACTCTGAAAAAGACGTTGATTCTCCTCCCCCTCCCTCTCCTCCCGCCAGAAACAACTCGACCATTAACGATAATCCAAACCCCCTCCTCCACCTCTCAGACCCCATTTCCAACCCTCTAGCCCTACTCAACGGCCAGTCTTGGTTGTTCTGGACGAGCAGCGCGAAGAAAACTATGGGTACGCCCGCGAGTTTGAGGCCGGATTTGGCGGCGAGGACTAGTTCCATTAGTGAGGTTAGTCGGTTGACGGATGAGCGGAGCGAGAGGAGTGATGGGGGGGAGTTTGACGAGGAGGAGGAAGGTGGTGAGAAGAGGGTGAGGTAGAGACGTGTGGTTTAGCTAAGGAGGGGAGTTTAACGGTTTTTTTTCTGTCTATTGTTTTTTTTCTGGGGTGGTAGTACTGCATAGAGGTGTTTCGGTGGGGTTTGCATATATATATACGTGGGATGAGTGGAATGAATTTTTTTTGTTGTTGGTTGGCTGATTTGGTTGTTAAGGAGTTTGAAGGAGTTTGCATCTGTGTGTGTTTTCTCCCATGCACTTGTTCCTAATAAGTCATTAATTGTCTTTGGTTGAAGTAGTATTAGGTATTCTCAGGACATAAATTAAGAAAACTGCATTTTGGTGTCACTGAATACTGTTATCTGGTGGGGTTAGTACATATCCGTCTATGGAAAAAATCTGCAGCCCATGCGCGTGTCACCGACATTATTCAATCGTCTTCAACTCTGATTTGCAAAAAAATGAGTATCCCATGCCTGATACTGGGCAAAAAAGATGACCTAACCAGGGGTCGAACCTGGAATCTCTTGATGTCGAATGAATCGTAGTCAAGCGCCTTGCCATTGGGCCATTAGGCCGATTTGTTTCAATCGATGGAAGAGATAGAATTTAATCCACATATATCCACTGATGTAGACGCGCACAAAACTAAGCAACATCCATTATGCAGCACCAGAGTCGTAACTCTTCTCAACACCGTGAAAACTTTTCCAAAGCACCATCATCCCACGCAATCGCCCTGTGGAGTCACAAAACCTCTTCCCCAACCTCGCTAACCCGATCCGACTCTAGCGTCCCAAGAACCCCTGTCCATATACCTCCCCCATCTCCCGGTCGGTCAGTCGCGCGCGCCAGCAAACAAAACCCGGCTACTACCCCCCACGCGCGCTCAACCATCTCATCGCCCAATAATCTCTCCCTTGCAAAATAAGAAAAAACAAAATAAAAAGAAAGAGCTTGGAAGAAAACGGGCGTAAACCTCGCGGTGGGGGGATTTTTTTGAAAGAAGGAGAAGAAGAAGAGATGGACGACGCGGACCCCATGGCCGAGAAAGTGCAATCGCTAAGCGACTTGGAGCTCGCGGTGCTGATTTGTCTTGTTGCAGAGCAACACTGCGTTATCGAGTGTGAGATGGAGAGTTTGCGGGGGGTGCAGGTGGAACTTGAACTTGTACGTCTTCCCCCTCTTCCTCTACGCCAGTTGGAAAGTCTGTGGAGAAGAAGGAAGTATGTTTGAGGAGAGGGGTTGTGAGGGGGGGCTAACGAAAGAAATAGGTAGCAGCCAAAGTCTTTGGGTTGACATGTGCGGTGCTGGAGTGTGAGGAAGGGATGTCGCTGGATGAGTTTGGGAGGGGGATTTTAGTGGATGGGGAGGAGGGGGATGGGGGCAGAATTGCGAATGTGGTTGTTGCACGGGATTTGAATCGGGCGAGTGAGCAGGTGCAGGTTCAGGCTTTGGAGGTGAGGTTAGTTCGGTGCGTGGGCTGGGGGTGGTTTTGCTAATGCGTGATGGTGTAGCTTATACGCGGGAAACGGAATTTCACGAGGACGGCGGTGCATGCGGCGCCGAAGCCGTTTTTGTTTGTTGCGTTGAATGCAGCGGATAGTCCGAGGTTGACTATGCATTTGGTGGGTTGTGGTTGGAGTCTCTTTTGGAATGGGGGGTTTGCTAATGTGGATGCAGAATGATCAGTTTTTCATTTCGCATAGACATCAAGTCGAAGATGGGCTGCCGAATCTTGAAGAATTGCAGGAGAAGGAACGCGGTTTTGATGATGCTTCTTCGATGTCTTCGGTGGTGCGTACGATTCCGTTTATGGCAGGGAAACACAAACCACAGAGTGCATTGTTCACATCAGAAGTAAGTCCTTTGGATCGACTAGCCGATGATAACTAACAATTTCAGGATCTCGCAAACCTAGCAAAGCTTACAGCAGGAGTCAAGATTAGCTCAGAAGTGCGGGCATATCTATACAATATCGTCGTCTTCATGAGGCTACATCGTGCAGTTGCAGGAGGAGTGTCGGCGCTAGCTACAAGACACTTCAGCATATTGGCCCAGTAAGTTGAGCGCTGCTCGGGACGAATGAAGCTGATTGTGCTAGTACACTTGCCCCACTCCACGGCCTGGACTACATGTCTCCGTCCATGGTTGCACTGGCCGCTCGGAAGATATATCCACATCGCATCGTCATCACTGCGCCGGAGAACGAACGCAGCATGCAATGGGGTAGCTCTTTGGAAGCGGTGAAGGCAGTGTTGGAAGGTGTCACCCCTGAGGACGTGATTGAGGAAGTGCTCGAGTCGGTCGAGGTACCATTGTAGCAGTACCACTAGGCAAGAGCTGAGTAAGGATGTGTGTTGCTCATCTCATCGGGGCGTGGTGGGTGTGATTGGTAGCCGGTGGGGTCGCAGGGCCTGCCCCTCGCAAAGTGGGACCGTGGCGGCGCGTTGATTCATGCAGCCGCCTCGACGTCAATTACGCACAGGGTACCAGGGAACAGACTACAAAACGCCGGCGGTACCTCGCAATCTTGTGGCTGTTCTGCTGCCCTTTTGCGCGCTTCCACAATGGCAACAACCTACTTCGACCAACTGAGTCCGGGCGTCCAGGGCGCAATCGAGGTACCTGACGCTCACCAGACGTCATAGCCATGCGCTTATACTAACTTCCTTATTGAGAGCGAGCTTGGGGACCAAGATTCCAAGAGTATCGCCAGCGTAAATAGCCATGATGATGCCTTAGAGGTGCGCATTGAGTTGTTTTCCCGCTTTTTTTTCTTTTACTCTCGCTCACAAACACCCGCAGGTGGTTTTCGAAGGCGGATATAACGGCCACCGCCGCAAAGCCTCCCTCGCACCCCACCCTTCAGGCAAGATGACGTCGCGTCCGGACAACGACCGCCGCACCACAGCGTGCATTGTTCACTCGCTTCTTGAGAAGCACGAGGGCCTGCCCGTCAAGGACCATTCGCAATCGTATGAAGGTCTGGCCCAGGAGCGGCGTGTCGACAAGGATGCGCTCAAGGAGCACACTCATGAGCGGGAGCACTCGCGGCTGTTGACCAAGAAGGAGCTGTCGGACATGGCTTTTGGCATCCGGGAACTCTCCAAGAAGCTGTCGCAGATCCGCCTGAAGCTGCACGTCAAAAACATCTTCATACTAGGCAAAGCCCACGACGAGGGTCTCATCAAGCATTCGCGTGAGGTCACCGAGTGGTTGCTGACCAAGGACTCGGCATACACGGTGTATGTTTTGGCTTTGCGATACAATGGGCAGCACTGACAGGATGCAGCTATGTGGAGCAAACATTGAAGGACAACCATATCTTCAATGCCAAAGACGTTCTCGAAAAGGACGGGTTCAAGGGGCGTCTCAAGTTCTGGACAAATGAAATGTGCGCACAGAGGCCGCAGACCTTTGATATCGTCTTGGCGGTATGAAAGCGAAATCGATTTGAGCCGTACAGGACTAACGGTTCTGCAGCTTGGTGGTGATGGTACAGTTTTGTACGCATCATGGCTCTTCCAACGCATCGTCCCTCCGACCATTGCCTTTTCACTTGGATCTCTTGGTTTCCTCACCAAATTTGACTTTGACCTCTATCCACAATCTCTTTCTCGAGCTTTCGCAGACGGTATAACAGTTAGCCTACGCCTTCGATTCGAAGCCACCATTATGCGGTCTCAAGAGCGCGATCCCAAGGGACGCGATTTGGTCGAGGAACTTATCGGAGAAGAGTCTGAAGATCATCACACGCATTACTCGGATGGAACTCACAACATTTTGAATGAAGTGGTTGTCGATCGAGGGCCAAATCCAACCATGTCGTCCATTGAGCTGTTTGGCGACGATGAGCACTTTACTACGGTCCAAGCCGATGGTATCTGTGTATCCACACCTACGGGATCTACTGCATACAACCTTGCAGCCGGCGGCTCGCTCTGCCATCCAGACAACCCAGTTGTTCTCGTAACCGCCATATGTGCGCACACGCTGTCGTTCCGGCCAATTATCCTACCCGATACCATTGTACTACGCTGTGGAGTACCCTACGATGCAAGGACAAGCTCGTGGGCTAGTTTTGACGGAAGAGAAAGAGTGGAACTGAAGCCTGGCGATTACGTGACAATTAGTGCCAGCCGTTTCCCGTTCCCGAGCGTGCTGCCGTTGGATAAGAGGCGGACGGATTGGATCGATAGTATATCGAGGACTCTGAACTGGAATAGTAGGCAGAAGCAGAAGGCGTTTAAAGAGTGGAGCTCGGAGAAATAGAGGGTATTGAGGGAGATGAGGAATAATCAGGTCTGGCAAGATGAATAGACGGCATTGCATGACCAGGTCCATTCAGTGTTAATTCCAGCATTTCCCCGGTTAATACAAGATCTCCAGCAAGTAACTCTTAATGTCATGCTCGTCTTTAATTTGCTTGCCCCATGATTTTTTTGCACTATTGGAGAACAGCTGTTTTGCAGAATAGTGAAAAATGACAAAGTCTAAGTTATGAATACGAAGGGACTGTTTTGGAGCAATTCATATACCTCATGGGATACCCAGGTACGACGACGTATCTCCGATTAGCATATGGTTCACAATACCAGTGTTTAGATATCTATAGTTGTCAAGTATTACATGTGCTAGCTTTGGCTAAACCATCTCAAAGCCGCACAACCGAAATTCGGTAGTATCTCAAATCACACACACACACACACACAAAAAGCTAGCCTCCTAAACAAACAAAGGCCCATACCCCGTCCCTTCCCCCCTTTGCACATCCGCCTCCATCGGCTCTTCAAACCCCACACCATTTGCTGCTTCCCCCTCACTAACAGGCATCGGCATCTCCCTCCACAACCCTTGAATCCTCCTCGCACTCTCCAGAAACCTATCCTGCAGTCTCGCATACTCCTTCGCTGTGATCTCCCCGTCTCGCTTTCGAAACACACCATTCACCATGACATGCTTGATATCCCCAACATTTGCATGCAGCATAATCGCCGCAACGGGATCGCTCCAACCCAGCACGCTGGGTGCGCGCCCGTTCCAGACGAGGATGTCTGCTTTGGCTCCGGGAGCTAAGATGCCAATGTCTGGGCGGCGGAGGGCGAGGCCGCCGTTGCGGGTTGCGAGGAGGAAGGCTTGGTTTGCTGACATTGGGTTGCGGGCGGGGATGTGGCGGCGGTTTATGACCTCTGTGTAGAGAGTTTTTCTTACGCCCTGGAGCCAGAGGCGGGCTTGGGTGAGGATGTCGGAGGAGAAGGTGAAGTGGGTGTCTATGCCGAGGGATGCTTGGTCCATGAGGAGGTGGGAGTTTGGGTGGAGGTGGCCGTAGTGCATTTCTGACTCCGGGGTTGTGGAGATGAAATGGTTGTATTGGCGCAGAAGCTGGGCGTCAGTGGGGGTGTGGTAACTGGCATGGGCGAAGATTATGGGGATGGAGGTGTTGAGGATGTTGAAGGGTTGGAGGACCGAGGGGAAGTTGGGGGCGCCGTAGATGCCGCCGTTGGCGTGGGTGGTTAGGACGGATACGTTGTGTTCGCTGATACCTGGGTCAGTACTCGTTGAACGGTCCCTGGGGGAAGTCACTTACATTGCGAGATCTAGGACGTGACGAGTTTCTCTCTTGTTATTGCTACTGAAGTTGTCATACGAGATAGCCAAGTTGGTGGGTGATTTATGGAATCGGGCATCCCTGGCCAAGTCTCGGAAAAGCTTTGTTTGCCCTTCAATTGTAAAGTTTGGATAGCTTTCGAAGTAGTACGCGAACTCAGCTCGGACACCGCTTTCGAACGTGGCATTCAGTGCTGCCATGGCATGCTCTGCTGACCATGTGCAGTGTGGGTAGTCCACGATGGTCGTGACGCCTCCATTCAGGGCTTCGTACAATCCGACTAGCTGACCAATGTACACATCCTCGGGCGTGAACAATCTAGCAGCAGGCGAGTCGGTGCCGTAGCGTTGGAAGTATGTCATAAGAGTGGTATTAGAGCCTAGGGTCTTGAAAGCCGTCTGCCAGCTATGGCGGTGCGTGTCGACAAAGCCTGTTGAAATGATGTCGTTGGTCGCATCAACGACTTCCAAGTCGGATGGCAGGGTACCATTATATGATCCTGAAAAGACGGCGGAAATCGTGTCATTTTCTACAAGGACAGAACCGTTACGAATGACATCGAGGTAGTTGGCGGGTGCATCCCAAGTGATTACTGTTCCGCCCTGAAGTAGCGTGGCAGCACTACTGAGTGTAGCGTATGTTAGGGTGTAAAGAAGCCAAAGCCGGGTCACAACGTCAGCAGACAGCATTTTGAAGGATCTCAATTGCGACTTGGCTCTTCGAATTCAACTGAACCCCGCATCTTATACTGCATCGTATTTTTCTCATGATATGCATAACATCATATCACATCTGCCGATCTGCGGAAACAAGAGTGCTGCAATAGCTGCACGTGCAGGGCCGATGACGTGAAGCCAAGATGAATTAACAAAGAATTTTGTATACGCCCCATCTTTTCAAAACTCTTTAACCGGCAGAAGATGGCTGCAGAAAATTCCAGTGGAGCTCGGAAAACACGAAAAGATGGCAGTGGAGAGGAGAGGACTTGGCAGGCGATGACGCACAGGCCAAGGTGGAGTTGAAGACCAGGCAGCAGGTCACGTGCGTGCCAGGCATCAGATTACGTGAGCAGAGCACAGATTCCTTTTCCCTTGGGGTATAAATGGAGGGCGTGGCCCTACCTTTACTCCTCATACTTACCTTCTTGCGATGGCCCAGCTCAAGCTTTGGGTCCATCTGATAGTCTCGTCTGCATTGCACAGCGCGGTATGGGACTGTCACGAGCTTCCTTCGGGAATCTCGGCGGGGCAATTTTTGTTGGTCGGCTTTTTAGCTTTTCATTGATTCCATCGCTTTGGCGGTGCATTGAGGAAGGGCTGTCATCGGGGTGGCGAGAAGGGGGTCATGATGTCTCTTGATGGTGGCTGCCGTGTGTGATGGAGGTGTGCCGTGGCGAAATCGTATACTCTGCGAAACCCGATTCAACGCACTCGAGTCACGCGTCCAAGGCCCGTATACAAGTACGTGTCGATAGCCTTCCAAGACGGTGGTCGTTGACCTCTATCGTTTGTACGTGACACGACCAATCGGACGCGTCGAGTGAGGCGAATGAACGTGAAACGACGCGTCAAGCTGGCGGTACTGCAGACCTTCACACAAACCAACAACTCCAAAGGCCGCCCCGAACTGGACAACGACAAAATAATCCGGCGCTTTGCATTCCTTTTCGCCTCTTAGCCATTGTCTCTGCTTCGAACCAGACTTTCGCGAATGGGACCCGGGTCCATAGCTACAAGATCAAACAATGGAGAAGAGGTGCAAATATCAAACAAGATGTTCATCGACTTGTCTTGAGAGACGATAGAAGACTATAGTGAAGAGACATGGTCACGTCTAACGGCTTACTGTAGTACCTGTCGATATGAGCAAAGTCGTGTTTGAAAGCTCCGCGGACCCCGTACATCCACTACGTCACTAATACCCGCGTCAGCACCCCTAGCACGACGTATACATCTAACATCACAATTACAGTGACAGGCGCATGCCCCATGACAATCAGCTACTCAAGTAAACGGTACAATTGGATTGCCATCGAGCGCCCATCGAACCAGAGTCTGGGAGAGAATATGTAGTCTTGATGGACAATGGCCACCGCGCGTAGAAGGCAGTATTTTGATACACCAATTGGTTTGATCGGATAACTTCGGGGTTGCTGAATCCGAATACTCATTCGCTGCATCTACTTCGGTATTGACGCGGTCCCATGGAGGTTGCAAGAATCCGAGCGGGAGTAGTGAACCCCATCATGAGGGACTCTCGGGGCCGATGTGTGCCAAAACACCAACCATATGCAGTGGTCCTGTCGTAGATACGAGTCTTCTCTAATCTCAGTTTCGGTGTCTCGCACCCAAAATTACGTATAGGCGTTCCTCAAGCCAGCACGTCATATTCGCCATCAGATTCGTGTAGCTCTAGCTGGAGTCCGCGGAACCCCGTATAACGTAGTGAATGACTACATTTCGTCACAATTAATACTAAACTCGAGATAAGCGAGACGACTATGCACCACATTCTCCGATCGGGGTAGGGCTGCCAATCATAAGTTGCATTCAACACTATTGCTTCTGCCTAGATGTACTCTACTAGCGATCGAAAGGAATGCGGATGGAAGCCATTTTCATGACGCGTTGAACTCCAGTTGTAGGCAAGACGGCGGACAAGAAGCCGCTCACGGGAACGTCATCTAGCCATCTATACGTACATAAATCTCAATCTTAAAGGTTTCCTAGAGATCATTCACTACCATAAATACCCATTCAAGATGCTCTTCACTCCTCAAATCCGCACCATCTCACGACCTTTGATCCGACAGATACCCATCTTCAAACAAACTTCCACCAGAATGTCTTCTACCAACCAGCACGGCCAGGGCGCTTCCCACGCCACCGGACAGAGCGCTGTTCCCGGCAAGATCCAAGAGGCTGCCCCAAAGGGCCTTGAGGAGTCCCTCCCCGAGAGCGTAAGTTTTGATATCTACGTTGCTGTTCACTTGGACTTTTCTAACATGGTCATCCTAGGTTCACCCCACTGGCAGCAACCCAAACAGCCAGTCCACAAGCAAGACCCACGCTCTCAACGACGGCGAAGACTCCATCGTTCCCAAGAAGATTCAGGAAATCGTTCCCGAGTCTGTCGAGAAGGGTGAGCACTTAGGATTAATATGTCTAAATAAACGCTTGCTAACTTAACGGAAAGCCCTCCCCAACGCCATCCACAACACTGGCAACAAGTAGATCTTTGATACCGGTCTAATACAAGAAATGCGAATGAACGCGTCAATGCAATGAGCTTATAATGCCACCACGATATGTCATCTGTATATAGCCTGAATGAATAAAGAATATCGGATAAAAAGAGTTACACTGCTATTGATGATGGGGACTATGAGAATTGGTTTATGCAGGTTCATGGACTGCACATTTCGAGAAAGAATTCTTTGGAATAGCTAGCTCTACTTCTCTCAAACACAACAAGATATATTTATAAGAAGCAGTTTTGACTTCCGAACTCTATACGATTTCCCTCATGACCACTCAGCAATTGTCGCCACAGGGTGAGCACGACTTTCTGGGCGGCAGAGATAGGTTTACTCGGACCGGGGTTGTCAAGCCATGTGCATTCTGCATCACAACCAAGAGGGTTTAGTATTGATAGGTCGTGGGTCTGAGTCCGACGGAATGCCCGGATTAAAACGGCCGCATTCACAAAGTGGTAAAGAAACATATAGATATGTAAAACTTCGAGAGTTCTACGTACATATCGGTATACTAAAAGAACAGACTATGTTATTCCGTAATACTATTATATAATTGTATTGTTTCAATAAAACCCCGTTTTCATGAATGTAGTTTGCATTCGGGGACTAAGAGTGTGGGCGTACCTGACGCTAGCGCAGAGCCGCGGCGAGGGTGACGTTTGTTGCCCCGCCACCCCTCCACAACTTCAACTGTTTTTCTAACCGCCATCATCATCATCATCGCCACGTCGCGACACCTGTGACACTACTCAAAACCAAGATACTTCAATATGGCGTCTGCTACTGCTGCCGATATCCAGGGACCCTCTCACCCGAACCCAGAAGGGCTCAACACATCCGCAAGCACGCAATTCCCTCCCATCAATATCGGCACACGCAACTCGGTTCTGGCCCAAATCCAGGCGCGTGCGGTTGAAAAGAGCCTCAAGGAAGCGAACCCTCAGAGGACATACAACATATGTCCTGTAGTGGTTCAAGGTGACAGGGACAAGATCACGCCTTTGCAACAGCTGAGCCAAGGTGAAAATGCAAAGAGTTTATGGACCGGAGAGTTGGAGAGCATGTTAGAGTCGGGCGATCTGGACATAATTGTGCACTGTCTAAAGGGTATATGAGCTGATACCTAAGATTGATCTAGAGCTGAGCTGACGGGCCCTGAACAGACATGCCTACTCAGCTACCAGAACACCTCGAACTCGGCGCCATTCTCGAACGTGAAGATCCTCGCGATGCCCTGATTATCTCTCCCCGCCTACCCAAAGAAACCACACTGGCCACATTGCCTCAAGGTGCCACCATTGGAACGTCGTCTGTGCGCCGAGCTGCGACACTACGAATGCTATACCCACACCTGAAGTTTGCCGACTTGAGAGGCAACGTCGGTACGAGGTTAGGTAAGCTCGATGCCGAAGATTCCCCGTACTCAGCTATCATCTTAGCTGCTGCTGGTCTGAAACGCATGGGTCTTGATAACCGCATCACACAATATCTGAGTGGCAGCAATGGGGGTATGCTGCATGCTGTTGGTCAGGGCGCTTTGGGCATTGAAATCAGAAAAAACGACAAGGCCATGAAGGAGCTTTTGAGCACTATCCGATGCGAACGAACAACGAGGGCGTGTTCAGCGGAGCGGACACTATTGAGGACCCTAGAAGGAGGCTGCAGCGTACCTATTGGTGTTGAGACATCATGGAGAGGCGGAAAAGGCCTGACCGTTGGTACACAGCCAGCAAAAGACTACGACAAACACGGAAATGCCATGGAAGAGGAAGAGCCAAGTTTTGATGATCAAGAATTGGTATTGAAGGCTTTGGTGGTCAGCGTTGATGGCAAAGAATCCGTCACAGCCGAGGCTGCCCGAAAAGTTCGCAATGCGGAAGAGGCAGAAGAAATGGGAAGAGAGGTTGCCAAGGCTCTGATCGAAAAGGGTGCGGATAAAATCTTGCAAAAGATCAGTGTAGAGAAGCAATGGGCAGCCAAGAAGCAGCTTGAAGAGTTGAAGGCGAAGTCTGTCGGCTCATAGATTGTGACTTGGAGAATCAAGAATTGAAGGGAATATTCACAGAATACTGACAGCGCGTACGATCAGTGATTGATGCTGGGCACGAAGTTCCCAAACAATGGTTTACTTGAATATTAGATTATGAAGACATTATGACTGCATACTGAGAAATCTTTTATATATATTGGAGAACTCGATAGCCTCGGAATACAGAAAGTAGAAATTACACAATATTGCGAGTGCAACAACTTCTGGTATCTAGCCTTGAAACACAATCTCAACAGTAGAAACAACTAACCTAATCACACCCCGATATCACTTGCTCACCCTGATCAAAAATCAACAAATAAACAACAAACGGGCTCCAAAATGTGTGAACGCCACTGGACCCAATACCTCCACTGCAACCACGAGCACCGACCCATGCGACACACCTACCGCTGTCACCGCGTCGACGCCGATGCACGGCCCGAGTTGTGTTCCGTGTTCAAGAAAGTAAGGAGAAAGATCAAGTATCCAGACATGTGTGATGATTGTCGCGATGCTGGGGTTGAGGTGGATGAGGGGTATAAGGCTGGGAGGTATGGGTAAGGGGTAAGATGAAGTGAGAGAGGAGAGAGAGAGGGGGAGGGATTTATGTGGACAAGGAATATGGAAGGAGATTGAGGTGGGATTTTGAAATGTACGGGAATGCATGTGCAAATGTGTGAGATTATGAAATCTATTCGTAAAGCACAGGCATTAAGAATAATTGCTGGGCTCAAGAAGAATGAACGGAGATGAGCAAGAATTCACCCTTTTGCTGAATATACATGGACTGTGTAGGTGATGGGTATGGGAGGGCACAGAAGGTGGGAATCTCTGATATCCCTTGTCTGCAGAACGGCGGCTGCTTGCAGGTTCGAGTCACTTGTGGTCGTCTGAATCAGCCCTGATGGATGCGCCGCCAGCTCACTTAGGAAAACCAAAGAAGTTACCATCTAGATTGGGTAGGAGCAGAGACAGGGGAAAGAACGTAGTGGATGGGTAGTACTGTCCTTATTCCCGGTAGATACCGGTGGTGGTGGTGGTGGTGGTGGTGGTGTGCTATTGTTCTGAATCAGTGTGGTGAAGGGGTGTCGCCAGGTTTGGGTATGGGTGTGCAGCATGACCCGTCGCAGGGGCATCTGACTTGGTGCTCGGAGTAGGGTTGGATAGCGTGACCAAAAACCTGGTACTGGCTTGTTACATCTGAATCGACATGTGCCAGCTCGCCGCCTTCCGCGGACAAAGCGGGTACATTGGGCGGCGGCGTGATGTTTCGGGTAAACCTACTTCATAGGTTGCTTGACCGATGACGGGACGTCCCGAATCGGTGTCCGTCCTTTTTCCAAGCCATCAATTTGTTCCTTTTTTGTGGTCTCGTGCTGTGATTCACGCATGCATGGTCACGTTGACTACGGTTGCCCTCTAGATAACATTGACCCGTTGTACCTCATGCGTATCGGGAATGACTGATTTATCCATCGGGTTTCTATGGATGCATAGTCACTTTGATGAAATTATATCTGAGTACGTGTTCCCCATTAATGTGGAGTAGCAGACATGGTCCGTGATGTATCGTTTGTTTTTTGTAGGCGTCCTTGTACTACGATCGATCCCCTATGATCAACAGTCCTTGCGCCGACAAAACTGCAACTAGGCTACGCATTGTAACTTATCTGTCAAATACCATAGCGCAAAGACCATACATCACAAAAACCGCGGATAATCGGCAACAAGTAGGAGATTCATTTTCGAAGCTGTAATATAGACAGTCACTGGGAAATGCCCTTGTCGTGAATGAGATCATATACCAAAGCTTCTGATGGTATCTATGTACATTAATTCACATAACATGATATCCGGCTTGAACTAGTTCAATACTTTGAAATATCACTAGGTTACACTTTTGCAGGCTGTATGTCACAGTGCCGAGCCACAAAGGATCTTGGGAAAACCAGTTACTTGTTTTGACTGACCAAAAATGATACAACCAATCCCTTTTTCTCAACATTAAGTTATGCTTTGCGAGCCTGAAGATCCTCGGATCAATTTCCAAACAGAGGGCAACAGACTTTTTGCCCCCTAGTTAAGCGGCCATACGGCTCTAACGGCCGTGAAAGCGCTTTGGCCATACTCTGACCTTTTTTTATCATCTTGTGTAACCTGATCGGGGCTCTTGCTGGGAAAAATGAAATCCCATGAATCTTGCCTGTATCAGGTACAGCTTCCGAAAAGTAAATCAGTACCTCAGCCCCCTTGCTGACAAGCCTCTGTGCCAGTTAGGGAAAGTAAAATCGAAACAAACCAGCGCAACTACTTCAATCGTATCATGGCTGACAGCTGATAGTAAGCATAAACAGTACCACGCTGAGTGTTAATGATCGCATGTGATCACTATGCTGGTAATTCCATCAGCGTTATGTTGTCTGTATGCGCCGATTGACTGCGTAAAGTATGCAGTGTATTGAAAGAAAGAAAGAATCAAAGTCGATACTGATTATCGGTGAGCATAACAGGCTAGTGTGAAGCCTATGACATGGCAATACTGCACAGCAAATACCACTGTGTATCGAGACAGACAGCAAAAGCCATGTATCATGTCTTAGCATTATACCGATGAAGCTTCTGAATTGAAAATCCCATATGTGCAAAATCAGCCTAGAAAACATCGGACTAGATTGGCAAACCGTCAATGCTCATAGGAACTTCTCAGACACAGCACACGGAGCTCGGAATAATCTGATCTTCCTCCACTTATCCCAAACGAGGTTTACCACGCAGCCACTACTATTCCAGAAACTACCGCAAAATGCTGTTTGGCTACTACTACTGGCCCAACTCGGCGCGGCTCATGTTTACTTCATCCATTAGTCTACCAAATTTTCTAATCCTGGTGCACAGTCGAATGTGCACTGACAGTAATTTTCCCCCAATACTTGTACTGCTCTAATGGCTTAGTGTATTCATGGTGATCTGATGAGTCACTCTACTTCAATTCCGCTTGCATTGAGAGCGATACGATAATCACGAACTGCAATAAACATCTTTCTCATCTACCAGCTACCACATATATCCGGTGTGCACAGCTCCGCTAGATGCTTCGAACCGACCTCGTCAGAGGCTCAAAATATTATCGACCTTTTCATTAAGAGTGCTCACCCAGCCATCTGCAATTGTAGAAATCTCCTTCGAAAAAGACAGTATCAATGATGATGTTCCCAGAGATCTCCCACAATGATGCTGACGTGGATAGTGACCATTTGCCAAAATTCCCGAGCATGTGATCGATGGCACCCATCTCACTTCATTTTTCTTCTGTGCTTTTAAGTGACTTGTGTTCAGAGATCATGGGATCACAACAGTCACCAGCCAGCGCATGATGATCCACCGAACTATTCGAGATAATCTACAGTACAATCGCCTGTAGAGGTTGGATGATATTTGGTAGATGGAAACACCTAGCCATACGATGCTCTTTCATGGTTTACATTCTGACGCTATCTCGATCATTTACAGATCTCGATGATGATCCAGCGTATCCACCATCACTTCACACATAGAGGAGGGTGTCGTGTCTCCTCTATAATCGAAAGAAAAGAAAGAGAGACAAATACCTAAACTTATAAACTCTCCTAGTCAAGTACCTCTAGATCTCGCAAACAACCCACACCTCCACCCCAAACTTTGAAGCCATACCGTACCTCGCAGCAATGGCTGCCCTCCTCCAACTCCACGCCATCCGCGCAAAAACAAAAGAACAACTCCGAACCCTCAACCTAACCTCGACCCCTCCTCCCATCCGATCCCACCTAAGCCCCTACGAACCCCCTTTCGAACGCGACCCAAAAGCCTTCCCCCAAGACGAAGAATCCCACGACCCCTCCGACACCAGCACCACCCCCTACACCTCCCTCCCCGGCATCTCCCTCCAACCCACCCAAACCGGCTCAACCTTCTACCTCGTAACCTGGGACTCCCCCAGCGACCCCACAAACCCACGCAACTGGCCCCTATCCAAACGCCTAAAAATCCTCTTGCTGCTCGACCTCGTCGCCGCAATCGTAACAACCGCGAGCTCCATCGAAGCACCCGTCGCCCCGCAAAGCGCCGCTTTTTTCGGCGCCTCGGAATCCCTGCATGCGTTTTGCAGCACGGGTATCTATCTGCTGGGGTTTGGACTCGGCTCGCTGGTTGCGGCGCCGGCGTCTGAGATACTCGGGAGGTACCAGGTGTATTTGTATTCGCTGGTGACGTGCGAGGCCTGGCTCATTGGCGCGGCGCTCGCGCCGAATCTTGCCGCGTTGGCGATATTCAGGTTTTTGGCCGGATGCTTTGCGTCTGCGCCGATGACGGTGGCGGGGGGGAGTATGAGCGACCTTTGGTCTACGCGGGAGATGACGTGGACGTTTCCTTTATTCGGGGCGATTTGTTTTGGGGGTCCCGTACTGGGGCCGTTGATTGCGAGTTTTATTGGAGAGAACGAGGTTGTGAGTTGGCGGTTGGCAGAGTGGATTATTGTGGTGCTGAATGGGGTTTGTATAGTGGTTGTTGCGGTGGCGATGGAGGAGACGTACCCACCGCAGTTGCTGAAGTTGAAGGCGATGCAGTTGAGGAAGATGACGGGGGAGGGGCGGTTTAAGACGGCGAAGGAGCATGAAGATGAGGGGCTGGGGAGTAAGCTCAAGAAGAACTTTACGAGGCCGTTTCGGTTGGCGCTGGAGCCGATTGTGGTTTTGCTGACGTTCTACAATACGCTTGTGTATGTGGTGTTGTTCACGTTCCTCGTGGGTTACCCATACATATTTCAGAAGATTTACGGAATGAGTCAGGGGCTCAAGAACTTGTGCTTCCTTGGTTTGCTAGTTGGGATCATGCTATCAGCAGCTCTCATTCCCTTTATTTGGACAAAAACAGAGCGTCTGTGCCGCGAGAAAAGTGATGACGGGTCGGGGAAATCGATTCCCCAGGAGTCGCGACTGATGTTTGCGATGTTTGGGGCGCCATGCTTACCGATTGGGCTCTTCTGGATGGGCTGGACAAGCCATGTAAGTACAGAGCCGCATATGCTTCTTTATCGGTTTATTGACGTAGAACAGGAAAGTATATCAGTTTGGTCGCCACTTGCCGCCTCGGTCGTTATTGGTTTCGGTACGGTATGCATATTCATGAGCACTTACCTGTATATCATCGACAGCTATCAGATGTATGCTGCATCTGCACTGAGCTTCCAAAGTACAGTGCGTTATGTCATAGCCAGCGTTATGTAAGTTCTCAGTTCTGGATGTTCCCTAGAGACTCTTCATGAGACTGACTGAAAGTAGGACGATTGGCGGTACAACAATGTACAGGGACATTGGGACGAGCTGGACGCTGACCATTCTTGGGTGTATTGCCATAGTTGTTACTCCTGTTCCATATGTCCTGTACCGCTATGGTCCAATCATTCGTGGGAAGAGTAAATTTGCTGTTAGATAGTTGCGACACCAAGTATCAGTAAACACGAAAGTAGTGCTACATGTTAAATTAAACAAATTTATAGTTGGCTGTCAGTCTTACATTCGCGATATTGATGATTACAGGGGCGTGGACACTGGACCGAAGCAACATCTGAAGATCGCAGTTACTGCAACACCAGTAACATCTTGGATTGAATTGCTCATGATAGCCGCCGAAAGAGTATGTAACAAAATAGGACAAGTTCTTGTCACGATAGCAATGGGTGTGTAGAAATGATGTTAAATGATTCCAGGATACAAAAGACTATGTTACAACTAGAAATGACCGTGGGTATCGTAAAGAGAGCGAATGCGCTTGAAAAACGACATAGAAAAGGTTCTGTCAATGTCTCTGATAGGAAAAAAAAACTTATTGTTGTGGTTTGTACACCATGTCGCCACTCCTTGTATAAACATCAGTGCTTGCTGGCCCGGCCCATCGCCTACTCGCTTCTTCCCTACCCTTTACTTCCCTCTCATTTTGTACAACAACGCAGCAGCAACAGCAGCATCCTCTGAGCAGATCGCTGCCAAGACTTCCCTTAATTTTGTATGCTCTTCGGATGCGAGTCCGTTGTAGCATGGGAAAAAGCCACCATAAACCGCATGAGAGACCCATAACGACGCAGTGTCCGTTAGTGGTGCTATGACCCAACATGTCTGTTGGATCATTCTTTGCAGACTTTTGAGAGAGACGATACGAAGTTCTTCCGTAGATGATGCAGGGACAGAAAAGACCGGTAAAGCATGTCGTCGGTTCAGGACTACATGCGCAAAGGCCGCTTGACCATTCGTGGGAGCTTTCAGACTCCATGTTTGGATGCGAAATCTGGCCAGGCTGGTGTGCAGCAAAGTCCAGGCCGTTGGGACCGTGGGCAGCATCCGGAGAGAAGACAGCATGCATATTGTTGGTTTGGCCTGTTACGAAGCCATGAGGCGAATACGGTTCGTGTGCGTATGATGCTTGATTCGTGGGAGAAGTAGCAACTTGTCGTGGTTGCTCCTTGTGCATGGAGTTGGCTGAAATGGGGGTTATGGGTGCTTTTTGTGGTAGCGGTGACGTCTGATGGGTTCCTGATGGTGGGGTAGGTGGAATGGTAGGCATAGTGTGCACCCGTACGTTTGTGTTGATTGGCGATAGGTTGCTCATTTGCCGTGCATGTCTGCTCTGCTGTGTATTTGCCTGCGGGCCTTGATGAGCAGGTTGCGGATGTGGTATTGGCGATACAGGAGAGTATTGTTGAGTTTGTGGATATGAAGAATGTTGAGGCGAGACTGGCGACACAGGAGGCTGTACTTGCTGCACGTGAGAGTGCTGCATGTCAGCCGCACGAGATTGGGGCGGAACAACCGGAATTTGCGCATCGAACATCGACTGAGGGCGCGGGTCGATTGGTGTGTACCCCACCGGTGACGTCGGAAGAGATATGGGCATAGAATGTGGCATCGGAGGGTCACTTGGAGAGGATGTGTACACGAATGCGCGCATCTCTGCCGGTGTCTGGGCGTAAGAGAAATGACGTGACGCATCTGTTTCGACACGTTGCTGGGGCTCTTGCTGGTGTTGTTGCTGTTGCTGTTGCTGTTGATGATGCTGATGCTGATATTGCTGCTGCTGTTGTTGTTGTTGTTGCGGTTGCTGATACTGCTGATACTGCTGTTGTGTTTGGTACTGCTGTGTCGCAAGCTGCTGAGGCTGGTGTTGTGGAGCTTGTCGCTGTCTCTCTTGATAGGGTGGAACCTCGTCGTCCAAGGGCTGCTGCCATGAGAAGCGGGTGTGCTGTCGTGAAGTCATCTGAGGCTGAGCTTCCTGACTCCGCCCGTAATTCCTGGGATCCATGCTGTGCAGACAAGCTCCAAAGAGCCTCTTCTAAACGTAGTGGAGTGGTCGGTGAACGGGTAGCGAGGTATATCGACGTCGTATCCTAAGATGCCATTGATTTCAGGTGCAGTAAGTAGACAGGACTTATGGGATAGCTGGTTGTAAACTCTTGGAGCGTGGGATATGGAACACGATCAAGCTGGGGGCAAGGAGGCCTGATATTGAGGCCAGAGGTCTGTACATCGAGTCCATAGCTGCACAAGTACCAGCCCGAGCAAAAAAGGCCGCCCTGAAATGGAGCCGCTTCGCGCTCTGGTTGGTTCTTGGCTGTGCCTCATGTCGTAGGCGAGTGGCATTGCGAAAGCAGATTCGCAGAGCTCCCGCCGTAAGATGGACCTCTTTTTAGACGTGCAGTTGAGGCGCAGGCGTGGCCAATTGGAGAGGGAGCTGGCGTGTGACAAGGTTGTGGAGCAAGATGGTCGGCGCTTGCGGGTGTCTCGGCTCCACGACGCCCGGCCAATGAGCAATTCGCCTCGTCCACCTCGCGCCTTTGCGGACCGCTGTGGGGTGGCTCTGACCCAGGCACCTTGACGCAACTGGCGAGCATTGTTGGCATCATCCCAGGCCAAACAAACTCACGCACAGCCTCAGTGGCGGCAGTAACTATGTGTTTGAGTCAGTCTTGATCCTTTCAACACGGTTATTTGAGGCCTAGAACTGCCGCTCACAACGACCCGCTTCACCGAGGTACGTATACCTTCACTGCATGTCTGCACTGACACGAGTCATTTCGCGGAAACATGCCGAGCAAGCTTCCTCTTCATCGGCTCCTCGGTCGCAACATGTTTGGAAAGACAAGAGTAAGTAGTCATGTAATTGGTTGATTTAATAACACACATTATACAAGGGAGACGACGTGCATGGCCGCCTCAAAGCTTCTCAGGCAATCCGGATGGAGAGGATATGAAGATGTATCATGCTTATGCGTTCTTATCGACCTTGGTGTTGCCACGCTCCTCCTTGTTTTCTGCGCCAGGACGATCCGTCGAGACGGTTCCTTGCAGCTTAGCCGTTTCAGCAACGCCCTCACCCTTCTTGCTCTTCTCAGAGTGCTCGGAAATCGGCGAAGTGTGTTCGGTGTTGTCGTTGGACAAGCCTTTTTGCTTGCCAGAGGTCTCGTTGGTGCTCTTGGTCTCCTCTTTGCGGGGCTCGGGCTACACACGTTAGCACAGACAATCTCTTTTCGGTCTTGGATCTACCAACCTTGTCAGACTCATCGGGAGACTGCTTATCCTTTTCCTCACTGTTCTCCTTGGTGGGCTTGGAGGGGTCCTTGTGCTCGCTCTTTGGCTTTTCCTCGGACTTGTCCTTGGATTCCTCCTTGGGCTCTTCCTTGGCCTCCTCCTTGGGCTTATCGTCCACCTTCTTTACAATCGAATCGGTACCAAGCTTGGGGGCATCTCCTTCGCCGTGGGGTTCACCAAGAGGGTGGTGTTCGGCGCCGTGGTCTGTATCTTGGTTGACGACAACGTAGAGACCGACAGCAGTACCGATGACAGCTGCACCTATCCTTGGGGGTTATGTTAGCATGTCTTCGTCGAGGATGGATGTGCTCAAGAGGTATATGTATGTCCTTGCCAAGAACTGTGCCGGCTCTTCGGACACAACAACAAAAAGAAACCCATCGCAGTTGAGCTTTGTTCCATCGAGACTGTGTCTACAACTGATATACGTTCGTCTGGATAATAATAGCAAGAGGTTTTCAACATACCATGGGACGTCACTGCTCTTAGCCTCGCTATGGGAGCCGTGTTCGCTGGCGTAGGTCCTGCGCTGCACAGCTCGTTGCCATGGCTGGAGCTCGGCGGCGCGGATATACCTGGTTGGGCGCGCAATTCGTGCAAAAGAGGAAGCGCGGGATGCGGAAGATCTTAAGAAGGACATGATGAAGCTTAGGCAGGCTAATTAAAGCTTGCGACGGGCAATTGATAGGAGAATGGTAGTTATGGTGCGCGTAGAGTAAAGATCAGGTCATGAAGGCGAGAATTAATGGGTACGTCACTCAAGTGCGTCTAGCCCTACCCGCTCTAGTTGGTCACGTGCACTGCGGCGATACGGCAGAGCATACCAGGCCGGACATTGCGCCATCGCGACAGGTGACTTCGTCTTGTACAGGCACACGGGACTCGAGCTGAGTTGCGTAAATTGTTTCTTGTAGACACTGTCAAGTTCACAGGTGCGAGGGATGCATTCGTCTGATACGTACTCGTTCCGCTGTGTCTTGACTACTATGGACACGGACACGACGGCCGTGCGCATGGTTCGAGCTCTCCAAAGCAACGCGCAGGCAACGACAGTCCATTCACTTCGATAGAAGCTTCTTTTGCTCCGTAGTGGCCAGTGGTGCCTTCACCACCTAACAATTCCACCACCCAGCTCCCAGCTCCTCGCTCTTAATTTCTTTCCTTCGTTCTTGTTCTCCTTCTGTCTGCCCGCATCGGCTTATAACCCCAACCCCAACCCCACTATAGCTGCCCCGCCTGCCAGTGACAGCAGTAGACCTCACAACACCACACACCATGGCGCCCTCGTCGGTCCCGCCCAACCCGACCGCACACAATGTTGCCCAATTGTTGCCGCGATTCGTTGATGATGACCCCGACTTCCGCTTCATGGCCCTGAGTGACCTGCACGACATTCTCGTTGTCGCTCACCCTGGCCTCCTCCTTCACGATGACGTTGTTGCAGCAAAAACTGTCGAAGGCCTGCTCACGACGCTTGTCGATACCAATGGCGAGGTTCAGAACCAGGCTGTCAAGTGTCTTGGCCCGTTTGTGAACAAGATCAGCGACAAGACGTTGCCAGTTATGATTGACAAGCTCTCGACGCTTCCCACAGGCAATACCGTTGACCAGTCAATACCAGCTCTTGCTCTCCGCGAAGTCGTCGTCTCCCTCCCGCGTCCCGTCCACGGTGCTGCGCGCAGCAAAGCCGTCGTGAACGCATACAGTGCCATTAGCAGGGTACTCATTCCCCGTCTGATTGGATACAATGTTATACCCCCGGCACAACAGGGCCTTACGCAACCACCAAAGGGTATGTTGCAAGAGGATTTGGACAAGGGAACAGACAGCAATGCCATCGATGTGCTGACCGAG